TAAAATGAGATTTTTACGTGGAAAACACTCTATAAGTCTACTATAAAATGATATATAATGAAAGAGAAGACAAGACACTGAAAAAAATATTTATATCTATAAAGAGATAAAAAAGATGTACGCTGCGATAAGTAAAACCGTTTTTTATCAACAAACATATTTTTAGGGATTTTTTCGAAGTAAAAAATTTACTTAATTAGTAGCTTCAGTGACAACTAAAGTAAATTTCTGGAGCTAGAGTGAATAGCAAGCAAACATTTGGGGGCGTATTTTGCACATATGCATGTTTGCAACAAGAGCGTGAAGCTATGCATGTTTAGTCATTGTACATAATGCATATCGCATTTGATAGACTACAATATTCGAGGTACGTCTTCCTCATTAAATAGCAGGGCTTTCATTTTATCCAATTCATCCATCATAGTGGCTGAAGCCGACGAGACATTATTTATATTTACTTATACCATCGAATAGAAGATATGCTTATTAATATATCGACATTGTCCGCTGATAGTCGCGCCCAAGAAAAAAAATAAACACTTTTACTAAAATATAAAAATAGCTACAATGTAGTTACATAGGTTCAGCTGACATGCCCGCAATAATTTGCATTTTTATATACAAAAGTTAAGATTCTGGATCGCCAGGATCAACTTTAAGATAAATATAGGGTACACTGTTATTTTACTTCTACATTTTGAATGCTGTTGTCTCTCAATCTGTTTGCTGCGTTTGGCTGAGAGAGCAGTGAAAATCGAGTTACGGAACTGCACTTTGATACATTTATTTTGCATTGACGGCCACACCTTGAGTTAAAAAATGGCTGCAACTCCCTATTCGTAACTACGCCAAAAATGGGCAGAAAGTTGTTGCTGATAAATTATAGCTAATGTTATAAGCGTAAGTAGAGCTCAGCACAAATATTGACAAAGTCGGCTGAATATTTGGTGCAGAGGTGGTCTCGATCAGCTAACTGATATAGCTATCAAAGGATAAATGTATTCTGAATTTTCGTCCGCTAGGCATCCTAAAGTACCCATAAGATATCTTTATTATATTATGGTATTTTTTTTTTTGCAATTATACACTCATTGTACGGAGATGCTCGGGTCGATTTGATTTCGGGTGATATTGAATTGAAATTGTCAGTGAATATGGAAAAAGTAGAGGTATAGGTAATACTGATTTGAATCTTACAAGTGTTGAAATATAAAATTTGGCATTGGTTTTACTTTACTTCCAAACATGAGCGAGCGACGCAAGCCTAGGACTATCAGAAATGAAAAACGATCAACATGGAGCAAAGTAAATTTTCTCTCCTTGAGATGGTCTTCAAGAATGTACTCTGTCTCGGCTGGGTTAAAGATAACAGCTCGACCTTGACTCATCTATTGCCGCTTTTCGTAACTCTCAGTGCAATGCTTGCACATAAGTGCTTAGCTAACTAGACTCATAAAAAGAGGTTAAAATTGTATTGTTATCCTCCATGTGAAATACGCTTAATAGTTGTGAAATATTTATTTAAAAGCCAACATACTCTCCTTGTTTGTTTATTTATTTTTAATTGTTGCAAGACTCAAGAGTAGCGCAATCAAATTTCCTATGAAACTGAACATAGTCTTTGAACTTTTTAAACTTGTAAGCAATTCATTTAAGAGATAAGAAAAAATGCAATTAAAAATTTAAGGCGGGAAATTTGCAACAACAAAAAAAAAAAAAAAACTAAATATATAAAGAAATTTAGTAAAGTTAAGTAAACATGTACAAAACATATTCGGTTGGCAAATAAGAAATATCGCTCTCTTTGTGTTTATTTCATTTATTTTTATTTTCAATTTTATATTGTGTCCGGTTTTTGGTTGTTGCTTATAAATAATTGGCGGTTTCTTCTCTTTTGTTGCTCTTATAGGATTCATTACAATTTCCTTTTCTTTCAAAATTCTCATAAATATTGTCAAGTCAAAGCATACGTGTTAATCACTAGTCCCTGCAAACTACTTGCTTTGAGTGTAAGCAAAGCCGCATTGCAGTCTGTCATGAAACGATATAAAAATGACTGTTTTCTCAAAGACACGGTACGATGCTCTATAATAAGGTATGGGCGCGACTCTCTGCAGTGTCTGAAGCTTCCTTCTTGGTGTTGCAAACGTTTCGGCAAAAAGAATATACCCCTCATCCTTCGGTATTGGGTATAAAAATATAATATTTGCCGGTATAACCTGAATTTTAACTGAACCTATACTTTGCGGATGACTTACCTACAGACAGATGACTATTATATTACAACGGATTAAACAATTTGACGAAGCTAAAAACTAAATTAACCCTAAACTTCTTACGCGGTAACTTTGGGTCACTTTTGAACTTTGAATGTAAATTTTGCGATCACTTCTTATGGCATTTCAAAACATCTATGACCCGTGCATAAAGTTTCACGTTTCTATATAATTTTCTGGGATAGATGACTGATTCTAAGCTGTAAATAAATATAACAGCATTTTACTTACTTCCAGAATTCCCATAAGTGAGTGAGAGTCACGTCGTGGCTTGATTAGTTATATAAAAGAAAAAAAAAACATTTAGGACTAGAGTTAATGAGAGAAGTTTATTTCCCATAAAAGATATTGAAGACTCACTGACGTTAATGGGATCCAAGGACTTTCCGAAGATATTTAAATTAAATATGCAAAAGTTGATTATATAGGGGAACCAGCCATTGCAAGAAGCGACTAAATTATTTATCAATATCTAAGAAGGTGAGAGGATTTCGTATCGAATGTAGATTAGAAAGAGCTTAGCAGAAATTCATTAATTAATCCAAACCTACAAGAAAACATAGAGTAAGAGAGTTACTGAGAATATGTTTGTAGTTCGAATTAATTTCAATTAGGGGAAGAGGGTTTAATGCAACACTTTGCAGAGAGAATGCCAGTAACTAAAGAAAACAATATAAATATTGTCAAAGTCAAGGCCTGGTTATTAGTCATTAGTCTCTGTGAACTACCTTCAAATTACTTTTACTTCTTCTGTTTTGATTTTTTGCACACAGGCCTGTTTAGATACTGATTACCGGCAAAGACAGACAAATAACACCGAAATTGTTCTCTTTCTACTAAAGTTTACGTGAACATCAGTTGCCTTAGGTAAGCCTAGCATTAGCAAAGCATTAGTTGCGAACGAATTGGAAATCGTTTAAGGAGTACCGCCAAACGTAATAGAATAACATTCGAGGAACCTATTAAGCGGATATTGTAGTGTTAAAAAGAAAGCAAAACCAGAGGGATCCTCAGGAGACATGTTAATTTAGGTTCAAAGTCACTTAATTCTATTACGACAACGAAAGTAAGTTGATTTAATGAAAAATCTCTTTTAAAATTTTCCGAGCCAAACATATAAAGGGGAAGAGAGTGAAAAGGTTTTTCCTTACATGATTATATTAATTCTTTTTCTTCTTCTTTCTCCAATACTGTGTTCACATGCTTAGCCTCATAGGAAGCGTTTTAAGTTAATCAACCAAAAAATGCAATAAAATAACCTTCAGTTTTTATAGCAATTGGAAAATGCCAACAATAAGCGTAGACTACATATTTATATACAATATTTATATACAATATTTATATATATAAAATTTATAAGAAATTTTCATTCGACGATTGCTTTTTTAACCATTGCATTAGGACTGCATATGAATATATGGTACACCTGTCTTTCGCTTTACACGGTAGATAAGTCGCTTATACAATGTAAACTGAAAATGATCATAAATATGACTCATTTAATAGAAATAACTCAGTTACAATAGCAATAAAAAAAAAAACACTTTTCTCAAACAAGAGTGAATTGATAGAAAAATATATAAGACATTTGTAGTTGTGTATCTTTTCTTTTTTTTTTTTCTATATGCGTGCAAAACACATGAAACGTTGAAGTTGAATGCATTGAAATGAAATAAATATAATTAACAGCATTATTGTCGGACAAGGCTGATCATTAGGTACCTTATACCACTTTGCTTAACAAAGTCATTCACTCATTTTCGTAATAGTACACCTAAAATTATAGAGTAAAGGCGTACTGTTCATAAAAGCCCTTATATTAGAAAATGGACGAAACCTCAACTAATTTTGTTCAAATATACCGAACTTAACTTACTTGTGAAAAAGTTGATCATATTTCAGATCTATCCGCCTAAGTGGCCGAATGGGCAAAGAGTCTCGAATAACAACTCAACGGTCGTGGGTTCAAACCTCAAGTGCGATAGACGTTTTTAATAAAACTTACTAGTACTTGAAGACTTTAGTCTTGGAATTAATTCCTTAACTAATTTAATAATAATAATAACAATAAAAAATATTTTTCAGTTCTTTCCGTCATAAAACAATACAAATTAGACCTCGTCGATATTGTGTTTCCATGAGAGCCTGTAGTAGATAAGGTGAGGTCTAAGAGTTGTTGACTTATGTGATCGAAATCCCCCGCCCATTCATTACAAAATCTTACATATTAGACCTTTTCGGCGTGTAAAGGTTAATTTTTCATTGCAACTTTTGGAGGCTGCTTGTTCTGTCAAATTGTTATTATTATTATAATAACTGAAAATTAGGCCTTTTCCTGCGTAAAGCTTCAGTTTCCGCAGAAACGATTACATGGCAGGGGATGCAAAAAATTGCCCAATCCGATTACAATTTTTCACATCAATTTATTCGGCGGCGTCTGTCACGAAATTTTCAATATTAGAATAATTTTTCATACAACGACTTTTCAATATAAGGCATTATATGGCAAGCGGTCGAGAAAGTGCTCCGATCCGCACAATTTTCGATAGCGTTCGCCCTTGGGCGATATACCAAATTCAGCCAAACACCAACGAATGTTGAAATATTCATCGACATTCTTCTTTTATGTTCAAAATTCTCTTTCACTTATTCACAAAAAACTTTATGCATATTATGAATATTTATATTAACTTTAGATCGGTTTTCTTCAACTATTTTATTTAGACGGGGCCCCGGAAAATGAGGATAATGATTATTATGATTATGATTATGGGGAAGTGGATAATGAAAATCCAGATCCGTTGATAACGAATGTTAAGGATCCACCGTATTTTGAAAAAACACAAACAAAAGTATTAGCCTCAGCCAACCATGACGTTATCATGGACTGCGATGTTAAAAATATGAACGGTAAGTGTTTATTTGCTATTCATTAATTTTTCAAATCATTACACACAACAATACTCTGGTGTTAAGTCCTAATTAATGCATACATTATTGTCTGATGTAATTTGTTTTTCTTCTCCTTCCTTGTTTTCTTTTCACCTTTGCCATCTGTGCATAGCGAATAATGCTGTTGTTTGGTACAAGGACAATACAATCTACACTAACGGTCAATATGCTATTAATCATCGAGTCGAAGGTTTGAGAAATAATTCTCTCTTATTAAAAAATATACAAACCGATGACGCAGGCAACTATTATTGTGAAGTATTACCGCAAAAGATACGTTTGCATGTGATTTTAGAGATTGAACGAACATTGACAATACACTGTGATGGTCGTGAGGTATTGGATCGTACCGTTGTCTACAAACAAAGCGAGTCACACATTTGCAAGTGCAAATCTCCCGGTTCAGATATAAACAACATTAAATGGTTTATAAACGTAAGTATGGTTGAAATCGTTTTCTATTTTTTTATCGCACCTGGCAATGCATCTGAACAACGCAATCAATTAGCGATCGCTTTTACTTTTCATTACATTACATATTACGTTGGAAATAAAGAGTGGAAGGTGATAACGTGTAAGGTGTCTCAAGTCGAGATGACATGTTCATGTTTTGTGAAATCATGTCATTTGAAATCTTGCCTCGACTGTCCATAAACACTTTTTAAAGCAATTTTTTTTGCGAAATTTTAGTTGAAGTGCATCGAAGCTTTTCTTGAGTGCCCACAATTTTTTGATAAAAGCATTATTATCGTTATTATTACCACGTTGGAGGCCGCTCATGCCGCCACCTAAACGATCCTTCGAACTTGCTCAACGTCTTAACTCACCACCTTCTTTTGCTCGGAACACCATACCTACTAAGTAGGGCATCACTAACTGTCGGCTAACCACTTGCTATCCGATTCTACGTATACAAACGCATTCATACAAAACGTTGCAAATCGTCTCGGCCGTTCCTTGCAAAAACTGCACGAATCAGTATTTGAGGTACAGCTATTTTTCGGGTGATTGTATGATGGAGTTGCGACCCTGTACTTTCGCTGGTTAGCTGGTCTTTTTCTGTTCTCTTCGCGTTACCGGCATCTTGGTACGGCTCCTTCGTATGTAACGCTACTTTTGACAAGAAATTTTCAAAATTACAATTTTTTTTTCATATAACAACTATTGGGGGAATGGTCGAAAAAATGAACCGATCTGAACCATTTTCAATAGCGTTCGTCTTCGGCTCAAACCACGTTACTGTACCAAATTTCATTACAATATCTCAAGAATTGCGACGTGTAGACTGAACACAAGTATACACGGACAGCCATCAGACAGGTTTAGATGAGTTCAAACTACTTAATATAACAAGTGGTGCAGGGTATAAAAAGGCTATCTATAAAATTCTTGAAACCTTTCTCTTCCTTGAACCCCCCTTAGGACAAACCGATGCCATTCGTGGCCTGTAAAACCTCTATAAGATATTTAAATGCGCTTCTTAGCAAAACGCGTCGCAACACGTCGCTTGTTAAATCTATGGCTTCCTTAAGAGTTTTTGCCAGCATTACGAGCGAGAACGGTTCTGATCGTACGTCAATGCACTATGCTGCCAAGCTAATGTTCGATCATCTTAAAAGAGTTGATACTCTCTGCATATATAAAATATAAAATTCACAACGAAAATTTAAAAAAATTAAAAAAAATAAAAAAAACATTTGAATAATTTCCTGCACTGACTTCCGCTGTAACATGCAACACGTACAAAAATGCTGTTCGCCCTAAAACAATTATATAAGAAATTGCAAAACTTTTAAGTTGATGAAGGGCTAGGGAAACTGTTGCTACAAGGGAAACTTTTCCCACACATCCTTGTGATTGTTGCGATTTGAATGTTTGCGTTCAATTTTAAAACGTTATCCGTTTGCAGCTTGTAGGCAATTCTGGTTTGCCATAGCGCTTTAAATTATAGCCCGCAATGAATCTGGACAAGGAACATTATTAAATATGATCTGTCAAGCAAAGATGCCTGCTGGCATCTATATGTACACCCAAAGACATCTATTCAACAAGGTGAATGATCGAGCGTGTACATGAAAAGCGATATTTGTGCCAAATTTCAGCGGGTAAGCGGACGGACCAATGATTCCAGCCGCTTTTAGTCAAAATTTCATTTAGTACCTTTGCTTCTGGTTGTTATAAATGAAACATAAAAAACATTTAATAGAACTAACTATTGAAGGGACCATTAAAATTATGGGCCGTGGGGAATATTCTATTACCCTATTTTCAAAGTGCTAGACAATTTTACACACCACGTTCACAATTTAAAAATACAATAAAATACTTATTTTCGTTACTGCAAGTTTACAGTGAACTCAATCCGCTACTATTTAAATGCGAACAACTGTTATAATAATAAAGAAGAAGACACATATGGCTTAAGATTGGATGTGGATTTGTAGTACTCACCTTACCTTGTGTACGACTTTTATCTACAACGTCGAGCGAAGATTCATTAGATGTTAGCTGGTATAAGATAAGTTCGCAAGATAAAGTCAAGCTCCATTCGCCACTAGCTGTCGTTCGGTGTTTGTTTGCAAAACAGAGTGAAGATTCATTCACTACAAGACTTGTATCTACTTGGTTTTGTTCGAAAAAACATTTCGCTTCTAACTTGTTTTGCTCAAAGTAAAAGATCAAGGGATTTTACGTGAACATGAGCGCTCGAATTCGAGAAATTCAATTTTGTAGCGATTTCACGAGTTTTTCTTCGACGAATTGTATCAATTAATGCCTTTACTTTGTTGTTATTAGTGATGCATCTTCACCTTTGTAGTTCCAGTTTCGGCACTGGTCTTCTATCCATAAACACACAATCAATTTTTGTCTTGCTTGAATAGCATTATTAACTTTTCGATAAAATACTGCTTTCAACTTCTGATATTTGATAAAGAACAATCCTCGCTATATCAGCTGTCAAAATGTGTAGCGGCAATCCGATCTTAGCATGAATTTGAATCCGAGAAAATGAAAAGAAAAATTAAATGACTTTTCAAACAACCCAGTAATATATTTGAAAGCTCACTAAATATCACTGTTACGATATGTCGGTAGTGTACCGTATCCCATATTTTGCATATTTAGCAAAAATAAGTCGAATGTACCACCAGCTGGTTTACGAAAGAAAGAATATGTACCAGCCGATGTACACAATATAGCACAGGATATACTACGGCCGTCGCTTAGCGTATTATATAAAACTTACGTTCTATAGATTTCAAAGCGTATTTAAATATGATTTAATAGCATTTCTAAGCTCAGATAGTATTTATATACGATATCTTCTATCCGTAGGCGTACAGTTAGTGAAAGATTTCATTAAGGAAAAACTTCGCATCTAGAAATGGTCGTAATTTGTAAAAAGGGATGAAGTTATTAGGTTTTTGTTAAGCGTGGATATCCCCCATTGTTTTACTTTCCACTTTCACTTAGTCACTCTGGTCGATGTCAATCGTCCAATGCTTGGCAGAAAGACAACAATCTGTGGCTGACTTCGATTTTTATTATAAAAGAAAAAATTTTGATTTCATTGCAGGGGCAACCGGCCGAGGAAATTGTCAATGAAATCGATCGTAACACACTGATATTGAATAACATCGATGCTCATTACAGTGGGGTTTTTCAATGTTTAGACGATGATGGCAGTGAGAAACCCAAGCACGGCATGTTCAATATTTTGGTTAATTACATACCAAAAGTGACTACACATCGTCATCATATCAACACGAACATCGGTAGTAACGCTGAACTTTATTGCGATTATAAAAGTGAACCAATTGCAGTTACCAGGTGGCTTAAGAACGGTCACTCTCTAAGTTACTCTGAAAAGTATATGATTTCGTATGCAAAGGATAAACACTTCAATCGTACAACACTTATAGTGAACGATGTAGCGGAAGATGATCTAGGCGAATACGTTTGCCAAGCCGAGGTGACCTTAAATAGTAACAGACGTTTTAAGTTTTCTCTTCACTTTTATTTCTTCTTCTTTTTTCCTATCGACTATATTCTCTAGAACGCTCTGGGCACGAGTGAATTGAAAACACATCTTATGCTGGAGCCTGAGAAAGGGCAATTTGAAGATATTAAAATACTCGGAAATAAAGTTATATTAAATTGGATAGTTAGAAGCTTACAACCGTTATCAGAAGCCGTATTAGATTACAAGCTGAAAGGTGTAAGTTTGTGTTTTACTTCCTTGCACAATACAGTGAGCGTAAAAAGTAATTGATTTAAACTTAAATTACGTTAAAAGTCGTACACTTGGAGCACTACAACGGTATTGCATACACAACGTCATGATAGTGGCATTTGGAAAATCAGTCATGAAATGGAGCTTACGCCTGGCGAATGGCAAACGCGAATAAAAACCAGAAACACGGCGGGTTGGTCGAAATTCTCAATGCCGTACATATTCGTTATTGAAGGCGGCGAAGGTAAGATAGCTAATCATCTTTACGCATAACAGTTTACACATATATATGTATATATAAAATCTGTATGTCTTAGATTTTGATATACTACCAGATGGCTGGAGTGATCGCGTGAACGATGTAATGCTTGCCGGTTTCGGTGGTAGCCCAAATAACACTACCAGTAGCTCTACCTCGACGAAAGCTCTTTCCTGTTTAAGTTTCTGCAGCATTTTATTACATCTTAGTCATAGATTTCATTAACGTGTAAAAGAAAACTTCTGTCTATTGTTTTTGTTTAGTTAATTTATGCATAATTATCTGTAAACAGACACATGTACATATATATACAATCTAAACCAAATATAATTATAATTAAAAATCTATTTAAAAAATATTTAAACGTTTTTCTATTAATACTTCAAAGAAGTAAGTAAGCAACTGGTTTGGTTAATTACCTGACTCAATAACAATGCGTATAACCGCACCTTTAAAATGCAGTGATAGACTTTATTGATCATCGATCGTTACACAATTGTATATGTCAGCGTATAAGTCTTCCAATGATTTTTTTCTATAACCGCCGCCGAGAGATGAAAGATGTATTTATGTTATGAAAGCGTTTGCAACGTTTGCCTGGACGCAAGCTTCAGGGATCCCACAAAGTGGACATATTCTTGAGCAGCATCAAATTCCGAATCGATTTAAGCATCTTCGCCTGCCCGTTTATATGACATGTCTTGTACACGCTCCCTTGTTCGCAAAAATATAGCTATTGACTTCAAATTTGGCAGCAATATTGGAAGTTCTTGCAAGCAAGTAAATATTGAAAATAGACCAAATCAATGGAAAGATACGCCTACAGTACCAGGTAAACTAAGAACAGCTTTGTTTTTTAAAAGGAGAAAAAGATATTGTTTCTCGCTCATACTCATAAACTGCAGCAAATATACTTATACAGTTTTTGTACGAAAATGGGAAAGATGGATCACGCGTACCCATTATTATAGTGTATCAAAACTTAATTTTTTTTTTTTTTTAATACTTTACTAACGTACAGCACTAAGCTTCAAAATCGCCATAGAGTTTCGTCCGTCCGTCTGTTCAACTGCCCAACTTTGTAGTAACTGTGATAAATGTCCCCTCGTTCCCTACGATCGCCTACAAATTTGCATGAGAATGTGAAAATGGGCCAAACCTGTCAAAGGGCACGCCTATGCAACAACAAACGTGACTGACCTTTCTTTCAATGATGTTTCAATGATGTTTGCTTCTTTCCTTCTCTCTTATTATATATATGCGTATACACGTAAGCGCACTGCAATAAGATCGAAATTTTGCCGAAAGATAAAAGAGCGAAGCGTTCACAAGTCTGTGTTCGGCATAGGCATATTGGCGGATCAGATGTTGAATCCAGCTCGTCTGCCTTCTCCTAGTGAGATAATATGTTGATAGTTTCACAATGACAAAAGGTTTTAATAAAAATAAATATCTTGATTGCACACTCACAAAACCTACAAAAAAAAAACCTAAATAAAAAATGAATACACCATACACTACATCGGCTGATACATTTTTTCACACTTCTCATGAGGGTCCTTATAAGAGAGCGAGCTTGAAACGTCCTCTGACATGCTTTATGTTTAGCAAATTCATTTTTCTTGTTATTGTTTATTAAGCTTCACTTCTTTTCACTGCAGACTTTGTCACCATAGAAATGCTTAGTTTTGACAAGAAGTGTTATACGTGGCATCATACAAAAACAGATGCGTTTGATCCAAATTATTTCCGCTTAATTTTTATGTCCAACTAATATAATGAAGCATTTTCCATTACATTTATACTGGAGAGCGTTCAAAAAGTTCACCCACCCAAATAAAAGCCTGCAAATCAACACTGTACGCCGAAATCCATACTTAACGAATTTTTGCTAAGAAGTTTTGAAACTATTGCAAACTATTTTTTGTGGGGATTGATCGCAAGATTATATTAGTTTTAAATCAAGCTCCTCCCTGAGTCCAAAAACGACACGGTACCAAAGCTCGTTAAAATATCTGAAAAATTGTGAACTGCGTAATAAAAAGCCAGTTCCAGATTAAACCTTTCCGCAACTTGTAGTGTATAACTATCACATCGTTAATTCTTAAAATGAGTTGCGTTATGTGTGTGGTCTACTTCTTTTACTTGACGACGTGCTGCGAATTGCGAAAAAATCTGAGCAAATTTAGTTTTTTTTAATTTCATAAAAACGAACAGAAATTGCTTAGCTTTAGGGTGGGTGCCGTACTAGGTAGTCTGGCGGTTAGGGTCGCATAAATGATAAGCGGAATTTTTGCTTTGTAAAAACAAACATTGTTGAAAACGACTTTACGAACGACCCCATATACCACAGTCTAATTTAACCTAATATAAATATTCTCCGTCTGAATGAATAAAGTAATGGAGAGAGATAAAGATGTCTATGTCTATATTTGCCTGTCTGTCTGTTGTTCGTCGGTATGAATAAAGTGAAATATGAAATGTAAAAAACTCCAGTTTTTGTGAATAAGTTTCGTTTTAAACTTTCAGAATAATTTTCTGTGAAATCATCTCTTAGTTGTGTAAATAATATCTACGCTATTCGCAATCCACTTCTGCGACCCTAATATTAGCAATAAGCGTATTTAGCAATATTATCATCTAATTTATTTCTTAAACTCGTGTTAATAATATATAATATAATCACTTTTTCGATACATATATATCTTTTTTTATGCATGGAAAATATTTTAAATAAATAAATGTTTATATAAATTTTATTATATTTTTATTTTTCATAGTAATAAGCGTTAATGAATACTAAAAGCATTTACCTTACGATTATAAAACAGAATCACAAATTTGCTTTAATTATCTAATAAGACAATGAAACAGTATAAACAGTACAACACGAGTCAGTAAAGACAAAAGCGTAGACAAAAAGAAATCAGAAATGTGAAAAGGTTCTCCTTAAGATGCTAACTGGATAGATGACAATGAATAGCTTAGCTAAATGGCAATCGTTTAGAAATCTGTTTGAATGCATATATATATATATATATATATATGTAACTTGGAAAAGCATATATAAAATGCTTTGGTTCAGAAATAGGCCGATTTCGTTGCATGTCAGTAGCAAATCGTTGATAGATATGCGATCAATGAAAATCCAACTTTAAGCATATAGTTTACGACGCTTTTCTCATCGATGTTTAACTCCTTAGCAATGTCAAGGCTGTTATGGGTCGACCTTCTGAAAACGTTCATTTGCTCTTTCGATCGAAGTGCTTCATTACAATTTCCAGCATTGAAGCGAGCAAGCAATCCTTCGGGTGAAGTCTCTTGAAAGTGAACATTACAATTTGTCCTCAAGAGATGCATAGAGCTTTGCCTCTTAGAAAATATTGGGAATTTTTTTAAAAATATCACTGATTGTCACATTAATATATACATAAATATTTGTATATATATAATAAACATTTTTATAAAAGTTGTAAATGAAAATTTTATCTTTTTAAGCTGGTGTTATGTAATAGTTGATTAGTGTTGCCGTGCAGATATATCATTGAAAACACTATCCAGTGATAAAAATCTCCCAATTACTTTTCACGTACTCAACGTATACAACTTGGCTGACTCTCTTGAAATATATTTCATAAATTAAGGTGCATTGGATGGCTGCGGCTAGCGCTTCATAAACCACGCATTAGTAATCTAAGCCCACGCACCAGCTCATTAAGTACAAAGGAATGAAACCTCTTCGCTTTAAGATAAAAAATAATCTTTACTTAAGTAACATACACAGACAAATCGTTGCTTATGCCTGCAGAGTAGATTGAAATATAATTGAAAACCATCAACAAACAACAAATAACATAATTACATTCGCCTTAGAACGAATTTCTGGTACCTTTCTGGAGTATGCCTACGTAATAAATGTGAAGTACTTTGCTAATTTTGAAACTCTGCGATACTCTACGATCTATGGAATACCATTTCCAAATATACCTAAGAAATTTCATATTTCTCATGGCTCTCACATAGATTTGTGGGTATAGTCATAGGGGCTCGCGGACAAACGAAAGTGAGAAATAGAGGACTCAACAACACTACTCTGATCAATAATATGTGTACGTCATGCGAGCTCTGAAGAATATTTTCGTATATTACAAGCGAAACGAAAGCTCTAACCTAGCATTCTTTCGGCATAATTTTGTTAATTTCGATTATGTTGAAAATCCAACACATTCGCATGTAACGCCTAGTTTCAAATTAACGAATGCTATATATTTTTGGCTACTGCAAGGATAGTTTTTGAAAGTTTTTGTTGTGTACTTTAGCTAAATGCTTAGTATCAAGCTCGTTAGTCAATTATCTCAGGCACAGAAGTCCTTAAAATACACCTTAATATTTACCACATGGAAGTCGAGTGTGTACAATTGGCATCATGCAATCTTCTGAGCTTCACGACGAAAATATTGGAAATCGGCTAACATACCCTACATTCCGAAATATCATGTAATAGTTTGGACGGGATTTTTTGGTATTCGGACGAGAATGAGTCATTCAGCTTTTGGTGCTGCCTACGTTTTTCCCAGACTATTAAGCATATTCCTGTGTAGAATTATTTTTAAATACCGTATTTACGTTAATGTAGAAAGATTTTAGCAGATTCATTGAAAATATATGTGATGGTTTGACTGATTTGGGGACAAAAATAACATATGTTATCTGATACGCTGTTCAACAAGTATACGAGCTAAGAGAAACACATATTCACCTACACAAACTGGTTGAAGAGTAATACAATCAGTTCAACGCGTCTTTAACGACGCGTGATGCGGTTTTACTTCTAGCACCGAAAAATTAAGGTACATTTAGTTTGTCAGAACATTTCCAAAACTCAGAAGTAAGTTTCAGACAACCCATAAAAGTCGTAGGTTCTGTCCCTATGTGCAATTTTTGTAGCAAATATTCTCCCGATCGCAAAAGTGAACACATCGCCTTGAAACTTCGCAAAAGACTTCTTCCCCGCAGGCTGGTATCGGAAAAGGACCAAATACTTGGATTCAGATGTCGCCAGTACAGCATAGACTCGGAACACCTCTGGTTTGCGGTTTCTTTGCTTGTTACTTTCACATATCCTTGGTACAAAACTGCAAATATCCAGCACCACCCGCACAGTATTATAAGATATAGAAATGTACAAACTACTTGACTATATCGCTTACTCGGTGGCGAGGCACAGATTTAACTCCCTCAACCATCATTGTTACTGCAGATACTCTAAAAGAAAAATATCCACATATCCCTCTCATGTTTCTTTTAATGGCTCTGATTCCTCGAATGATTTTGAAATCTCAAATCTATTTGCTGAGTATTCCCGACGAAACTTTTCGATTGCTAATTTCGATTTATCAGCAAACTACCCATATCCTATAACTAACTCGGTTTCAATACCTAACTTGGTTATTTCGGAAGATGATGTTTTCAAAGGGTTGAGTTCTCTAAAATACAGTTGTTCGCCTGGACCTGATGGAATTCCATCATGTGTACGTAAATCTTGCGCTGTCGAGTTATGTGGTGTGTTCTCAAAGATTTTTAACATGTCCTTATATTTAGGTGTTTTCCCTTCATGTTGGAAGAGTAGTTTCCTTATTCCTATCCACAAGAGTGGAAGTAGACAATTTGTTGAGAACTACAGAGGCATAGCCAAGTTGAGTGTCTTGCCCAAGTTGTTCGAGCGTATTGTGACTCAGCATTTGGCCTTTGCCATTAATTCGTATATTTCTCCGCACCAGCACGGCTTTCGGAAAGGGCGATTTACAATCACCAACTTGTTAGAGTTTACCTGTCATGTTTTCAAGGTTTTTTCTATCTTTAAACTCCAAGCCTCTGGCTTCCCTTTCTACTTAGTGAAATGGATAATAGATCCTTCATCTTATCTGCACAATAGATCCTTCAGAGTTTTGTTTAACTTCATCACCTCGGATGAATTCTCCGTTACGTCCGGCGTACCTCAAGGAAGTCACTTAGGTCCCATTTTATTTAGTTTATACATTAACGATCTCCCATCGGTAGTTAATTCCAGCCAGATCTTAACGTATGCTGATGATGTGAAACTGTTTTCTTCCTTCTCTGTTGAATCGCAATCACATCAGCTTCAAGGTGATTTGGATAATTTTGTTGCATGGTGCTCTTTGAATTTTCTAAAACTAAATCTGAGTAAATGTAAGAAGCTTTCATTCTCAAGAAGAAAGTCATTCAATACTCAGTATTTCATAGATTCGCATAAGTTGGAGGACGTCGATTCGATTACAGATTTAGGCGTTCTATTTGACCATAGGTTACGCTTTAACTTGCATATTGAGCTCTCGATAAGCAAAGCTAGGTCCGCGCTTGGTTTTATAAAAAGGTGGTCCAAAGAGCTTGATGATCCCTACATTACGAAAAGGCTGTACATGTGTTTGGTTAGACCTATACTTGAGTATGCCTCTGCTGTGTGGTCTCCTTCATATAGGTGCTACGTAGATTCAATTGAATCTGTTCAAAAGCAATTCTTGCTGTTTGCCCTTAGAAATTTGGGTTGGGATCCAAATGCCTCTCTTCCTCCTTTTGAAAATAGGTTGCTTCTGCTGTCCTTTGCGTCTCTTGAGAAACATAGGTTTGTTCTTGGCGTTAATGCCCCTAACCGCTTCTCTAGGCACTTTATCTTGGTTAAGCTTAGTCAGTGTAAGTTTAATTATGAGCTGTTCAATCCGCTCAGAGTCGTTTGCAAGAACCTAAATGACGTCTACCACTTATTCTCGTTATCGGACTCTTTAAAGTCCATTAAAGCAACATTGCTTAATACGCGCGATTTACCTACGTCGTATTTAAACTAGCTTTTATCCTTAAAAAGTCGTTACGATTCGAAAATGAATTATTGTCAATTTATTATCGGTTGCCAGGCTTATGCATGTTTGCGATGATTTAGGGGTTCATTTGCAATTTGGTCCTGTACCGGTTGTAAGTGTGGCCCTATGCTGACAGTGTACATGCTTTTTTTTTCTTTTTCTTTTTTTCTTCTTCTTATTTGTTTTATTATACTTATAGTAAATTTTATTATTAATTAATATAAGTTTTGCATTATGAGCCACTTGAACTCGACTGTTATTTGTTTAGTTGAGTTTCTAGTATAAGTAGAATTAAAATAAATAAAAACGTTTGCAATGTTCGGAAATAAGTTTCAAAGACCCCACAAAGCACGCACACTCCTGACCAGCATCACATTATGAATCGATTTAAGCGTGGCCCTGTCGGCTATCCGTCCGTGTAATATCTGTCGTAAACGTTCTCTTGGCCCGCAAAATGAATCAATCGATTTCAGATTTAGCAAAAATATTAGAAATTCGTGCAAGCAGGTTTGTAATAGAAATGGGTCAATGCGACGTAGGGATACGTCTACAGAACTATGTAAATTAAGAACACCTCTGTTTTTTAAAAGGAATGAAAAGTTGTTTTTTGCCGATTACTCATGAACTGGAGAAAGTAGATCTACACAAATTGGAACGTATATGATGATGTAGCTTCTGTGAAAAAATGGGAAAAATCAACCACGCCTATCCAATGCTATACTGCATTAAATTAACATTTTTTTCCAATATCCTTACAACGCCCAAAAGCAAGCTACAAAAACCCCATAAAGTGTAGGAAATCTTCAAATTCGGAATGCAGATAAGCGTGTCCGTTGATCTGTCCATATGTCCACCTGGGGTACACATTCTCCCGTTCGCAGAAAAGCAAAAGAGTTTAAAATTGACCAAAACTGGTCGAAGAACCTCACAACCAAAGCCTGTTCAATCAAAAACGAGAACAACTTTGCTGTCGGTGTCTTTTGCTCGTTGCTCGTAACCTACAACAGATATTCAGTGTAAATTCCCACATAATTATTCTACAAATATAGAAGAAATCAGCCACGCCGACCCAATACTATACGACCGAACAAAGTTTTCCTACTTGCTTTATTACGACAAGAAAAAACAATTAAAATGGTAGGTATAAAATGTTCAGTCACAACCCTATATAAAATTGTTTTGCTTGCTTACAGAACAATATGTTGAGACAATCAAGATACGCTTCAGTTTTCGGAATGCTGTAATCATTTGATCCCAACACTTTTCACCGGAGCATGCTTTTGAAGTGCGCAGATCTGAAGAATACGATGGGGGAGACAGCAGAATTAAGCATTAGAAGTAAGCATTTTTGTTCCACTGCGAGTGAACACGATACCGGTTTGGAAAACAGCTCTCTCATGCTCAAATATTCAAGCACAATAATGAATAGGATAGCTTTTGATATCTTTATGTTAGCTATTTCTTGCCACTACTCTTTTTGATTATCGAGAATAATTTTCGAAAGTTTTGGATGTGTTTTTTGAGCATCCGTTACAATGACCATCATCGGAACTTCGGATTTGTAGCGGCACTAGACCTTTTAAAAAAGTCAAAAAAACATAACCAAAGTGAAGAGAAATGTTGGCATGGGCCACATGTACGGGTTGGAATTGTCTGAAAATAATTTAGATTTTCGTTATTGGAGGTGGAATCTCTTTACCGTTTCAGGGAATTATTGATCGACGTGCGTATATTAATATAAAAGCTTAGTCGAAAATTGATTGATTGATAATTGGTAAGTTACTAGGACATAATAACAAAATATGGAACAGATTATCTTTCTAACTGAGCCGCAATTTTCTTTTTACACGATGGATACGTTCCCAAAAAATTCGTGTTAAAAAAGATATTGCCTAAATAGCAATATGGTAGATTGGTTCCAGACCTAAAAATGCAACTGAGCAAAACAATGAATCTCTATAGAAACTACTGCAGCTACTGTGCTCATCACCAAACTTATGCTAACTATCCCTCTGTTTGCGTCTGAATGAATTGCGTCCGCTTTCGTTCATCATCCACGTAATTAGATTAAGAGAGCAATGGTTGTATTATTGCGATTAACAGAATTTCATCGAAAACTGCTATAAATTCATCCCTGGATCTCACGCCTACTCCTGTCCGCGATCTAATAAATCTATATCCAATGTGTTTTGCTTAGTCTCATTTATTATTTCAGTATTCATTAACAATAAAACTTGAAAACTATAACATATACACTTATAAGATCTACTAATAAATTAAATAAATGGTTATTACATTTATTATTGCAAATAGCGCTCGCTCTCGATGTATAAAATACTACAGTTTTGTATAATTTATGCTCATCAGATTTTTGAGCAACAATAGAATTATCAGTTATTTCATTGAACGATTTCTCATTGGGATCATCGTCACTATTATCGCTGCCGTAGATACGACCGTCATTAGTATTACTAATGCTATTAGCGCCGTCATTATCATTGCTATTGTTAGCATCATATGTTTCTGCTTCCGTTGAGTAGTTTGGAAATTCAACTAAAACATGTTCAAAGATAGAATCGAAACAAACGATGAATAAAATTAAATTTTACACAATAATGTTTTTAATTTTCAATTCTACGAATATGCGCATGCATTGTTATATTAGATGATTGACCGACCTTCTCCTCCGGTGGCGAAACGCAATATTTTGCTGCTGTCACTCCAACCGTAATGATTCCGTGCAAGTACAACTACCTGATATATACTGGCAGGATGTAAGCCATATAAAGTGAACGATGTCGTGTATATGGACCCTAAAAAAAAAATGTTATTATACATATATATGAAAGTTCTGTAAAAAAAGTGCCAGGACTTCTTAAAAATAAAATCATTTTTTTAAGGAATTCTAACAGTCAACATATCCGTATCCGGAAGACGGACGGACATGACACAAAAGGCGACGGACACGTCGTAGCTTTACCTCCTTTAAAGCAAGCTCCGTGTGAAGCAATATATTTATGCCAAGGCTTGATTCAGACTTGAAACACTTTTCGCCGAGCGATGGTTTTATTTCTGGAAAAATAAAAACCTAACATCATCGTCATAGTCGGCGTGCGTTGATCGTTCTTGATCGAAAATACTAAACAAGTTTTCGGTGTATAAGTGGTATAGAGAAAAGAAGAGCACAAATCCAGTTTCTTTCAGAGGAAGGCGGGTTTCAAACTTATACGAAATTGGAAATGCCTCTCACTATCTTAGCTCTTTTTCAAGCTTATGCTTAAAAATTTATATAAAGGCTCAACAATTTTCCGCTTCTGTTCAAAAGCATTGCACTCATAACACGAGTTGTAAGCCTTTTGGAATATTTTCAATGATGTTATGTAAGAAACTACGGTGGAAAGGCCAAGAATTTAAGGCCAAGTTTTTGTTTAATAAAATTAGATAACAATTTCAAATAAAGCTGATATAAATAACAATTATTAACTAACTAATGCGCAGATTAACTAGGAATGCAAATACCGATACTTATTAGACATCATGTATATAAATTTATAAGAGTTCGTTACTCCGTTTTTCAATTTTATAGCAACAAAGAACGAAAAAAGCAAATATCAAAAAAATGAAAAATTAAGAAGCAACAACAATTACCTATAGAAATATCTGCTGGTATCGTCAATTCTGTCCACTCAAGCTTAGTTGTCACGGTTGTCGAAGATAGTGAGCTCTCTGCACAAGTAAGCGTATGAACAAAATGTATAGAATTTTCCAATTAGTTTCAAGTGTTTTCCAATTAAACACGATCACAGCATTACACAATCGCAAGTGTGTAATAAAAATGTATTGTCAGTTTATTCAACTTACCAGATGGTATTTGTCTGAATTTTAGCTTAAACTCAATTACGGGTGAAAAACTCTCCGTTTGCCAAACGAGCAAATGTGAGGTGGGGCTCTGCATGTCAGGACTGATTTTGAATGTGCAAGGCATCGGACGAAAAGTTAATTCCATATAAGCGCTAGCTACACCAATTGTGTTCTCTGCCCGACACTCATACATACCCATATCAGAGTCGCGTACATTCTTAAAGATTAGCACATGTTTCATATCAGCATAATAACGAAGTGCTGACGAATTCGAGGGAATCTCTACATCTTGACGGATATAACGTGTAGGGCTAATAACTCGACCATCGTGTAACCAACGAATTTTCGCTATTGGTGCGGATTCTACGAAACATTGCAAAGCGACACGTACTCCTATCTTTGAGTAGATAACCTTCTGAGATGCTCGTATTTCAGGAGCAACTGTTGTCAGAAACCGTTATAAGAAAAAAAAAAAAAACATTAATTAATAAGTAAAACTGAAAACTTATTTTTTTTCTTTTGTTTACACTCACATAGAACGGATAATTCAACACCATCGGTAGCCGGTCGGCCCACACCATTATTAGCTGTACATTCAATGGTACCTGACATATTTCTCGTTTTTATCTCCACTATATGACTTTGCCGATTGCCCACTAAATAATCAATTACTGTTGCATTGTTGTGCGTCCAAGTAATAGCCGGTTGTGGTACACCGTCCGTCTCACATATAATCTCCAATAAAGCACCCAACGGTAGCTCTATGAAACCACTAGGCGAAGCAAATATTCGCGGAGGATATTGCACTTCGATGGCATGGATTTGCACCGCTTTCACAGTATTGCTCATAATTTCGCAATAATATTTCCCCGTATCTTCCCGTTGAACATCCATTACTACTAAACTACCGTTCACTAATAAACGATAGCGTTTTAATGAGACTTCTTCGGAATGTGGTGCATCCACAATTAATAAGTCATCTTTAAGCCAACGCACAGAACCATAGGAGACTAGAAGTTTTCAAGCGAAATAATTTTAATTTTTAAAATATTATGTAAATTACTGCCCTCGGTGCGGAAACCGATCTAATGTATTATTTATTCAAGAGACTCCTAAACTAGATTAGATTTTAATATGTAAGCAATCGTGAGAGTTTTACTTATTCATTTATTGAAAGCAATAACAAACTCCCTTAATACAATTATTTATGTAACGATTTTCAAAACAAGTTGTTGCATGAGTAGTGATCCGAGCCGTTTTCAGCAGTGATCGTCCTTGAGCCAAAACATGCCAATATATCAAATCTCTTCGAAATATCTCAAAAGTTGCGATCTGTAGGTTGAGCACAAGAAACCAAGATAGACAGACGGGCCGATCGATTCAGAGTCACTTTTTGAACTGATATAACAAAAGTCGGGTCTTTTTCAAGTCCTTCTAGTTGTTGCGTACCCTTCTGACACACATAGGTAGCGTATAATGAAATTAAATTAATCATTATTTTGTTTTCTTTCATACATTTCCTAAAGGCCACAAAAGGCACACATCACACTTTTTCTTTTTTGTCATTCTTTGTTTAAAGCGAGCCGCTACTGAAAAAGACCAAACCCTGTTAACTATTTGAGGAAAATATAATGGCGGAAAGAAGATCATGTATTTGACTTTATAAATTTATTTTGGCCTAATGACTAATAGCAAGAAATCTTTAACAAATAAATTAACGCCACCGGAATGCTTTCAAGTAATCCTAAATTAAATCAAATCCTCCTTATTTACAAAAAGCACAAAAACCTCCAGCCTCCAGAAAAAGCTGTGTGTATTAAGTAAAACCAATTGTATCTCGATCTTTTTTTTTTTTTTGTTTGTTCTTTTTTGTATATCCTACGCGAATTCGTTAATCATTGAATGAGCATTTGTCAAGTGAATCCGCAATGTTATAATTTTTAACGACTTATCAAATGTTCAAAAAACACTGAAGGCACGCGTAAACTTGAACGTGAATTAATGATAAAAAAGATTTCCAAAAAAACTGCCAAATTTGGAATAACTCTCTTAATCTTCTTATTCTTTTAATTTAGTTCCACGCAGCCCATCTCTTACTGAGACATAAAAGCACAAATCTTAGGGCGAACATCAGTTCACGATAAAGGAACAATTCTACGGTATGAATATCCTTGTTTAATGGTCTTATAGCTCAAGCCATAGGTTAGACATTCTAACCCGATTAATAAATAAAAACTCAAAAATGTTGCAAAAAAAAATTTGAAAAAAATTGATATTCGCGCGCCCTGGGGCCGAGTATGCCAATGTTATCAAGCAAAGTCATTTCGATAGGAAACATTTCTCTTTCCTAAGCAATTTTATATATGGATTTAATTCTTCAAATAGTTGCAGTTAGGCAAGGTCTAGCAATTTAGGTAATTTGTTTTTGCGATAAAATATACGTTGAACGTAAAGATACACTGGTTGCGTGAGGCCTTGTGCAGGAAGGAACTCAAAATGCAAATTGACGAACCTCGCTGAAATTTACCAAAATAAATTTTGTTTTTAGACAGCTTGTTATTGATGCATGTATTTTTGTCCTAAATTATTAATAATTAGAATGAGGTCCAAGGAGTAGACCTACATGGTCAAAATTTGTAACACTTAATTTTCTTGTCAAATTGCCATTGGTCAATTAGGTTCGTTACAATTTTTTAAAGGTCAGACTGTTCCGTAGTATAGAGGCTTGTCTTTCATAAACCAATTATAGGAGAAATGGTTAAAAAATTTAACCCATACGCTGCAAACTTTTCATATCAATTTAATATACTTGAAATGCAGTCAATCACTCAACGACTATTGCCGTCAAATTTTGAAAATTGTAAACTGTCTGTCACATACATTTTTTTAATAGAACTTTGTTCGGTAAATGGGCGAAAATACGGAGACTCAAAATGGTATACCAAATTTCGTTACGTGTTGAGCTCAAATATATATATTAACTATTAACGGACAGATAAACTTAAAAAGAATTCAGCAAAGCGATCCCGAATCGATCGGTTTAATAAAGGGCTAGGGCTGTGTTGAGTCCATCCAAGTGTTACATCACGCACCAGAAGTGGCGTAGAACACAAAAGTGGCAAATAATTTGCGTGTGGCCTACAAAGATCTACTTTACCCACCTTGCAGACGCAAGTAACAGAATCTATTCGGAATCTTAAACTAAAACGAAGATAATATATCTCATGCATCCTTGTGTGTGTTGAACGCAAAAAAATAAATAAGATATTTATACTCGCTTTGACGTAATTATATAAGAATTTCAACGTCCCGGTAGTTGAGAAGGCATCATCTGCCTAATAAAAATTATTTTTAGGTTGCTTTCTCAAATAAACTGCGTAAAAAAATTCCAAGTTGCACAATTTCATCTATTATAGCTGCATCCAATTCCAATTTCAATATGAATCAGTGGCAGGCAATCGAGTAATAATGTTACGACTTTTACTTGGCAAACTGTCCAATGGCAGATGTCAGACAGAGAAAGAGAAGGTGACAGTTACACGAATATATAGATGGATGGAACGGCAAACGAGCCGGCGGATGCCTAAATGGACGGACAGGCGGTCAATTAAGTGAACGAACAAACAGAAAGTCAGACAGACAAACGGACAGGCGCACAAATGAGCGAACGAATGGAAGGCCGAGCAGAGCGACGATAAAGCGGATTAGCAAGTAAGCAAACAGACAGATGTGTGAACAAAATCTAATCGACTTAGAAACTGATTATGCTTTTATTGCTGATTGTTTCAATACGGAAGACAGACTTACGGAACACGCATCATCCTCTAGGGACAAATTAAGAATAATACCAAGAAATGTTGTAACGTTCAGCTTTCGTTTTAAAACACGACGATAGTGGGGATACTTTGTTTCAAAATGAAAGTGTTTACACTTTACGAGCTTACGAAGCAGGTTTTTTTTTTTTTTTTGCTTTCTGTCAATATTTGATCAGTCACTAATGGGATATCCTATATACGCGTAGAAGCGGTGGTGTTCAAAAATATCATTGCCTATTTGATTGTAGGCATAACAATAAAATTTTGCTATTGAATGTGAAAATCTGCAAGGACTTCATGCGTCAGTATCGACGCTGACAATTGGTATCAAAAGCGGAACTGATATCAATGTCGACGATACCGTCTATTCGTCAACAAGTAGTAAAATTATGTAAGTTATCAAGCAACCACTCCTTCCGGTTACGTGTACGTAAAAAGCGTATAATTGATTGTGTTGTAAGGCAACGTCAGAAATCGTATACAAATATTCTAACTTACACTTGTAATCGCATGGTAGTAAAACGGTATCGTTCTCAAAAGTTTTCACGGTTGTCGGTACACTGTGAAACTCGCGACCCTTAAAGTCTTCCGTAAATTCAAAATTAATAACATTTACACCTTTGCAATTATTAAGCAGAGAAATAAAAATTGCAATAATTTTTAAAGATGATGAAAACATTTTTCTTAAACTTTGCACCCAAGCGAACTTGAATTTTTTTTTTTTGTATTTTTTTTTTAACTTTTAATTAAATGTAATGTAACGATCTCATTCGAGGCTCTACTCTTAATGGAAGATTCCGTTTGTCACCGATGCTCAATTAGAACTGTTCTTCAATTTTGAAAATAACTCAACAGAATTGATCTTGGTTTTGGATAAACTTTTCAGTTTGTTTTTTTTTTTTTTTTTTTTTTTTTTTTTCATATGTCTTCCTCTATTTTATTTACCGCTTTAATTATACAACTCTCCATATTTATGTATGTAGGTGCATGTGTGTGCATGTGTGCGCGCGTTTTTGTCATGAAATTTAGCGAAGAGTATCTTTTATAATTCCAACAGATACATAGGAGCATACTAGCATTTGGACAAAGTCTTGCAATTGTTCGCCTGCGCATTATTATTGTTATTATTATTCAATTAAAACGTGCCTTCATTGCACATCTGCAGATAATACACACTTTTTTTAGTGTATTATTATTATTATTATTATTTATTTATTTTTTTTTTTCTATATTGAAAACAATCGTTTAGAACTGGAAGCACAAACACGCAAGAGAGTAACGGGCCGGTTTACGGCAAAAAATATCACCCACTTTGACATAACAAAACTGTCTTTTCTCCCTAAAGCAAACATGAAATATTTCTTTACAAATATAGAGAGATCGCCATACTCCTTAATGTAAATACATACATAGCGTAGATTGAGGAATTTTCAGTGATTTCGAAAAGTCACCAAAAGTGTATCTAACTCGGCTCCAATTTTGAAAAATGAATTTTGACTGAGGCCGAAACTTTTACACTTCTTATGAAAAATATAAATTTCCAAATTTAAAACTCGAGTCTCTCAAGTCGATGGCCACGAGGTAGCATCTCTGTGCAGTAGGGTACAGTTTCTTAGATTTACTTCCGTTTTTAATACCTTATGCCTAAAATATTGTATACCGCTTGTCTTACTTTTGCTCCTGACTTCCTTAGACTTACGTTCACTTGCAGTTGGTGCCTTAAGGCGAAAGAAACATAATTTTTACATTATTGACTTTAAACCGAAACTTTTTGCTTTGAACTTCAGTTTCTTGGTCGACGATCGCCTCTTGATAGTCTTGTATTTCAAGCCTTTTGTCTTAATTCGGCTGAATGTTGTTTTGTAGCTCGAAATGAATAAAAATAAATAAATTGAAACTGTGCAACATAAACTAGGCGTGGTCAATTGCATGTGCTATAGAATCAGCCCATCTGAACTTGAAAACATTTATCATCACACCTACCAGGTTTAAGAGTAACGCAAAAACGCAATTTTTTTGCTTTCGAAAACGGTTTATTTTGAACTATGCGTGTCCTTCAACCATTTTCACCGCCAACCCGCTTGCCAAAACTGAAGCCGATATTTTAATCTTTACCACCACTAGGACGTTTGCTACACACATCCACATAAGTGTACAGGCGGGCGAACAAACATAACTAAATTGATGCAGAATTGCGGGTTTGATTAAGAATTTAAACGCTAACAGCAACCCAAATGGGAACGTAAATGAACAAAGTGAATTTACTTCTCATCCTTCGGTGATTTATCAATTTGGTTTATATTATACAATTTTCTAAAACTGTACGGTAGAATATGTTCTGATCATTCACTCATCTCACTTAGAGACTTACAAGTAACCAGAGGTTATTTCACCAATACAGCCAAAGAAACAAAGTAAAAAGTTAACATTGGAAAACACTCCAAAGTTAAATGATGATATCCTGGCAGCAGCGTGTTGACCTTATCGGTATTAAACAACTAGAAGCAAATAAGCTTCGAATTACTTTGAAGCTTTTTCTACAATCTTTACGATTGTGTTTGAAAAATAAAATGCATTTGTGTATAGCATGAAAAATCTTTATTTATTCTTCTAAATCCTTTTGATCGCCCTTAATGCGCTTCCCGTGCGACGCTATGCACTCGCAGCAACGGTCTTACCAATCCTCAATATATTCAGATAAGTCGTTTTCCGGAATGGGTTAAATACTTCCCATACTGAACCCATACTGAACACATGAAACTTTGACCGTTTTGAGCCACACAGAATCTCTTAAAATAGATTGGCAAAGTCCATAGCCCTAAGTCATGTGACGATTCTCGATTCTTGAGCACTTTTGATTTATTTGATTTCATTAACGTGGCTTTCGTTGATGGAGGTTGATGGTCGTCCACGACCCTATTCGACTTGAGCTCGTTCTCAGTTTTCTCTCGTAAACTTCTTTTCGAACTAGCTTCATCATCATAACGCTTCTCCGGCACAATATTAGTATTAATATTTTGTTCATTAATAAAAAGTTTTTGGTCGACAAAGTAAAAACTCGGAACTTTACTCTTCATGTGACTATGTACCATTTAAGTACATTAGAATGAAACGCCTCATAAATATCAAAAACAAATAAATACAAATGCAAATGGTTTCATCCTTTTCTAATACCTCCATGAAATTGAAATGAAAAATTCATCTCATATTTTGATCGCTTGTTATTTACTTTTCCAAATTATTCGAACGAATATACAAGACTTCAAGAAAATGTTTAGTTTGCTTATGAAAACTAAACCCAGTAATAACTAATTGCTTTAAAAAAGCTTTACTAAGTTTTGAAACCTTGTTGAGGATCAATGTTCAATTAGGACCGATTAGGTTTGACGATATCATTTAAACGGAATATTTAAATAGACGAATCGTAGAGCAGACGGAATATGTATGCGTGTGTGTGTGCAAACTAAATTCAGCGATAACAGACTGCACTAATTCAACAATGAACAAATACACAGTCTGTTGTGCTGCCTTCAAAACTAGACAAAAATTCTCAAAAATACTTAGTGCTAGACATCTTCCCCGCACTAGATGCTGAACGCTACCGTATATACGTTTTGAAAAATAATGCATCCAACTAGTGCGACTAGAAGTCGAAATAAGAAAACATCTGTGAAATGAAATCATGAGAAACGAATTACTGCAGTAAATGGATGCGGGCCCGCCGAACTGCGCTTAGCCATTCCGGGCACAAAAGAACTATGTGTGCAAAGAAATGTATTTTCTTCAATAGGCCCCCTTTTAATATATGCATAAAGCATATAAGAAAATAAATCCAAGTATTGTGTGTTTATATATACATATATATACATTTTTTTCGTGTTAAGTTGGACTAAAGTCTACAATTAGCATTTCCTTCATAGTAAGCAAGTTGATGTTAGTTGTTGTTAGGGTAATAAAAATTCCTAATAATTTTCTGTTAGATTCCATGCAATGGACACCGTTACAAACGGCCACATAGTTCTCGCGCCTGTTACACGAATGGTGCAAAAAAACAATATTCAAAACTTTTCATAGGCTAAGCCACTGTAATAGTTTGAAAAAAAAGACATTTTTTCAAGAAATTTTTTAAAGAAATTTTTGGCTGAAAGGAGCAGGAAGGATAGAATAATAATATTTGATGAGGTTATTAAGCATACCTTCGAGTTACGTTTAGATTATTGGTAAGTACAACCTAGAAAAGGTAGTCGGATTTAATGACTGTGGAGACATCGTTGATCCAATCCTTCGCCCAGATTCAAGGCATTTATTGAATCATTCCTCAACAAAGCCAATTCTATCTCGGCGTTTTTAAGAGATAGTCAAAGGAATTCCATTAGTGTTATATAACTAAACGTTGGTATACGTCTCTTCTCCGAGCATTATTACAGCCTGCACACAATACTACACACGAACTCCAGATATCACATTCATCTGATAGAACGGTGAACGACGTAACTTTTTAGTTTTTGCTCCACCCGACTAAGGATGGAATCCTCGTTTAGAGTTTCTATCTGCAATGTAAAAAAAATTAATAAAATAGTTAGGAATAATTTTTTTTGCAAAATTCCTGCTTCAGAGAATCTCATTTTGGATGAATAAAATGATATGAACACTTCGCGTATATACAATATCTATTTATTAACAAAGTGTTGGACCACTATTTGCTGGTAGAACAGCTGCAATTCTGCGCGAAATAGATTCGCGGAATGTCTCAACAGTCACCAACGATTTGTTGGCCGATTCTTTCCCTCACTCTTTGCTCTAATATTTCCCATAATGGTTCAACTGTATTGAGATCTGACGATTGTGGTGCTAAGGGATTATATGCGAGAACATTCTGATGTTCTTCAAACCAAGAGTGAACCCTTTTGGTTATGCGTATGTGCATTGGAATATAGCTAACCGTAGTAAGAACTTTATCATTGAAGATATCGACATTTTTATTCGCTGTCCATAGGCTGTACCTGACGCATTTATGTATACTAAATAAATAAATGCTGATACGACGATGATTTAAGATTTGTATATATACATACATGTACATAACGATTGACTTTATTTGTTTGATCCGTCACCGGATTCTGTTAATGTCGTTAAGGGTGCTACTCTACGGATAAGCCGCTAGCATCCTGCCTACACCTTCAATTCTAAACAGACTGTATCTTTATCTGATAGTTTTATTTTTTTCTTTCAGTTCAACGATTTCATTACTGCTTATTAATGTTTCCCCCCACTGTAATTTTGCTTAGTATTTTTATCGCTCTTCAGCGTTATACAGAATTATTATTATTTTGTTTATTTATTTGTTTATTTTGTTTGTTGCTCATTACCGAAAATTTTAGTGATTATTACATCCATTACATCACATTAAGTGATAACTACATCCTATGCTATTTGGAATGCTATCTATTACATTACCTCTCTTATCGTATTGATTGAGATATTTGTAGATGGGATAAATTAATAAATACATTTAAGAAAAAAAAATATTTTCGAAAAATAATAAAAAAATGGCAACACCGCATTCGTTCTAACTAGGCACTATCATTTTAAAAGTCTCTGCGGATCGGAAAAAAGACACTCTTTTATTAAGTATGTAAATTAAGTTCAACCAAAAAAATGGTTACGTACTTCCTTGCGGAATGTCATGTTCAAAATTCATGTTTCGAGGAAAAGGCATTTAAAGTTCCCCGAGTATACGTATGCTGCTATACAATTATGTTCTAACAATTACATTTTCTGACTCCCTAAAGTGTTGCCATATCTGCAATTTGACTATTTAACGGATCTTTTGAACTAAAACATACAGCTGTTTGTTTGAAAAATTTGAATCCGCCTACCTTCATAACGGCAAATAGATCTCAATTCTTCCAGGTTGAAATAAAACTTAAAATATAATTCCCAATACTCTGAGAGTACTGAGAAAGCTTCTATTGCGAGCTAATCGAAAAATGTAGTAAAAAATCAGTTTTAATTGCATAGATGCGCTCTAACGTAACGAGAGAACTCTATTTACTGGGTTAAATCATTCCTTCAACTAATTAATAATTGCTACACAGAGGGCAAGAAATCACTATATCGTTCATAAGCAGTTCTAAGACATGTAAATGATAATTCTAGAAACAAATATATAGTCAAGTGTAGAATTTTGAAGTTAAAAGTAGTTACAGAAACAAATTAGAGCCTAGCTCGCCAACTGGGATGTTTCAAACACTTCTGACTGTCCTTGTTTTTCTAAGACTACGGTAAGTAAAAGTGTAAGCAGAGACATCAACTATGTAGTACGGACAAAAACTACCTACCCTGTGTTCACTCCGTTGGCTAGGGGTATTTAGGGAATTTATCTTATCATCTAAGCGTAACACATTTCTTCTTCTTTAAAAAAAATTAACTATTTATATATATAACAATCATAGTAAAAAATTTAGTTTTTTTTTTTTTTCTTTAAAAAAAAATGAATTCTTATAGATGTTTGTTTTTTGTTAAAGATAAGAAAATCAATGATAATCAGAGGACCAATTTGTGTAATACAATGACAATTTAGGTGATATTCCGTCGGAAGCGCGTCCCTCGATTACAGTTTTGTTCATAAAGTATGCGGTAAGATAATAATTATTAAATTCAAAAGAAAAATTGAAGACTCAAAATCTTATCCATCTCTGTTAAGTTATCTGTTTCAATTGTAGCTCGAACCACCAACTGATAAGCTTAATTAGTTGGAGAGGCAATTGGATGGTGGTAATGCCAACTTGTCTGGCTGTGTTAGTAGATTGGATCGATAAGATTCATTTGATTGCTGATACTTTCAAAATGGTCGTTGTGTGCGTGCACGAGTTCAAGAATTTCTTAATTTTCTTCCACACCTTTTGTAGGCAAATGATACCGAGAATGATACAAAATTCATCACTTTGTAGTTTTTCAGTATTATGACACAATGAATTTTCTTAAATGTTCTTAAATTTGTAGTTTTCTTTATTTTAGGAGAGATCCGAGCACAACTTTTTATATAAGCACAGTTAATGAATCCTTCCAAGTTTTTTTATTTTTTTCTTAATTGACTAAAATATGGTTCGAGACGCTTTTATTAAATTTAATATTTTTGAAAGAATTTTTGAAATTTAAACAAATCATTTACCGCTTTTTTCACCTTCATTTATATTCACTTGAATTTTCTAAATTTTTACGGCTGATGCCGTTTTGAAGCGTTTCACTTGTGTCCTGTATTTTTTTTTTTTTCCATTCGATTTCTATTCCTTGTTTTCTCTTTTTCTTAAGCGGCGGATTTTTTGTTTTTCATTTTTTATTTTCAAGTTCCAAAAAGTTAATCTGTTCGGTTTTTTTTTTTCGATTTTTTCTCTTTTCCAAAACAAAAACTAGGCTAGCAGAGACTACTAAACCAAGCAGTTGTCGCTTTGAATGGCAAACTTTTGTAATTTTTCCGGTGAAACCTTGATGCCATCATTGTAGAATTTCTCGGCCGGAATAAAGTGAATCAAAAGATTTTCATAGGCCTCTTTTAGACTAAAAAAGTACTACAGAAACAAACGACACAAATCGTAGTTGGCCAAACTCTCTCAATCATCATTGGGCAATAGATTGTGTAATCAATCACGGAGCTTATGGTACACGATTCTTTTGCAAGTTCACCAAACACAAATCATTATCTTACACGGCATCAATATGTGCTCTGCCGTCGTATCTGCCTGTACATCAAAATGTGTATGGATCGTATCCTTTTTCATAACTATTATCCCATCTATCTCGTAAAAAATGGCTAGATTTCCCTTCGCTCGAACAACCAAAAGACGAGTTTGTTTTTTCATCCAGCCGTATGCAAATGCTTTTCCGATCAATGTCAAGTCCCGCAGCAATGCGTAAGATGGAACGCATTGGTGTTCCGCAATTTGTTTTGTCAAAGGGTAAATCTTCACCATGAACACCACGATTTTTGCACAAGCCTGCGGAACATTGTCGTCTTTCTTAAAGTCACTGCGTAAAGTAGAGCGAATTAATTCAAAAAGTTTTGCTTCATTTTCAAAACATATTTTTATTTTAATTATCCGCAAGGATTGTCACCTTTCACATCAATTATAGTATGGTTCGGTAATGTCAGTATTATCTACGCTATAGTTACGCTATTCTAAAGCCAGGTGTTAGTGAAAGCGGTATGACCTTTTTCCTTGATCTGCTGTTCTTCCCTTACCTCTAGACTAAAGGCTAGCTGGGCAGCCCAAGCAGATAGTAGTAGGTCAACATTTCGCTATTTTCGACGAACTCAAGTATTCAAATTAATTTACTTGATATTCACATTCACTGAACACATCCGTTAGGCTAGCGTTCGAAATGAATTTTCAATTTTGATGTTTGAAAAAAAAAAAAAAAAAGAAATGCGAAAAAATATAAATTTTTCAAGAATGTGGAAAATTCTCTTCCTTGTTGTAATTACTTGCATACGCGCACAGCGACACAGTTATTGTGGCTTTTGCAACAACGAAGGCGAATGCAGTGATGAAGATGGTAGGAAGATTTGTAAGTGCAATGATTATTTCACGGGAGATACGTGCAACGAAATGGTAGATCGTTGTCAACTCAATCCTTGTGCAAATAGTGGAAATTGTGTAAATGTTTTGGGACAATTTCTATGCCAATGTAGTAGTGGATTCGGTGGCCTTAAATGTAATTTCGATATGGTTTTCACGTCCATGCTATTGCACTTTAATCACTACGCTACCTTTGGTGAAACGCACGATTTTCTAATAATGATTGAAACATTAGGAGAAAGGAGTTTTTCTTTAGAGCTAATATCTGAGAATTACGCTATCGGTTTGTTAGAAACTGAGTTAAGTGGCAGTGACGGTCAAAACCAATGGAACCAATCAGCAGATTTGAAAAGCTTGGCAAAGGAACTGGGTATAAAATATTCTGATAAATTGCCTTACACAGAAGGTTATTACAAAAAGTTTCATCAATGTTTCTGGACTGAAGGCCTTATCAAAATAATTCTACAGACTTATGATAGCGAAACGGGCCAAAATTATTTCTTTCGCAATGAGTACTCACTGTATATAATAAAACCGGCCAGGATTGGTTGCACCCCGCAATTGGAATTTTTGCATGGCTCGGATCCGTTAGAACCTCTCGACGTCGACATAGATCGTTTCAATAATTTTGAGGCTGTAATCAAGAAGCGCTGCTACATAGAATCCACTTTAACTTATTCATGGTCAATTTATAACAGCATTGGCATACGGGAGTTATACAATTTTGGTAATACAAAACAGCCTCTCCTTAAGGTATCTCCGTATCGTTTGTGGTTTCATTATCATGGCGAGGTTATGGCTTCCTATAGAATTCAAGTCTTAATTACTGAAAAGTTAAAAAACTTCAAAGGAGTCACACGCGAACGAGTAATTACTCAGAATTTTAATGCAATTAATTACAGCTAACTTACTTGAATGCGAAATTAGTTTTTCATAATAGTATCAAGAAAACCGGTTTTCGCCCGAATAGCTGGTGGGGAAAAACGCGAGGTGGGTGCACAGCAAAAATTCATTTTGGATGGATCAAAGAGCCGCGATTTCGCTTTAGCGCCCGAGGCGTCTGAGGACATGTTTTACAGATGGAGTTGCACTCCAGACGATGACGACACACATAATGAAGAATGTGTCAGAGATATGGGTTCAGGTATTTATTGGACTTCATATCTTTAGCTTTCACCAATTTCACTCATTTTTTCTTTCTTAACTTCTTCAGATAGGCAATTACTAGTTACAGCTTCTGCATTACAAGTTGGGAAAAGCTACACTTTTCATCTTAAAGTCAATTCCAAAGTGAACCTTGGCGAGACTCACACAGTTCAGCAGAGAGTTACTATAGTGGAAACTGAACAACTCTTCATAGACATTGAATGTATACGGAATTGCGCACGTAACCAATATGTAATGGATCGTTTCATACATGTTCGCGCTCAATGTATAAGATGCAGACAGTGTGTCTCTAGCTCATATAAGTGGTTTCTTAACGAGATTTTATTAGATGAAGAGAAGGAGGAGCGTTTAATTTACACGCCAAAAGCAGAAGACACTAAACTACAATTTGTCGCAGATGTCGTTTGCAATAATCTACACGGCAGAGGCAGTTTAAAGATGATGCAGAATGAGCGACCGAAAGGTGGCAAATGTACCATAAAACCGACAGATGGTACAGCTTTCGAAACTGATTTCGAAATAAGTTGTGAAGGTTATAATGATGTGGACAGTCCCTTAAATTATCAATTTATGGCCGGTAATTATTCTTTGGATCGTACTAACGCTCCAAAGACGCGCGTTCGCTTGCCGCCAACTGGCATTATTACTATTATTGTCTGCGATCAATTTGAAGCTTGCAGCGAGTCCAAACTGGAAGTCACTGTAGAACCGTTATCCGATATTAACACAAATTTGTCCCCTAACCAAAAAAAATTATGGAAGCTTTTCAAAAATAATAATATGTCAGATGCTTTAGTCTTAATGAAAACACTGACGGCAAATCTCAACGAAGCAGGAACAAGAACAGCTGATATGATGATTGAAGAAATGGTCAATGTGGACTTGCATAATCTATTACGCGTCGAACAAATGATGACCATAATCAAAGATTTGAGTCAAAATTTGAAACCTTTAGACAATGAAAAATCTCTGGTGTTTTCAAAATATTTTCAAAAATTATACAAAGGCTTTGAGATTATTTTTAAAGATGAAGAAATCAAGGAACTTTCGGAGAGTTCCTACCAGAAAGCTTCAACACAGCTTTTAAGTCTTGTAGATGATTTTTCACAAACATGGGAAGACATACCTAAAGTTCAGGTATTGCAATTTAAAAGTGTGACGAGTGATAATCCTCTGGCTGAGGATTATGAAGAATTTGCAGACTTCGATGTTAAGGCTCTAGCAAGAATAGAGAACTGGTTACGCTCGGCAGAAGAGTTGCTTAAAAGCGTCAAATGTATAGGTCTGGCAGCGATAAATATGCACGAACCGGCCGAAAATCCTTTTAAAGTCGATCTGGGTTCACTAAAATTTCAAACTAAAGCTATTGACTTAAACAAAGATAATCAAATTGAGATTAAGGAGGAGACCGTATACTTAAAGATAAGCAATGAGACTTTAAAAGAACTAGCAAGTAAGCTTAAAGGCGAAAAAGCCGTTCTGCAAGTGGGCCTTCTAAAACGAAATCCGTTCTGGTGGTTTCCCGATAGCTATGGCGTTAACTCGCGTATTATATATTTCTCAGTTTTTGGCAAAGAGAGTAATTTAAAGAAGTTCGTGGCATTGGATAATCCCTTAGAACTTAAAATAAATATAAATATACCGGATGCCGAACAAGAAGCAAACATCATTACCGGTTACGTTAAAAGTCATTTGCACATGCCCCTATTTACAGTCGAAGTACCGGGGCACTCAGTTCTAATCGTTACATTTTTAAATGCGAGCATTGACTTGATGTTTGGTCTAAAAGTGGACAAACCTCCCCGAAGCTATGAACTTCTGAATGCTAAAAATATTATTAGCGCCAATAATGTAAACGGAAATCAAAATGTATTTATTGAGAATCCATGGGATGGCATACGATCTGTATATTTGGCCGTACGAGCCGTTCATAACATAAAGGAAAAGTCAAATTTTTCATTTATTAACCGAGTGCAGCAGTGCTTAATGTGGGATTTTGAACAGACAGATCCCCAATGGTCGACTGGGCCATGCAAAACAATACCTGCCAATCAAGAGGAAATCGTATGCCATTGCTATCACTTATCAATATTCGCAGGCAAATCGTATTCAACAGTCGCTAATGAAGATCTTGACGACAATATGCTTTTGGAACGTTTAGGTTTTAATTGGTTTATTCTAGTTTTTTATATGCTTTTATTAGGGTTTTACGGGCTCGTTCTGCTGTACGTCAGCTTCCGTTCTAAAAGACACAAACAAATACTGATTACCAGCATCGAGACTAAACACTACGATCTACAAGTTTCAATTTTCACGGGAGGACATATGAACTCAAGCTCAACTGCCAATGTTACCTTAAGATTTGTATCGCAAAGTCGCCCGTATGCAGTTACGATATATCAAAATCCTGCCAAACCCTTATTAAGGCAGAATACTGTTACAAAAGTCTACATGTCTAGTGCATATGTAAAATTTCCAACAAAACTTCTTATAAGTCAAGATCAGTCTGGTAGATTTCCTACTTGGTATTGCAAGAAAGTCGTTATGGAAAACTTCATTACGAGAGAAAAACAAGTGTATCTAGTTGATAGGTGGATATCACAACGAACATTGGGAATTAATCCGGCAACAGATGATCGAACATGGCGACAAAGATATTACGCCAATTTGTCGTTGATCTACAAGAACTGGTACCTGTTTCAACCGTTTCTAGGGCCGGTCTTATATGAAGATTTGACACTCACGTCCAGAACCTGCATATGGATATCCCAAATATCTGTTACCGTTTGTGTCGTGGCTTGCTTTTTTTCACCCACTTCTATGGAAAGCTACGAGGAGGAAAGAGAACGTTATCGCACATTGACTTTTCACTTTTTCGAAATCCTCTGGTTAGGCGTGGTTTGTCATCTCATTAACTCTATCATATACTTAATGTTCAGGTACACTCACTTATTCAAAAAGAAATAAATTGCATTTAACTTTTAGTTTGCCTTTCTTGTGCCCTCTTTCTTTCTCTTTTTTTTTTTCTTTTGTTGAATAAATTCCAGAAAAATCCGAGGCCTCTTATATTTTGGAGTAAAATTCCATTTATTGAGTACGAAGATGAACAAAAGGAATGCTCGTGACGTGCATTTATTCTGTTCTGGAATAAACTCTATTCACTGAGTGTGAAGATATGCCAAGGAAAAAGTGGTCGCGGTTGCTTTTTCTTTTTTTTTTTTTGAATAAACTGGAGATCCAGAAAGAGTTCGATGTACTTTTTTTATTCGTATCGCATTATCGAAGGATGAAGGGTATCTTCATTTTGTCAGAACGGTTTCGCTACCCAAAGATCCCAAAAAGTTTATATATTCTTGATCAGTATCAAATTCTATAGCGATTTAAGCATGAGCGATTTGAAATTTGTGCGGCAGCATTGGAAGTTCTATCACCCGGTCTACCACTCGGTCGAAAGGCATGTCTACAATACGGCGTAGATTGAGATCACCTTTGTTTTTCAAAAGGAGTGAAAAATTGGTTCTTGCTCATTACTCACAAACTATAGTAAATAAACCTATAAAGATCTGAACGTATATTCTATGGGCAAAGCTGTAGTAACATTACAAAAAGGAAGAAAATTAGCCACGCCTATCCAGTGTTATAATACATCAAAGTTTAATTTTCTTTCTGACTACTACTGTAACAAGAGGCAAGCTTCCTTGCGGTACAAAAATTCTTGGCAAGTTTCGAATTGGTAATGCAACTAAATATGTCTGTCCGTTTAGCTATCCATTTGCCCGTTTGTCCAACTGTGATAAACATTCTCCCGTTAACAGAAATTTGCAAAAGCATTTGAAAATGACCGGAACCGATCAAAGAGTGCGCCTACACGCACACGCCTATGGGACAAAAACTGTAAACACCTTTGCTTTCCATGTGATTGCTTATTGCTCATAAAGCACTATATCTATACATACACATACACATAAAATTTCACTCTTATTTTGGAAATAGAATCCACCCAACTTTATACAGAATGAAAGTTTAATTATTTTACTTTTTTTTGAGCTCTTTTGGGATAACTGCGATGGACATCAAAAGTTTGTTCTCGACCGAATATAATTTTCTCATTTGTTTGGACCACACTCTTCTATATATAAAGATGAGCCAAGGAAAAATTCGTAGCTCTTTTTTTTTGATCTCTTCGTTCTTTTCATTTTATGTGGACTTTATTAAACGAAATGATATACGATCAACCTCAACATTAGTTCATCATTGTTTGAACATCTGGTTTGATGACCCAAAAATTGAATCGAGCGAATTTCACGGGCATCCTTTGATATAATCTTGACATCATTAAAAAAGGTTCGCAGAGAGTATTTATCCAATGCAAAACCCGAGCTCTGCCAGTTCCACAGCCACCCTCTTTCCAAATGCAAAAATACATAAGACTTAGAGAGAGATTAACTAATTTACATAAGATATGCGATCCACAAGCTCGATCATAATAAAAATATTTTATTGCGTGATTTACGGATATGATTAATGTTGAACACTACAATCACCGTTAGAAAGTCATCTTTTTCTTTTTTAACAACAACAGCAGATGACACTTTCAAATGCAGTTGAGTCATCTCATATTGAAAGATATTTAACATTCACATTTAACAACTAAAGCTTGACTAACATTCTAATAAAATCTGAACCATTGTTGGAATAACCATTTCTGAAGAATAACAAATGACAAATATTCGCATGACTAAGAATGCAAGTAAAGTTAAAAAAATAATGATTACGAGTTTTTACAACAAAAAAGAGAAAGAAAATTTCAAAATAATACTATTGAGCCGATGCACGCAGATTCAAAACAGGGAAAACCCAATCATTTTGGATATAAGTGAAAAAAAATATCCCTATGGAATTTATTTATTTAACTATTATTTTGACAACAATTATGACATTATGTGCGACATTATGTAAGGCGAAATTAAGAGTTAGACTTCCTTAAATTTCTTTAATAATTTTTTACCTGCCAAATAGCAACAAATACTTCTCAATTATCCGTCGAAAACCAGAATTAAAAGATTATTCAAATTTTGTTCACTATCTTAGCGGGAGAATAGCGTTTAAAAAAAAACTGGATTCACCTTTAGATACAAGAACTTTTTTAGAATCGGGGAGATTCGATGCGTTACACTCGAAAATGTTAGTATGCGGGTTGCAGATGAAATCTAATGCCCTTCCATTTTGAATCCATTAAGAGAAGCCAGTAATACGATAAAGCATCCAATGAGTTTTTGGGCCACATAAGGAATCCTATTCCCCGTAACATTTTTTGGCTATACACTGTCCTTTTTTACACTGTTTTTTTTTGCACGGTTTCATCAATGAAAGCAAATCCGCTTTTTTACGCAAATTTTTTGTTCTAACAGGAATTAAATTTAAAATTTTTTTTTTTAAATTTATGAACTTAATTTAATTTAAGTTTGGCATAATTGTGTACATACACATCTTGTCGTTAAAAATTTTTAAAACGTTAAAGCAGTTACAAGAGGGAAAATATTGGAAAAGAGAAATCCCTTTCACTTAGTAACTAGGGCAAAGAGGTTGCAAGATATTGTCGTATTACACAGAGAAGAAAATTTAAATTAGGAAAATATTAACGGCAATGTTTTTGTTTTTATTCATTTAAGTTAAGGTTTTATGTATTATTCAACATCCACATCCTCATCCAAAGGTTGTTTAAGCAATTTTCTGCGCCTTCGCTTATCGCCAGTTTCCGTTTTTTTTGTACCAATATACTTCACTTTGCTTTGGGCGTTTCTGAATTTAGTCTTTCTGAAAGGCAGTTCACGTATGCGCGCAGCACCACTAATTTCTTCATCAGCAGCAGGTTTATACTCAAATAGTTCGCCATTAAATTGGAAATCATCGTCTTCGGAAAAATCCTTTTGTATCGATTCCATAAGACTCAATCTTGTCACACTATAAGATTGTTGGCCTATTGCATCAATTTCATTACACCGTACATTCTCATGATTCGAATAAATAGCATCATCTGGTCGAGACAAAGTCACCATACGTGTTTGATGCTGGTGAGTGCCAGCCCTTAAACCATATTCAAAGGTCTTGATTGCCGTCTGCATGATAACATTCGTTGCATAATTAACACCTTTAGAACCTAATTGTAGCACAGCAGAATAACCGCGTTCTTTCGCCTGACTGATATATTCATCAATTTCCTGCTCACGCCTTGTTAACATAGGATGTACAAATTTTCTATACAATGTTGAACTTCCTTTGGTGGCAGGAGACAACAGCCAGAGCACAATGACAACCTTAACTTCATAATAAAATGGAAACCATGATAGAAATATGTCTGTAAATGTCTCACAACATGTGAAGAACGCATATACAATCCAGTACATCATCCATTCGACATATTCCTTCACATTTTTGGTGCGCACAGCCTTGTAAGAAGCGTAAGCCGGATATAGAGTACCAAAAGATAGTATGACAAGTCTTGAAATTAACGCACTGATCATTATTAAATTTTTTCTTTGCTGTGTAGCGCGGCCAAAAAGGCACCAAAAAAGGAAAAGTACAACATACACATTCACATCTATTTGGCTTAATCCGAAAGTTTAGCTGAAGGGAAACTTTTTCCTATGTTTCAAAGCACTCGCAGATCATTTTCAGCGATTGTGCAACAAAGGTAAGTAAATAATCTAATCCCAGTTAATAGAAATTGCACAAATTCGAAAAGACTCTCCAACTTTAAAAAATATTCTCCACCATATAATACAACAAATTAAAAAAAAAAATAAAAGAAATTAATTTTAATTCTAATTTTGAAACTTATGTGTATAGCAACAAAATAGCAACGTGGGAATACTGTCAATTTATGCCACCACCTGTGTGAGTGATTTGACCTACTACTACTTGGCCTTTAATAGCTAACAAAATTCTTCATTTGAATCGAAACTGGCCGTTTTGCTTTGCAAGACATATTTATTGATAGCATTTTTGATACAGTTCGTAATAAACGTTCACGCTTGTTATCAAGTAGCGATGAATGAAGTGAAGAAATTGATTTTTAGGCCTGAATTTCAATTTCAATTTTTATATGTTTACATGTACTTACGGACTGAATTTTCAATGTACAGTAATTTTATTATTATTATTGTTATTATTATTAATTTCGCCAGAGAAATAAATTCGAAGATTAAACTCTTAAGGCACTAGCATCAAAGACTTTTGGCTTTTATTAAAAAATCTGCCTCACTTGAGATTCGAACCCACGACCATTGAGTTGCTAGTCGAGACTCTTGCCTACTCAGCCACTCAGGCGGATACAGTAACTTTAATTCCTCTTTTTTAGTAAAAATGAATGGTTTTTACTTTATAAATATCTAATAAAGATTTCACTGTCACTTTTTTTGCACGGCTTTTTGAAAAATTATAGAGAGTTTTTTCATTTTACGCGATTTTATAAAATTGTAGAATGTATCACCATATCTACCATACGTCGTATGTACGATTTGTCTGTAGTCCTTAAACATTTAAGGATTCATAAGGCACATTAAAAACGAAATCCGCAAAGTATATGAGTCCTTGGTTTAATTATCTCTTTGGTGAAATTCCTTTCCCTTTCCTTTCCAACTCCTTTGAGACGAAAACAAACCAAGTTCCGTTAAAAAAGAAATTTCCAAACCAAACAAACAAATTAATTAAGTTGTAGTTGAACATGAACGGTTGACCTTCAAATGCTCTCATCCACTTAGTAATTTTTTATTTTTTTAGATACGTAGGGTGTTGTAAGCAGAGCGTTCAATATGCATGTTCAATATGTTCTATAGGTTCAATATGCAAATATAGGCAGAGAGCTATCGACCAGACAGTTGAATACATGGGTTTAAAGTGTTTCAAAAATGACACCGATTTGATTCATGGAGTGAGTTCAATGCAAGTTTTTCAGTACATATCGCAGCAAATGCGATGTAATTCAAAAACATCGTAAGAACTTCGATTAAGGCAAATAATCGTTAGTAATTCTAAATGAGAGCTTTTAATCTAGCTAAGCCCTCTATGTCTGTCTACGTGAATGGAATGCGACCTTAGGATGCGCGGGCACCGTTCATCTTGTAAAAGATTTGTTTACTCTTTCCTTGCAGAGACACCCTGACAAGCGAACCTATGCGCATTTGCCGCCGAACGACCAAGCCAGCAAAAGCCGTGCTCCTGGTGACGATAGGCAAGCATTGTTTTGTTATTATTATGTTAGTGTTAGTGTAACCTCAACGTTATACATATGTGTATACTTCTGCACTGAAAATTTAACTTCGAATTCTATTAGGAAGCAAAAGTTTGAAATAATGTTTTTAATGACCTAAGAGGGATTCTTGGGCCCAAATTTCCCTTACATTCACTGTCTGCATTTTTGCTTCAACATCCCGATGTAGTAAACTATTCGCCTATGTTTATTGAAAGAACTTGCCAGGAGTATTACTAACCCTTTTGCATTCCCAATTTTCTTTTCTTCTAAACTACCACCAACTCCTTAAGCAAATTGTATAAAAAACATAAAAAATGGTTTGATTGTCAATGTAACAAATTCATAAATGAATTCGGAAAACTTCCTAAGAGACATAAGGTAACCTCTGATATTCAGAATACGGTGCATTTAGTATTTAAGAGAAAAAAGAATGTAAGAATTTTAACCAATATATTATAATAATGACTGTAGCTCGGGATAGGAGTTGTCGTAAGAAATATGATACCGGGCCACATGCACAAACCTAAGCATCAAGTCTTACAACGAAACAGTTTAATTTAATCTGAACAGTTTTACTCTGCAAGAATCGTCTTAAAACCTATTTAATATCCATTATATAACGATATATATGTACATATAATATATTAACATAAACAAATATTAACAAAACAATTCGTGACGGCTGCATGCAATTTTAATGAAATATTCATGTAATCAATTATTTAATAGCTCATCATGGAGAAAACCAAGACTTGTATGCACATAAACCATAAAACTAATTATTACTTAAATAAAAGGCAACGATGAACGTAACCGGTAAAGCGAAGCGATTCCAGCAATTGTTTAAAGAGTGGTTTTTTAAAGAGAGCATCTTCTATAGGATATACTGGACAACAGCAATACTCATTTCTATATGGACGTTGATGTGGATTTCTAAATTAACATTGAATCGTTACTTCTCAGATTCGATCAGTATCGGCTTTGAAACTACATATCTACAATGGAATAATACATTTCCATCTGTAACTTTTTGTTTATTAAAAAATCGCTCTACCACAATAATACAAGAGTATGTTAAAGGCCAGAATATACCGTATAAGGTATCCGAAAGCAATTTTGTGAGAACTTTACAAGATTATATCTTCTCAAATCCGAACAACGTATACTTCAAGACCAGCTCATGCAAAGGTTTAAACGGCACCTGTGGCGTAGATATCTTACAAACAAGAAAAAAGGTAATGCTTATGATATATTATGCGAAAATTATCTATTTCCTATCGATCGGATCAGACCGATTACTTGTCTACACTGAAATGAAAATGATCTTTTATAGGATCTTTTCATAGAATATTTTTTTTTTTTCGCTCACCTTGTGAAGGTCATACCTGCATTCGATCGAGTAACGCTTACTAATCAGATGAATTTTTTGATAAATTTGTAAACTTCCGGTCAAAAAAATAGCTGCGATATACAAAAAAAATGCAACGTCTTCTAGGTAATCTCAAATTAGTGTAAACGGGTCAGGTAATTTCGTGTTATTTCAATAATGATTAAAAAGGGAAATGCTTTCGCCAAGACGCAGCTTAAAGTGAAAGTGAAATTTTGAGTATAAAGATAGTCGCGGTTTTTTACGATGCGATATGTTCGTGTTTCGAGAAAAGAAAGTTTCTAGCAGTCCACGGAATCTTGTAGCAACTTATGCTTACTTTCAGCAAACAGGCGTTAATATCCATTTATAAGACAAAAGAAGTTCGGTATAAGGCGCGAAAATCATGTTGTAAAAAAGAAAGCTTTGTGGTGAGCAGCTACCGAACGTTTGCGAATAACTGCTTTTTCATTCACCCATCCAACATCTATCTGTCTACAATTTATTGAGTGTAGACGAAATCGATTCCGTACAATCTCTAGTTGATAAAAAGAATTCGCTTAAAGCGAATATATTATAACTGTTGTACTTAGCCATAGTCTCCCCTTTGCGATGTTTTCAAACAGGCTGTACGAAGTCTATAACACATCCCTCAATAAGTTCGGGAGAACAAGCTCACTTTTTTTTTTAAATCTCGTCGTTCATGCAGAGCAATAATGCGTGTTCGTTCTCAAGAGAGTCGATCATCTCAAAATAGGGGAGCTAGAACGGCTTCTTAGCCGACCTTTGCATTTTTGGTCGCTTTAAATAGATTTCGCCACTTGCTGCCCACTTGGCTGACTGCCGATTTGTCTCTGGAACATGCATAGCGCATGAAAAAACTGTTTTTATGTTGCCTTAACATTTGCAGACGTTATTGATTCAAAAGTGCGCTGCAAGCACGATTTTTAATATTCTGTTTTTTTTTTTTTTTTTTTTTTGATGTTTCTACGGGGTTTTTCATTCTCACTCCTTACAAATATAGGTTGTAACTTCGCGTTAGATTTCTTTCAATTCAATTAGATTCGGTCGATTATAAGCGCATATGAAGCCGCCAAATAAACTTTTACACGAACTCAACAAGAATTTTTTAATTTTCTTTATTGTGCTTTTCAGTTGCTTTTCTACGTTTGGAACCGATCTACTACTTTTCCATTTAGCCAATACCTATTTTATACGAAATTTTTTTGGACGTGTAAAAAAAGAATTAGGTGTATTCTAAATCAGGGTCAGAGAATAAGTTTGAAAGTGGGTTCGCTAAAATTATTCAATTAGATTTAAGTCCCGAACAAAACTCCAAAATTTCAACAAGTTTATAAAAATTCGACTCAATATCAAATTTGGTTCGATGATTTGCTAAAATAATTTAAACATTCTAGAGTGAGAATAGTGCTACTTAGATTAAATATTGCCTAGCACATCTAGAACAGAAGGAAAAACATTACAGTAGACAGACGAGGCCGACCATCCACATCACAAATACCTTTGCAGTGCTTCGCCTCAAATACAATTTTGCATCATCTTGCACGATAAAACACAAAAAGTTGCACCTTGTATCCATGGGAGCCCTTATATAGGATCGGATCAAAAAAAATGCCTGCGTGGTTCAATTGATTTTTAAGCTGATTTTAATCTTTTACAGGCAGAGACTTTACATTCAAAGGCTATTGCTTTTCGTAGAAATGTGACAGGGAAGGGATCCAAAAACTCGGCCTATCCGCCCCGAACTTTTCACATCAATTCATGCTACTGAAATATTAACACTCTACGATTTTTATCGACAAATTTAAAAAATTTCAATTCGCTTCCAAAGAAAGGCTCTACGTGGGGAGCGATCACAAAAATGTTCTTAAGCGATTTTTAATTAAATTCGTTCTTGGGGCAAAACACATCGCGTACCAAATTTCATAAAATATATGAATGGTTGCGGCATAGAAGTCAACAGAGGGAGGGATAAATCTACATAGATACAAAAATGAATCCGAATCGGTCGATTTAATAAGATCTCAAACCCCTGGAAGTCCTTGTTGCATACATTCGCGCAAACTTAATATACTTAGCATTGCAAGCGGTATGGCGCATAAAAGGTTAAAAGTGAAGGAGACGCATAAGCTCAGCCTTCCTTCTTTCATCTACAACTTTTACTTTTTACCCCTTTTTTTACGAATATAAAGAAATATTTTGCCGCTCTTCCTTTTTGTCTAGCTGTTCGCCACTTCGTGTGAAGAATTCATGTTTAACGTGACCTATCTGAATTTACCTTATAAAAATTGTACGGATATATTTAAATTTCACGAACTGGAAATGGGTTACTGTTTTGTGGCAAATAACTTAATTGACGCGTAAGTACTGCCAAAGTCCTCGATCAATCTGCAACGTGTACACATTGACATTATCGGTATGCTTTATATATAGCTCATCTTATGAAGAATTGCCATTAAAATTTGGAGCTCGCGATACAGATTATAGCTTGAAATTATATTTAAAAGTTGGTTTCATATGGAAATACGAGGTAAGAAATTGCTTGATTTAAACTTTGCTCTCACACCTTTTATAAAATTTATTTATAATTTTTATGCAATACATCAGATGTATGTCAATAGCCCGGAAAATTTGCCACATTTCGATTCGGTTACCTACGATGTTCTTTCGGATCCGACTGTATATCTCTTTAATGTTGAAGAATATCACAATGATATCGCTGTTCGTCATGAACCAATAACATCGAGATTATGTAAATTTCCAGATGAAAAGGATGAAGGCTCACCTTGGCATTATAGGTAGCATTAAACTGTGATTTCTCATCTTATAGTCATCGCTTTAGAGGGATAGTGTCCGTTGCATGATTATGATAAATAATAAAAATATATAACTGCACGCCCTGTCAAAGCAGGGTAGGGACTCAATTCAGAAAACCATGGCAATGTACTCAGACTTTGAATTATCATTTGCCACACATTCTAAAGATCCTATAGAAAAGCATAGAAAACGTTGGAAAAGATTTTCCATATCATAAATGTGGAAATATCAATGATCATGAAGTGGCTGAGGCCTCTAAGAGCATCTTTTTCCACTAAATTCTCGTTTACTCTAAAAAGATAAGAAAGTTCAAAGAATTCATTCATAAAACCCTAACTTGTCGCATCTCGCCTTGTTTCAATGGTGTACGCAGTTTCTTATTCTTGTATAGAATTTCTTGAAAACTTGAAAACTTTTGTCTGCTGAGAGTGGTTCTGAGTTCTGGTTAATTTCTCTCACCTTTCCTGAAAATGCAAACTTGCCCATTGCAGAAAGTAATTTTCGCTACTTGGAAGCATAGATAAAGCTTCAAGAAGGAAAGCGAATGTGATTCTAACAAGTGTCAACAAAAGAGGCTACACTAGGCTTATCTACGAGATTTCAAGTAATGCCCATCCATTGATTTATCTATAGCTCTAGTTGTCGTAAACTAGTCACTTATGTTCGTAATCGATCTTTAGGCGCCATGAATTAAAATTACAATGATCAGCTTGTACGTCTGTCAACAATGATTAAAACGATGCGAAGAAGAAAAACTGAACATTTATATAATGGATACTTACTTGATACTCAACGCACACCACATAACATCATCTTAATATCCAATTAAGAAAAGTTAACAACGCTCAAAGACATACTTAGAACGATGGCTATCCATGATTCGTCTTAAGGCGAATAGATTTCATTATTTTAATGAATATTTCTTCTCTTTTTAGTACTTCTACTTGCATGTCTTACCTGAGAATTCAATACGAATTGAAAGAATGTAATTGCACGCATTTTACTTCACCAAAAAGATGTAATTAACTTTTTCATAGCCATTATTGAAAAAGTGAAAACGTTATAGCCTTCCAAAGTCGACCATTAATGTCCGTCCATGTGTGTTCGTGTTTAACACAAACTTTTGAAATGTTTTGACGAAGTTTGATATGCAGGCGTGTGATGACGCATGCACCAACGCTATAGAAAATAGTTTGGATTGTACTCGCATTACAACCACTCAAACATAACGTCTCATCTCGTGAAAAAATTGTGAGCTTCAAAGTTCCTTAAGGAAAACCATCGAATATTTGTATCTCGATACACTTAGCTGGTATCAAAAATGGGCATTGTATAGTTCAACGTGTGTGTTTGTCTTTCTGAATTCCCTTCCACATAACATTTCTTGCGAAAACTTGGCCTTTACTTGACAACGAGGTCCCACTTTGAGCAATTTATTGTCAAAATCGATGCATAAAACTAACTTGACATCAAAATTTACAAGTTGTATTAGACAAAATGGTGTACGGCATTTAATGGCTGGCTGTAATGTTTTCACTTGTTGTACTCTGGACCACCACGTATGGTGCAAGGTTCTTATTAAATTCGTGCGGATGTATACTACACACGCAATGATCCGAGGCAGATCCGGCTTGTATTAAGCTAAGCTTGTGCGTCGATTTGTCTGTCTGTTATTTTCACCTATTGAAAATGATTCGGATCCGAGAACTTTTTCGACCATGCAATATATAAAGTCAAAGTTATTTTGGAAACGAAGTGGTGTAGGGTATTTAATTCTGAGACGTGTCCTTTTCCTACGCCTGCATATCTATGTAGATATTAAATGTTGATTTAAAAAATTTTCAAGAAACTTTTACATAAATACTATATAGTAGAAGAATCAAATTAAATCATTGGCATAGTCTCTACAATTCTGAACTTAACTTTAATTTACTTACGGCTCACAAAAATTTCCGTCAACAAAGCGAATTGAAAAAATAAATCTTGTTTTATCGATAAATATAAAAAGTTTTTTTTTGCATAACCAAAGTAGTTTGAGGTTCTATCGAAGATAATAACATCTCCGTATTTATTGATAATTACAGATAAGTCAAAATATTGCGATGTTGAAGGCTTAAAATGTATTTCAGACGGTATGTATTGGCTGGCAATTAATTTAATTTAATTTTTAATAACTTAGTAACTTTGACTGAGTTGTCCATAAATGAATTGATTTAGGTTGGGAAGGCGGCTTTATCATAAGTAATCAAAAATATTGCAATCAATTTAAAATATACGCAAAAATTAATTAAAAAGGCGTCCGCCACTTAACACGACATCTGCATAAGGCACGCTTTCGACACAACACGATATAAAATTTGCAAATATTACAACACGGTTTCGATAATTTTTAGTTTTATAGTTAATAAGAGAAGTTTCAGCCATATTTAAGAGCAAACCAAAGGTTGGCTTCAATTTTTGAAGAAAAATGAAAATTAAATATTTTGTGATCGTGACCATTACCTTTTCAATGTATTTTTTTTAATTTCTATACTTCATCATAGTATTAATTTTCACGTTTTTGTACCCACCACTGAAGGATGGCGGGTACAGGCAGTCATTTTGTAATAATGTTCGGAGCACACAAAAGCAAGCTTCAGAGACCATCTCAAGTATATATGTTTTTGATCAGCATGAAATTGAATTAAGCCGTGGCTGTCCGTCTGTATGATTTTTGTGGTGTGTATTGCCAACCTTCTCCTCGTCGCGAAAATGAAGAAATCGCCTTTAAACTTCTTAGAAACATTGGGCAGAGTTTTTGCACGCGGGCTAGTATTGAAAATGGGTCAAATTGGTTAACTTCGTTGGCGAATACGTTTTTCTAAACAAAAATTTCTGGGTTTTTGCTCAATATTCACAAATTAGAAAAGATATAAGACTGAAATTTTCCCCACTTATTTTATGAAAAACTTTACTTTTAGATGCGAAAATGGTAAAAGTCGGCCATGCCATAAATTTTCTTTTTTTTTACTTTTCTGAGTTTTTTTTACATTCCTCAAATGAAGATACATTATCTGCTTGAAAACGCGTTAATTCTAAAATAAATACGGCGAACACCACGACATGGTGGATTACCTTTTTCTTAATAACACCAACGACGTGCATATCAAAGTAAAGGGCTTGGAGAGGAGCATGCGAATTATGCTGGACGTGGTGGTAGATCAATTTTACTTAACAATACCTTTTAGTGAAATAAAAGGCGCAACAAATATAAGTATTTTATTCTATTCACCTTTTTGCGACAATAAATAAAAGCATGAGACGCCAATGATTTTAATGGCGGCGAATAAACACATCATGACATCTTATAACATGGTCTCGATACAACACGAACATGATTTCGATAGAATACACGGTACACATATTTTTGATTAGGTTAAGTTATATACAATAAGTTTAAATTATGTTATTCTATGTGATATGTTAGTTAAAGTAAAAAATTAAAAAGTTTCATATAACACGCTATAGATACAGTAAAAAGTACAGATACAATAAAAAAGGTCTATACATATATTTTAAATTGTAAATTCATAATTAATTACTTTAGTTTTAAACATAGTTTCGTAAGATACATAATTTTCGGGATAAGTGTAAGATTTATTATTCAATTTGCACATGATTCTGTCAGATACTGTGAAAATGAAAGAATATCAAGAAGGTCCCGAAATGTTACTTGATCTCAGGCATCGCATAGCTACTGGTTACCAAAACAATCCTGGTCTTCGCCTGGCTTGAAAAAATGGCCAAATGGCTCTAACGACACCGAGGCAGCCATGTGTTTCGTGCATTCGGCCGCTTTGGTATCCGAATACCGAAGTGTCCTGCCAATGGGAGTGGTGAATTTTCACGAGGTCAAAGTCAAGCGTTTGATGTAAATACGCATTCCGTAGAAAAGTATACCAACTTCTTTTAATGGGTATACATAACGATTTACTTTTCATGAGTATATTTTAGAGGTTTCACCCGTGGTGTAATATCCTAATTGCTGCAATCACCATGACTGCCTGTCTTAATCTATCGCGCAGTGTGGACTCAGGGAGAATTAGTAAAAATTTATGCACATAATTACATATATGTACTCTTATATTATGTATATATATATTTAAATATATATATATATATATATATATATATATGTTAGTAAAAATATATGCTGCTGATCCCAACAATGGTGACAGTTGTTCGGCGGTAATAATAATGTACCATCACAACAGATTCAACAGACTAAACAAAATACAGTCCCGAAGCATCTACCGCGGCACAAGCAGGTGGCAGACCAGCAGATAAAAAGACTCCCACCTTTACTCTCCAGTGTTTGGACTTTTTTAGCAATTAGATTTCTGGAGACTGGAGTGTGTTCTTTCTTGTACATAGACAGCGAAATGTCGAAAACCCATGGACGTTTCAGACCAAAATGGCGGAAAACTTTTAAGGGAATGTTGAATTCCTTTGCCACGTACAAACAATAGTCGACTGCGGATAGCCACTTTCGAACTTTCATGGCAATAGTAATCTTTTTCACATCTTGACCGAAAGCAGATTTGTTTGAATTAAGAAGATTGGGGTCGATTTTAGAGCTTTAACTTATAAAGTCTATTTTCTAAAGCTGGGAGACCAGTTACAATTATAATATTATTTATGAGCGTCTTCCGAGAAAATATTTTTTCGAATTTAACTTGAAATTAAAATTGATTTTTCAAACTTTGAAAAGTTTTGCTTACAAAATATTCAGGAACCTGGAGAACTGCGAATTTAACAACGTTAATTTTCTTTTTAGACTATGTTTCACATATAGCTAGATATTTCCCCTTTAGGGGCATGCCGCATATAGGACTCTCAGTATTGTGTCGACATTTGTTCAGTCTTTTGAGTCTGATGCGGTAGTAAGGTCAATTACTATTACCACCGACCCATTGCCATTACTTTGAGATCTATTAGGAGCAATACAGCACGGGGAGAGATATTTCTAGTAATTGCCTCTGGATTGGCATCAACATTTCCGCTCTCGTTGTTATTGTTATCGGTACCCTTCTGGTCGTTTCCCTCAAAATTCTCGGGAGATTCGATAGCTACCTCATTCTCATAATAGTTATAGTTTAATTAAAACTAAAATTTCATATAGAATATAATTTAAACTTAGACATAACGCAAATCAAATAAATAAGTATCGCGTTGTATCGAAACCGTGTTACAAGATACCTTGGAGTGATGTAAATAAGGGCAACGTGTATCGTGTAAACCAGGTCGAAACCAAGTATTAAATTGGCATATATTTTTTATTTTTTATGCCCATCACCGAAGGATGCGGGATACATTCATTTTGTCAAAACATTTGCAACGCCCAGAAGGAAGCATCAGACACACCGCAAAGTATATATATTCTTAATCAGCATCAAATTCTAAACCGATTTAAGCATAGTCGTGTGTCCGTCTAACCGTGTGTGTATGTCTGTTGTAAACATTCTGCTGGCCTGTAAAAATAAAGCCATCAATTTGGAACTTAGCAGAAACATTGGAAGCTTTTGCATGCAACCTGGTATTGAAAATCGTCGAAATCGATCGAAGGAGACGCCCACAGCACCACGTAAAATGAGAACACATCTGCTTTTCAAAAGGAGTGAAAAATTGGTTTTTTACTCATTACTTATAAATCTACAAAAATTTTAACGCATATTCTATGGGCGATGCTGTAGCATTTGTGTACAAAATTGAAAAAATTGACCATGCCTACCCAATATTATAGTGTACCAAAACTTTATTGTCTTTTCAACACGTTTATAACGCGCAGAAGCAAGCTCCAAAAACCCTATAAAGTATATATATTCTCGGCCAGTTTCAAACTTGTAATGCATCTAAGCATATCCGCCTATTTGTCTGTTCATCCGTCTGTTTGCTTTCCTTTGTTGTATTTGTAGTAAACATTTTCCCGTTACCGAAAGTGAAAATATCGGCTACAGATTTGCAAAATAATTTGGAAATGGATTAAACTTTTCCAAGGGCAACGCCCACACGCCTACGCGACAGAATTTTGAAAATAAAAAGAATCAGCTGCGCCCACTCCATATTATAGAGGACGAGAATTCTGTTCTTTTACTTCTTTTGTCTCTTTTAAGATAACGGTGATGGGTATAAAAAATTCGGTTTCAACCGAATTTAATTTTCTTACTTATTTTATGTTTTTAATTTTCGTTTGAAATGTACGGATGAATGAAAAAGTGAGTTAACTTCAAATTTTTACAAAAACACAAGGCGATCATGGTCTGACAAGGTCAACGAGTACATACCTCACACCGCAACAATTTTTTTTTTGAAACACAAGAAAGGACATTCCAGTCCTTGCAGTTCCATTAGATACTATACACCACTTCACCCAGTGCAATTGTTCATGCGTGGTGGAAATCATACATCAAAAATTACAAATTATTCTCACGCAAAGGCACAGTTTTCGCGAAGCCCACACCTTTTAGTAAAAACCCTTTCACTACATTTTTTTTATTTTTTTAATAGAATTTGGAGCTCTCTTGAAAACGCTTTCGAAAATAAATATGTATTTATTATTTAAAAATAAGAAGCGTTTTTTTTTTTTAAATTAATTTATTTTTCAGCACAAACATCCGTGAAAACCAAAAATTACGCAATCCAAAATAGAGCCTGTTATCCATCATGTGTCGAGCAGCTTATCACAACTGTTGGGTGAGTACATGCAAGAATAATATTTGTTTTCCAATTTCCGCAAATACTCGCATTACCCAAAGCGACGCTCTAACGCATACCGCATTTACAGATCCATTCATTTAAATAAACTTGAAACCGATGGCATGGCTTTCGTGAACATCAAAATAGCCAATTTACCTACAGTACGTTATAGTCGCGTCGTAACAGCAACTTATTTGGACTTAGTTGGTAAGTTGGTAAGGTTGATAAGGAAGAAAAGGACTATTTTCCACCTATGTCGTAAAAAGTATATAAATTTTGTAAGCAAATTTCGTGAAAACTATTTTTATCCCATATCTCATTTGTGATAGTATTTTACGAATAGTAATTTTCTTCTGATGTATATAACACCTAGTAAAACTTAATCTAGATAGATAGATCTACATTTTATTATAGGGATCCATTGAGATTCAGAATTTTTCGAATCGATTCAAGGTTGTCGGTCTGCTCTCCTGTCGAATCATTGGCCATGTATTTTTATATTCACTCAGCATTTTCATGGTCACGTCATGCTTTTTAATCGCCTCTCATACTGCTATTCCTACGAGGCATAAACTGTGGGGTCTTTTGCCCATTTCCTGGTGCTTGGGAATGCTCAACGGCACCTCAGGCATGCTCAGGTTCTGACTCACAAGAATTTTATGTTGTCTTTGAATGTTTACTCTCTTACTTCGCTAACTATTCAAAATCCTTTTACAATACGAAAGCGTTTCAAGAACCGTAGATTGATTAAAGTTGCACGCTTATTACATTCAATGCGCACTCCAAACGCCCGCAAACACGTTGACCATATAACTACAAATTTTTATCAAAGTTCTACAAATTGTGCAAACATTTTGCCAGTGCGGAGTGTATTCTCGTTATTATTGCCTAATAATAAGTTTGGCTTTTCTGTCTTATTCGCGTTCTCGTTTTCGGCTCTCCCCTGAGTCTGACTCCCCTATTCGACCGAACCGGCCTGTCCCTCGACACGGACCATTTGGAGACACCTGTTTTACGACTCCCCTCAAGGTTACCTTTTGGCAATCTTTCCATATCAGACGTTTCTGATTGGGATTCCCGTATCTCTTGTTGCCCGTCTAGTAGTTTACTTTATTATATTCTTAATATAACTTAGCGTAGCACTCCCCCCTCAAAGACGAAGAACCTGTGAGGCCAAAACGAGGAACGACTTTGGCTCCTCGCAAAACCTTTGTGTGGCAACAAGCTCCTAATGTTTTAGCGAACACTAATTCAACATATGATTTCACGTATAAATTTACGAGCCCACGTTTCTTGCACGTAGTTGTTTTTTCGACCCCATCCCACATAAGGACTCTATTAAACAGCAAGCCATTAAATCGTAACAAGGTTTAATATGAAATAATTTATGATGAAAATAGACGGATCATATAGACGTAACATCAGTGGCAAAAAAAAATTAGTTTTCCTAAACTTGGACCACAGTAGTTCACCTTTGAGATAGTCTTTAATTTTTTTGTGTTTTATTACGAAGATAAATGAAACGATCTAGGGTATTAATTGATCAGCGCTGCTTGACCGTTTATTCAATACAAGGTATGTTTTTATAACCTATGAAAAACATTTCGGTGTTTTCTCCTTCACCATATACGTAAGATCAAAGAAAGCATGTTAGATGCATTCTGATCGAATATAATCGAGTTGAAAAACTACGATGTTGATCCTTGTTAATTCCCACATAAAATTTGAAGTCCGCATCTAATTCCAAGATTCCGGTTCAAGATTTTAAAAGTATACAATTTGTTAACTTGTCCCTAATAAAAGGTACCCGACTTGTTAATTCCCACATCCAAATTGAAGTCATCATCTAGTTCCAACTATACAATTTGTTAATTTGTCTCTAATAAAGGACATCTGACAATGGGATGTAAATGATCAACGCGATGGGTCTTGCAACTGAAGGACGTAACTATACGTTATGTTTGAGACTATACAGAGTGTATTTCTTTGTTCAATTTTCGCCGTAATGACGCTTGATGTATATAGAATTAGAAGTTTTTATTGCATTTGATTCTCGATGTATATCAGATTAGAAATATTTATTGCGTTTGCATAATTCGTTTTGAAGCACGTACGACTCTTCGATCCATTGTCGCATATTTGATTGCATAAATCTAATCATTTTATTAATTTTCTTTTCATTTATGTTTTGGTTTGCACACAGTATCTGTAGGTGGAATTATCGGACTTTTTGTTGGCATTTCAGCCATAAACATTCTGGAGTTATTTTATTGGTGTTTGTGCAGAAGAAATTAATTATTAATTAACCTTACAAGCAGATATAGATATAGAGATAGATGCAACGATGTTTATAAAAGACAAAACTCCAAATTATAAAACTAACAAAATGTTTTTATAAAAATTCACTCTTAAGATTAAAACCAATTTTAAATAAACTTTACTTTTATTTAAGAAGAATATGAATTTTCCATCATCCGTAATTCAATATCTCCTAATTTACTTTAATGGATAGTGAAAGTACAAATAAATCAAATAAAGCTATGATAAGAATATATGGAATCTGTATACAAACTTATTTCATTTAATAAATATAAAAATTTGCACATTTAGACACAAAGTAACTTTACGATATTTAGTTCAAGTATCTTATCATAAAATTATAGCACTGGCAATACTGTTTGCAATGTGTATTATTTTATTTTAATTTTTTCTTTGCCGCTTTGCTAGAGTGAGAATATATATATCGTTGAAAAAGAAAAAATGGTATTTTATTTTAAAAGTAATGTAGTTGATCCTCCAGCTTTGCTCTATATGGGAAAAGATAAACATGAGAGTAAGTGTGTCATTGCAAAATTGATATGATTGAAGATTCATTTTCCATTTAACTTTAGATGAAGAATTAATTAAGTGGGGATGGCCAGAAGATGTTTGGTTTCATGTAGGAGACAACTTATCATCAGCTCATGTTTATCTCCGATTGGAAAAGGTAAAATCAAGTTATTCTCTATACCAAATTTTCAAATTAGGGAATATTGGATAGAATATTGGATAGAAAGAAGTAGGTACACTTGACGACTTGTGACAGATTGAATTAATAAGATTTTTTTTAGTAAGGAAAAAATACAAAAGGGATTTAATCTAATTGGCGTTGTTTTTTTTTGATTTTACTGAATAAATAACTGAAATCCCAGACCCTCTTAACTAGAGTCATATAAATTCTTCTTTTATGAGTACTACGTTTTTTTCATAGGCCTTTGCGCCTACAAAATGTTGAATTTTATTTTTATGGGTACCATGATAATAGGACTAAATTTTGTGTTGTTAGGGATATATATATTTATATGTATATATATGTAGTTGCAGCGTGTACAAATAACGAGTGTTTTATGATTTTCTAAAGCCGAAGTAATGAATATTTATTGTTCTATTCTAATCTAGGGTCAGACAATTGATACCATACCTACGAGTGTCCTGAATGATGCTGCTCAACTGGTCAAGGCTAATAGCATACAGGTAATAGCATACAAGAAGGAGAAGAACAAATTTATTCATCTGTTCATGGGTATATGCTAAGAGTGTAGTGTCTCCCGTCAAAATGCATGGGTTTCTATTAAAATGTATAGTTTTTTGTTAAAACGCATTTACATTTAAATCGAAAAATGATTTACTGTAAAGACATTTTTATATGCAAACTTGCCTAAAGATACGGTTTTTTTTATTCATTATATATCAATCATATCATCAAATGAATTAATTAATAATTAAAAAATAAATAATAATAAGAAATAAGTAAATAAATAAATAATGGTAATGGTGTCCAATTCTACCCATTGCAGGGCAATAAGTTAAACAATATCGATATCAATTACACAATGTGGCAAAACCTTAAAAAAACCGCCGATATGGAAGCCGGACAGGTGGCATATCACAATGAGAAGGCAGTAAAGAAAATGCGCGTAGAAAAGCGAATTAATTATGTAGTAAACCGATTGGGTAGAACTAAAACCGAAGATTATCCAGATTTAAGATTGCAACGTGAACAGCGCGATGCTTTAGAAAGAGAAGAACAAAAGGCTGAAGTTCGTCGGCAAAAAGAGTTGGAAAAAAAATTGGAAAAGGAGAAACAACAGGAACAAGAATTACGAAATTATACATCGCTGCTGCAAGCGGATAAAATGACTTCAAATTATGATAACGGTAATGAATCGGATAATTTTTGGTAGAAATAATAAAAACTGATAAAAGAAAATGTTATTAATAATTACAAGTCTTTGAAATTGTATTCTAATATTTCTAAATTCAGTTTATTACGGACACAAATGCTTTAGGTTTTTGTTGTTAGTTTTTTTATCGTTAACTAATTTTTTTTTTTTTTTTTTTGATGTTTACAGGGAATTTTTTTACTATATATATTTTTGAAATCCACTCGAGAGTAATTGGCATTGATTTGAAAATGTGTTGTGTTGAAGTTGAGGTTTTTTCTTTTTTTTTAGAGAATTATGCACCGTTTTTATTTTTTATGCTCTAGACTTTGTCAGTGTATTATTTTCAATAATTTTTTATGCGTGTTTTTTTATTTTTTTTTTTTTATTACGAAAATGATTATTATTTTTTCTGTACTGATTAGACAAATTGCTTCTAAAGCTGTCGCTAATTCGCTCCATTCGAATTTTTCTGTATGTTAGCGCCAACATTACCGCCACCACCCAAACCTGTGCCCCCTCCCCCGCCACCAATTATATACATGGATTTATTTCCGTCACGTTCACTGCCGTAAATCTTACCCGCCTTCTTAGCCATTGAACCCAGCAATTCCTGCGATACTTTATGCGCTGAACGTAATGAGTACGCCCATTCCTTTAAGCCAATCTCATCCTTTGCAAGTAAATGTATATATATTCAAGTTTGGTTTTACTTAAGTTTTTTAAAATAGCAATTACTCACCGAATTTGTTAATAATATACGACCGTCGCGTGAACCGTCATTTACCCGTATTTGTATACATTGTTCTCCTTTATAGGGAACAAAGTCTGAGGAAATATCTTCAATTTGATCCATGAAGATCAGTTCTGGCTTATTATTACCGCTTTCTGAATGTAGTTCTAAACTGTAATTTGTTATTGAAAATACAAAAATTTTAAATTGTAAACAATTACCGAATCTTTTAAATTCTTTACCGATTAGGATATAATTTTGCATATTTCGTTTGCCATAACGAGGCAAATGAGCCACCATATTTTTTAATATAACCATGTAATATGCAATCCGATTCCTTTTCATCAGCATCGAAATGTTGCTTCTGTTTAGCTTTCTTCTTTTGTTCTACTTTATCAGTTTCTTGATTGATAGTTTCATAAACGGTTTCTATCACTTCTTGTTGCCACCTGAAAAGCAAAATTAGAAAAGCTATTAAATTAGGCTTTCATGAATATATCTTAATTACCTTTCCGATATGGTGAGGGAGAAATTTTTATACAGTTCTTGGTCGCTATCGGTGAGTTTAATGCCTTTGGTGTCTTCTTCATCGAAAGAACCGATATCGAAAGCATCGGCCGCATTCACTTCACCGCGCGGTGGTATTAATGGTGGTGTATATTTATGCATATACACTTGATGCCAATCGATGCCCGAAAAGAAAGGGTGTGATTTAACTTCTTCTGGGCTAAAAATAATCAAAGTAATCAAAGTAAGGAAAAACTTATTTTTTTAACAAAAATTCATAAATATTTGGACGCATAGAGCGATCAATTTAAATACGCTAGTTGGATTTCAATATGTTACTCATTTCATCGTAGAGCACACTACAGTGTTAACTTTTTCGCTAAGAAGAACTTTTATGACGATTTGCGTAGTTATAGCGACAATTTTTTCACGTAAAATGTCATCCTTGCCTTTTTTTCAACAATCGAAGACTGGACAGATTTAATTGTAGAGGTTTAATGTAGGTAGAATCAATATCGACGCATTCCTCGTTTTTCTTAAAGTGCGAACTTTTCAGAAAAACTGGTTTTAAGAAGGTTTACTTACCCGGTTCCCATGCAGCCTAAACGTTTATCTACATCTCTCTGCAGAAGTGATTCTAACAGATCTTTCAATTCAAGGCTAAACGCATCGGGAAGCTCAACATTCTATAATAAACATTTACAAAAGGAACCGCGTACTTAAGAAGAAGAATTTGATGTTGTGCATACATGTTGCACTAAACTTACCATAGTTAATGTCATTTTATCGATTTCATGCTTGTCTTTGGTTTTGTGCTGTCGAAAAGGTGAATGACCTTTTAATAATTTATAAAGCATGCAACCAAAACTAAACCAGTCTGCACACGAATCGTAAGCCGTGCCTTTAGATAAAACCTCCGGTGCCATATAGCCATGTGTACCAACCGAGGCATGAGGCTTTTTACGAGAAAAATCGCAAGCTAAGCCTAAATCGGAAATACGTATATGACCATTCTCGTCCAGCAAGATATTGGCCGGTTTCAAGTCTCGATAAACAATAAAACGTTTGTGCATATGCTCCAGACCTAGTATCACCTAAACAGCAAGATGAATTTCGGTTTAATTTTTCAACAATTGAACAAGAAATAAAAATTTCTTATAAGAAGAATACCTCCGCGGCATAGAATTTCATTTCGTCCTCGTTGAAAACTCCATGCTGCGATAAGTGGTAATGTAAATCACCGCCATTCATCAAATCCAATATAAAGCATAATTTATCTGCTGTATGAAAAGCATAAGTCATGCACACTATAAATGGGCAGTCGTTCTATATGGCATAAGCATATTGGGAAATTGATATAAATTTTGATTACTTCTTATGGTAAAATTAAGTGGACAAGGATTTTACGCAAAAAGAAAAGAACAACAACAAGATTATCATCAACTTACTCCTGTGCTAACAACCTGCAGCATGGAACGTTCATTTAAAGCCAACATTTCACCCTGTTTCATTTTAATACGTTTTTTATCCAGACATTTCATGGCATACATCTTGCCAGTGTCAGCCTTGCGGCAGCCGTAAACTTCACCGAAGCCACCGCGACCTATTATTCTATGAACACTAAAGTCATTCATTGTCAACTAAAATTTGAAAATGAAATGATTATTACATAACTAAAATGAATAAAACGAAATTTAATTTTAACAAATTTACGCCAATCTCGGCACACTAGGGTTACTTACCTGTAAGTTAAGTTCTAAATTTTTCCACTGGCAAAAGCGTGTAAATTTATCACTGCAATGAAGGAACGAAAAATTTGCAGAAGTACTTTGTAGGGGATTGTTTTCAATACTTTTTTGCTGTTTTTGCTTACCTCTCCAAGAACTTTTTAAAGGGTTTGCCTTTTAAATAACTAAAAATCTCTTCTATATAGGGCTAGAATAGAACAGAAACGAAAACATTATTATTGAAAACGCATTGCTTGATTACATAATTACAAGGAAAATTAAGTCTAAAATTTTAATTTTAATTTTAAAACATAATATTGAAATTTTACGTATTACATACAACCTACAATATTTATTTTGATCATATTGACTAATTGGGAAAAAAAAGATTAAATTTAATAGAAGCAATCCCACTGATTCCGATAAGTCACAACATTTACGGCTCTTTAATCAAATTTACAGAAACCAAAAATGGACAAAAAATTCAGGTGATTCTTAGAGTAGTTTATCAATTATTTTGCCAATTGTTGTATCCATCTACAAAGGATGTGATTCATAGCTACTACGTTTACCTTGTTGTAATCAAAAATTTTTGTCCATCCATATATGTCAATCTGCTTTAAAAAATAGGAATATGGTCCGCCCATGGTCTCATTAGCAAAAAGTAAAAAACCTGGAGCTCACAAACTTTACGAGGTGTTAATATACTGTATTGGAGCGTCATTGTAAAAATGATAATGATCGACCAATAAATATATTCTTAATTAAATGTAATTCTGGTCTCTTATCGTACTTTCCAAAAATTTGCAGGAATTGAGATAACATTTTGCAGTCCTAGCTAATGATGAGTTCATGAGTACAATAGATTCGTTGCAAATTTTTCCATAAACTAGCTTAGGACAACAGAATATGAATTGTGTAAAATATAGGCGAATTTAATCTAATTTTCCCGCCATGGGAAACATTTAGCAAAAATAGCAACTGTAGTAATAAGATGGTCAAGCAAGCAGATAACTTATAGTGCTTTCTTTTACCCTTCGTGAAGATGCCGAAAAAAACTTTTATTTTCCTTGTCTCTCGAAACTAGCCTTATCCATGAAATGAAGGAACTATAGAGGTTACCTTGACGTGCAAATTTTAAAAAGTAAATTAACATTTAATATTTTCCATCAAATATTATTCGAATTTCTATTTACCTCGAATAAATTAACGGGAACTTCGTTTTTTAATAAATACTTTTGTACGCTGATGACAGCATCTTTGGAATAATCCTTGAAATGAAAGAAAAAAAATTTAAAAAAAGATGCGAATGTTTTTAGTAAAATCATCCGATTTTCACCGATTCACCGATAGCAAGCGAAGGTACTTACATATGTATGAGACAACATTTCTTCCATAATAAAATTATCATAAATTTCTCTCGCCATTTTTTTTCGCTCGTCATAGCATTCAGTTTTTTCAAATTGTTTAATCTGCAATTGATGTTTGACAAAAAAAGTAACTGCAGTAAATGAAGAGATGAAATTTATTTAAAGTTCGTTTGTTGTTAGCTTTAAAATCTTTGCATCGTGTGCATGAGGGTGTGTGTCCTTTCCCTAATGGAGTTTATCCGTGAGGTGAGTACGATACGAAACGACAATTTAATTTTTAATAAAGTGGGCGAAGCAATTGAATGTTGACATTAAACAAAGTTCTTTCGTAACGTAATTGAATTTCTAAGCATTTATGAATGTTTTTGAAAGAAGACTCCATAAATTTCCGAATACTTTTCGAAAATTGAAACTAATTTGGAATTTGATGCTAAGCCAGCCATCCATTCAATTATACTCCTACTTCGTGTTTATATTTTTATTAAAACTAAAGGAATTTCGGTGCAGATTATGTTCAACTGGTTAAGTTTGCTTAACGTAAGGACTTAACATGGAAACACTTTTTGCTACACCGATCGATTCAGAATCAATTTTCCCATCGATTGTATCTTGTCTGTGTTTCTGTCCGGCCGATGTCTTTCCATGTGGTTTTGTTTTTAACCTACAAGTCGCAATTTTCAAGACGTTTTAACGAAATTTGGTACACTGACCGACTTTGACTCAACCTACTGGGAATGGGTTTTACGACCACATACCTTATAACCATTCCTTCGAAAAAAATTTACAATTTTCAAATTTGATAGTATTTCGATATAATGCATTAATGTAGAAAATTCAGATCGGTTGGATCAACTTTTTGAAAGCATTCTCGTACAACCATTTGTATAAACAACGAGAAATATTCCGAGTTTTTAAGTTTTCTGATGAAAACTGGTTTATGACAGTAATTCAATATAAGAGGTAACTGTACGGAATTTAGACCATATCTATCTATTCGGTTTTTTTTGGGCGCCAGGTCAGCCTCAGTCTTTGTATATAGTACAATTTTTTATTCCTCCATGACGAAAATTGGTAAAGAATAAAAAGATAATTGACGAGAAAATCAATTTTTCATTCAATTCGAAAAAAGTTGGTTGTCTTGGACCTCTCTCTCCTACGAAAGACTCCAAAGTGTGCCTTCAAATAAAGACAAACTATAAATTTTATATTTTACTGTATATTTAAGTAAGTATGTAAGTGCAAGTAGTGCAAGATATTTAAAGGTCGATCTTGTCTATCTATAAAGTTTTTAACTTATTGTTTACCTGTTCATAAAACTTGAATTGTTGTATTGGTTCTTCGGAGTCATTTTCACAAAAATCTTTAAATAAATTATATCCTGTAAATAAGTTTTTGTTTTTATTATAAAAATTTGAGAAAGCGAATAATAAATAATAGTGGAAAAACAAACAACTTACCTATGACTTGATTAAATATTTTATGGAATTCTAGTTCATTTTCCTTTTCGAGATATTTATACATAACACTGCGTACACTGAGAGAGAGAGGTAGACGATGCACATATACAGGCCCACACACATCCATTAACATGAAATCCCATATAACGTAAATAAAAGGAAAAAGAAAAAACGCTTAATTATATAAAAATATTAATCTTTAGCTTATAAAATAAATAATTTATAACATTAAATAAACGTAAACTGACAGCCTCATAGCCGTGTATACATTGTCAGGCCTTCGACTATAAAAACGATGATGATAATGATGATGATGATTTTTGTCAATTCCATTCAATTGCTATACGCATGGATGTTAGTACTTTTAAAGGTCAAACAAAACTAACTGAATATTACGGAAATCGCCTCCTCTGTTTAAAAAAAACAAAATCCATTATATTATTCTTATTCTTTTAATTTGTTGCAAATATACGCCTCTTTTATAATGGAGGGAGGGAAAGCTATTATTAAATGTAAAATCAGCTTGAAAAATACGGAAAATGGAGAAATTACTTAGCATATTGTAAATTTCGTAATGCGCGGAGGTACGCATGACAGAGATATCCTGGACCGACCTACTTTCTTCGACCGTCCTTCCATACGCAACTGTTTCATTTGCTTATTATACTTGCGTAATTTAGAAATTTCTCGCTTTTCCAATTGGTTCTCATATTGCTGCCTATGATCAATTACATGTTATATATATATATTATATGATCAATTGTTGTTTGCAATAAATCAAAGGAAATGTGTTCTCTATATCGATCTATAGATCCTACTTGGTCATAAGCATGATCTATACTAAGCAATTTCTACAATTTTTTATATCGGAAAATAAGGTAAACAATTTGATTTGTTTATAAGATTCATAACACACGAAAATACACATCACAGAAATACTGTAAGCTGATTAACGTTGTCCGACCATCTGTCTGTAGATCTATCTCTCAGATCAACTTTCGTCGTAAATGCCATCTACCCCGACAAAGGTCTCACCAGTCTTTAAAAAGAAAACAAGAACTTCAAAATATTCCGAATCATTTACAAATTTTGATACGAGTCGATTCGATCATTTTCCGGTCCCAAACTTAAAGAAAAAATGGCATACTATTATTGTAATAGGGCGATGGTTCTATCTATTGTCTCAAGGCACATATTTAATTCTTACTACCACTGTATGCGTTCAAATTGGAAGTAAATTATTACGCCCTCTATAGTATCAAATAAAATCCTGCGAATATTCCTATGATTACTATATGTATTCTTTAATAATTTATTCATTCATTTATTCGATTAATTATGATTTGAGTTTAACTTCGAACATACAAACAATTAAGAGCCCAGCTGTCAATGCCCATTACACAGGAAAATAGGCCGACTGTTGAATATCCTGCTCCTCAATGTCTAACATAGAACACAAAAACTATAACCTGTTTTTATATGAACTTCCTATTATGAAAATGTATATTAAAAATTAAGCATCTTTGTTGTGTCCAAGAGGTTCAAAAATTGATATACGTGTTCAAAATTCAGCATAATTAACTTTTACATCAAATTACTATTATGGACCAATTTTCATCATAAAATATTAAAACTTAAACTTTTCTGCTCTAAAACACAACCCTTGAAAACCCCTGTTTACGGAACGGTGAAAAATACGCGAGGGTGGTCCAAACTTTGTAGAGTTCATTTTTACGTCAAATTACTATTATGGGTGAATGTTTGTTATTACATATTCATGCTTAGACTTCTCTGCCCAATAAAGGATAAATTTTCGTGAAAATCCTTACATAAGACAGTAGTCAAAAAATAGGCCGAGATGGTCCAGATTTGGTACAGTGGTCTTAAATTATTATTATGATTTGATTTTCATCATGACCGTAGCCCTCAGTCGGTCTAAAGCTTTCACAAAGATTTTCAAACCAACAAATTTTTCATGGACAAACATCGGACGCAGGGACAAGTTTAGATTCGGGGATCCGTTCTAAATCCATCGGTATAATAAACGGTGGGTCTATCTTAAGCTTTTCTGGGTGTTACATACGCGCACACAAACTTAATACACCCTTTATCACAAATGATGAAGAGTATAATAAGACACGTATCGATAAGTATGAATTTGTCCATTTGGCAACCACTTCTATCCAGGGAATTGTTTCTAATTGATCTTATCCATGGGCAGCAATATTTAAAAACCAGTATTTTTTCGACATAACGTAATGATTTGAAGCAAAAGTTAATATATCAGCCATAAGATTTTCATCTCATTTTTTACATTGAAAACTAATCTATGGCATATACACGAATACAGCTGCATCAAGGAATTATAGCGATCGAGAACATATATGCCTTTATGGGGTGTTCAATGAATATTTCTGAATGGACAACACTTTTGGTCTTGTCAATCGATTGACAAGCATTAGCTATTTTCTTAAGAAAGCCTCGAAAAATTGCAAAACCGCAACATTGGATCTATCAACGGTCGTATAAAACAAAATTAAGCACATACCGTTTCAAACCATTTTCCGGTTTGACCACACGTCTAACATATGAATTGAATAAACGTTAATTGAAAAACAAAACGCGCGAAGTCATAGTTAGGTGGAAATGTTTATTTTTTTTGCCATCGTTATCGTAGCTTAGAGCTTTAGTCATTTCGTTTGCAACGAAATGCAATATCCTCAAGGAAGCTATAAAGTGTGCACCCTTGCCCATTTTCAAAGCCCAAGTCGATCTAAGCCATCTATCTGTATGTCCGTCTGTTGAATACATGTGGCGCATATTCTCCCTATCGAAAGTTCTTGTACGCATATTGGTATTGGAAATGATTTAAAGGATAGGCCAGCAAAGCAAAGGAACCTGCAACTGCTTCCTAAAAAAAAGGTGCTTTTTGCTTTCTACTCATAAAATACAGCAAACACAACGATAAAAATTTTTACGTTGAAACTGCAAGTAATCTTATAGTAGTTGTACAGAAGAGGAAACGATCGGCCATGACCATCCAATTTATTCGTTTTTGAAGTTTTTTTTTTTTTGAGGTTTCTTATTCTGACAAAAATTGGGTAATTTACGCACAATGAAGCATAGAATTTCGGAATTTAAAGCGATCGCTGTCAGCTTGGGTGCTCGGTCTCTGATAACGTCGGTCAAGGGCCTAATCAAGCCCAATCGACGTTTGATAGCCATTGACATCGAGCATGATCACAACATTTAACAACCTTTTAATAAGACTTTATTGAGTTTTCCAACGAAATACAGTGATGGACGTACAATAGAGACGAATTTTGTTTCCAATGATTCCAGCAACAAGTATATCCTATACCACTTGTGGTACAGGGTATATTAGCTTAATGCGGTCGTATGTAACGGGAGTTCAGGAATTCAGATATTATTATACCGTTCGATTCAGAATTATAATCTGAACTGATCTAAAAATTTCTGCCCGTCTGTCTGTGCGTCCATATGATGTCTGCCCGTCAAAATTTGTGTTCAAGCTGCAGCTCGCAATCGCAGCGTGCTTTGACCCAAGGACGAAGGCTATTTAAAATGATTTGGATCGGTCCGCTTTTTTGACCACTCTCCACATAACACTCTATTTTGAGAAGTCGTTATATGCAAACAAATTGCGATTTGCAAAATTTCTCAGCAAAAGTGGCTAAGTAGAAATGTTTGGCCATTCTAAATTAGTATGGAAACTTTCGATCGACTGGAGCAATTTTTGAACCCCCTTGTATAACGAAAACTGAAGTTCGCACGACGAAAAGATATAATCTACAGTGCTTCATGAAGAAAATTATATAATAATAGTAATTTAATATAAAAAAATGATATGTACCAAATTTGGATCATCTTGGTCTACATTTTGGCACCTATCACAATAAGGATTTTCACGAAAGTTATCCTTTATACAGCGGAAAAGTCTAAGTTTTAATATGTGGAAATGAAAATTGACCAATAATATTTTAGTAAACTTGTGCTACATCATAAATACGCACTTGAAAAATTTGCCTTTATATAGAAACAAAATATAATTTTAGTTGTTCTAGAATAAAATTAGAATTGTATAAGACAACGTGGTGCAGGGTATTTAATGATCGGCCTTGCCCGACTATAACGTTGTTACTTGTTTCGACACTAATTTAATCTGAATATCATTCGCATACCGGTAAAACATACACATTTACACTTACCTCGGGTCGGGTAATATCAGTTTTTTGCTGGCTCTGGCTGCTGGAGTACATTTCGATTTCTCCATTGCCATTAAATAACTGACATCTGCCAAAACAGCCTCTAGATCTGCCATATTTAGTACTCAATACACTATGATTGCGAATATCAAAGTATATGTAATACATCAGTTCACCAACCGCCACGGCGTATAGTAATTTGAATTTGTTTGTGATGCAAATTATAGGGAAATATAAAAATAGAGTATACAAAAGAAAAGACGACATTAAGTGTCTATGTACGTTTGTTACGTTTGTTGCACCACCACTATTCTTTTATTATTATCACATCACTAAACGTCATTAATAACATAAACATCATTATTATATACTATTGTTACTTATATATGATAATCGTGTAAACACAAACACAATCACAACATTAAAATTATATTTAAAAAAAAAACGAAAACCCGAAAATATATATGTAAACACATAAAAACGCATTTGATATTCAGTTAATATATGTATATACCCTAATATATAAATAAAGCCATATATATATATATATATATGTATATATATATAAACATACATTTATATATATATAAACATACACATATATTTATATATATATATAAACATACATTTATATTCGTACAATCTCTCTATCACAGTAAAAAGTAACAGAATCCGATTACAATCCCATACACGTAGGAGATCTTTTTTCGGCTTTACTCAGTGAATTATAATGACAAACATTAAGAAGAAAAAAGAAAAATAGAAATTTTATTAAAATGTTAACAAAAATTTAAAAACAAGAAAAAAAGCATTCACTGTCCAAGAGCTAAAAGAATTTCTCCAATTGGAATTTTCTTTGTTTCTCACATATACTCATTTACTTTTGCTTGTTTGCATACACACGCACACAAATACTTACACTTTACTCACTCTAAAATAAATTTAATGAAATACTGTATAATTAATTTTCGCTCTCTTTTATTCCCCCGTCTTCTTTTCTTTACACTGTAATCACTTTTCTAATTAAATTTCACTTTATTATAAATTATTTTCCTTCTTAGATGCATAATTAGAGAACATTTCAAATATATATTCACTTCTAATATCTATACTAATATGAATAATACTTTGCAGGATAACGGTATTGCGAATATGACATATAACTGGTAAGCATATATAAATAAACTAAAATCAAAGAGTGTATCACATAATAATATTAACATAGTTTGGCAAAAGCACGGGGTAACACCAAAGACTCTTTATCTCGGCGATGTAATGAGTAAAAGTCTGAAAATAATATATTCAGCAGTATACTACACCACAACGGCAATCACGTAACTGAAAATAAGCTTTCATTTTCGCGTAGAGTAGTTTAATAAGAATAGCTGAAAACTTACACGAGACTTATATTTTTCATGGATGATTACGCTCCAGGACTTATTTAAGCGCGATGCAATTTCATAAGTAAATCTTGCTTTAACCGCCTAGACCAGCATGCATTCATCATACATCAAAAGATTGTAATGCATTGAAAACCATGTAAAGAGTCGCCACAGATTCGATGGCGTTAACTAGATAGCGGGAAGTTTTTCCAGCGTCCTGAAATTAATTAAATTTCTGTGTTGAAAATATATATGAGTCAATATTGTAGAATGAGGTTTGGGGGTATCAAACTTAGTTTAATATTCGTCCTAACGCATGCTGGACTGACTCACAATTATAAAAATGTTGCGGATATGTTTTATGCAAACTCTACTCAACAAGCAGCCTACACCAAGCAAATGAACAACAGCCTACACCGAGTAAATGAACAAGAAGAAGAAGCCTACACCAAGTAAATAAACAAGAAACCTGTAGAATGGTACCAAATCGACGCAGGCCGGAGTCATTTGTAATGAACTAGTACGGACGTTTCGCATATTATTGTTGTTATTATTAATCTTTAAAATCGTTACTATCGAAAATATAATAAATTCTCTGTTTTAATATAAGTTAAATTAATTTTTTATATAATAATTTAAATCAAGCGCCAAAAAAGTTTTGCAAGAGAAATATACGTAGCTTTTGTGGCGTTCGTGGATATAACAAGTATTGTGGATGGCATTTGTGGATATAACAAGTATTGTAGATGGCATTTGGATCAGAATTTATGCAGAATTTATGCAGAAATTGTTGAGTTTTTTTGTGAACAATGTAAAAGAAAAAAACCGCTAACGGATTTTAGAGAGAAATCAAAGCAAGTGTTTTGACAAGTGAAAAATTAGCAAAAAGCAAAGCATAAAGCTTCTTACAAGTGTGTTTTTGTGTGCAAAATTTAAAAATTCCCCCAAAAAATGAAATAGTTATAAAAAAAAGTAAAATAATCTAAATTAAAAGAAAATTGTATAAATATTCTCTATGTAGTGTAAGGAAGTGTCAAAAGAACAAATCAAAAATTTTTACTGTGTTAAATAAAGTTAACCTTTAGAAACTAGATGTATAAGAGACGAACTTTAAAAAATATAAGAAAATTGTAAGAAATTAACAGTAAGTACATTTTATCAATGTTTTTATTATGTACACGAGCGAGTTACTGTTCAATGTACATCGCCTGCTTTGAACTTATTCATAGGTAGACAGTCAACATGCATGATTCTCTAGAAACTCTACTCGCGATGAGCCATCCTGAATTCACGCTTGCCTTTCAAAAATGGTAAATCGAAGAGAGCAAATGCTGATGGATACAACTTCCTTATGAATAATGTATTACTGCACAAATTTAAAAAAAAAAATAAAATACGAGCCGAATAATTCATTAATTGAATTCGTTGCGAACCAAAAGATTCAGATGAAAGATATAGCAGAAACTAATTAAATTTTGCAAAATTTACTAAGAGTATTCAATAACGGAAAAAACCAATTCATCTGATCCTAATAAAATTCTAATTGATGTTATTGAAAATAAAAATATAAGAACTAACATAACGATTAATTTTTCAATCCCCTATTACAATAAAGTAATAAAGAAGAAATTATTAGTACAGAATAACTGATCGCTGATAATAAAAATTATGACGGTCTAGGCTAAATTGTAAAATTATTATAATTATTATTGTAAATTTAGCCAGAGAATAAATTCTTTTCTCATAAAGCGCTAGCATCAAAAAAAACTCTACTCTATAATACATACATAATATTAGATCAACTGTATTAGGAGCAGGAGGACTCTTGAATTAATTTTCGGATAAACGCTGGTCGGCAGCCGTAACAAAGGATTCGATCACGTTTAGGTCTTTTTGATATATTCTTAAAACACTTTGTGGTATCCGCCCAAAATCAGCAAACGTCTTTCCTAATAATAAGATTAATTGACCTGAGAAGACGGTTATGTTTGATGGCGCACAAAAGCAATAATAGAAAATTGTAGAGGGACCAAGAAACCTTGCCGCAAAAGTTGCTCTCAAATCATTGGTCTGCAACCTTCCACGGCTAAATGATTTCAATAAAACCGTGTCAGTTCATCATTGATCGATTCCGTCATTCAAAACAAATTTACTTGAAAATAATATCTAATATATTTGAATAGACTTTACTTCAATTTCTTGGAATTTCCAGGTTTTTAATGTATTTATCTTATTTAAACTTATCAACGGTTTCACCATCCTTGATGTTGTGTATAGTGGAGATGGTTTTAACTTGTTGCCAGTTGATATCTTGCAGTTTCGTGTGGCTCGACTCTTAGAAATGTAAAATATTTTCTTGGGTAGAGTTGGGCGTCTCCGAACAAAGGTCATGTTTCTTGGCGGTCTCGTTGTCTTGATAGACCCTTTACACTTTCATTCACGCAATATAGTATGATTCACGAGTTCATTAAAGTCGGCCAAGAGAAATTCAGGAGCTTTATATTATAAAGTCTAATCAAATGATCATTTACCCTTTGCGTAAAATTAGCAAAAATAAATATTTTGTGTATACATATGCATGTTTGTGCTATGTCCCCTCCCCATTAAAATTGTTTATAGCGGAGTTTAATCAAACATACGCCCTTTTACTTTTCCCATTAGAAAAACATAGATTTAGACGATTCTGAACGGGAACCTTGTTATACTGCAGCTACACATCCCAGTGAAGTTTTGAATATGCCGGTTCATTTTAATGTACCCACACATTGTTATGAAGAGCATCGAGAGCTTAACATCAAAGTAATTTTTGAATTGTGAAAAGTTATTTTTGTCTAATCGTACATTTTTTATCTTGGTTGTCTTCTTGTCTTCGTCAACATCTTCTTAAAGCTTTACTTACAGAAAATTTCGCGTAACTGATGAATGACATTTGGACGTTGTATACAGGACTTTTATGTGGCTCATACCTTACTGTGTCAAAAAGATGGACATCTACCTTCGATTAACGAAAAACTTATATGAACGGCAAAAAGTGGAAGCGTGGAATTATTAAAAACTAAGCAACTACTTTGCAAATGTGACCTTTAGTATCTGTTGCGTCGATATATTATCAGGCACTGAAGAGGGATTACAGTTCAATTCAACAAAGACACGAGCTCTACAAATCTGTGGTGGCAATACTCAAGCAATTTCTTATCATAGAGTGATGGTCGAAGGAAAACATAACGAAGGTAACGAAAAACAGAAAGTTGAGAAAGAATTAGCTTTATATGATTTCTAAACTTTTAACCGATTTCTCATCTAAATTTTATATTTTGCTTATTCGTTTACTTTTTTCTTCTTCTTTTTCGTGGTTTCTTATTATAAACACACCGATGATATCACAAATATTCCGTTGTAAACGGAACGAGAAGCCAAACTCGATTTTAAAAAGAAAAGAAAAGAAATATGCAAAGAATAAAGAACTACAAGCTGAAAATGAATAGTAGTAGTTTCCCACTAAAAGTGAAAGTAAAATCGTTCAGAAAAATTGAAGGGTTGATGCTAATAAAAAAAGAAGAGTTTACACTTAGTTCATTATTAGCAACGGGGAGCTATCCCTTCAACCCCATTTTGAACGTATTTAAGTCTGCTAGGAATTTTTCTGTTCATTGACTTGGCTTGGTGCAAGGGCTGTCCTTCTAGAAAGAGGATTGGATCGCACTTTTATAATAGCCTGCCATAAGCCGACATAAGGTGCATTTAAGCAATCATTTATTTAGGGTAACATTTTAGCTTCTCGCGGTATATGACTTCTTAACTGCTGTTCCAGTCGACGGACGGAGATCAGCACTTTTTCGCAAAAAGGACATTTCCCTTCTTTCAAGTTATCAACTTGGTCAAATTTAATAGTTGATGATATTCTGCAAAGCGATCGAACTCTTCACTACATTGTCGGCAAGTAATATCTGATTTAATATTTATTGTTTTAGTTCGGAATTCGCGTTTGTTTTCCAAATGACTTTCCACGTGTTTAAGGCAAGATGCGCAAGTTAAGATCTTTCCGCATAAAGGACACTTCCAATCTTTCAAACTGTCATCTCGCCCCTGAGCTGTATTCACACGATACGTAGGGAAACAATCAAACATTTGATTCCGCACAGAATATTTAGTTCAATGTCACGTTTTTTGATTTTAAAATTACTCTTGCCCTTCAAAGTACAGCAGCTGTAGCAGAAATATATATCTAGCTGCTACGATTTTTTTCCACCAATTCTCCTCATTTAACAGAAATGCTGACGGCTTTTCTGTTACTTCTTCCCATTTAACGGATGAGATAGATTTTTTTATTCACCATTTTTCTTATTTATTAAAAGCAACTCTGCGCTCTCTCTATTCACCGCACATAATACTTTTTTTACAAACGGTGTAAAGGAAAAATCCGGCTAACGGCATTTAACGAGAAATCAAAACCATTCCTCAAGTGCAAAAAGAAGTTTCACAAAATGAAAAATTGTGAAAAAAATTTAAAAAAATATATTAAAAATTACCAAAAATTAAACAAAAAAAGATCGAAAAGATCATAAAATTATAAAAAAAATTTTGTGTATTAAAAAAGTTTAGAGAAAAATAGTTTATTAGGATATACATCATTTAATAAGTTAAATAAATAAGGAATTTGACAATGAAAGCTGCATAAATATAAACAATTTAAACAAATAAAAGTTTATAGAAAAAGTATAAAAAAGTGTACCTTCAAGTAATATAAGAGCATTGACGGTAAGTGCATTTACTTATTATTATTATTTACAATTTCATATATTTCATTTTTTGCCAAGGGCATCCATCTGAGATTCACATAGTTTTACTGGGAATCTCGTTGGCGTCTCCTTATTTGCTAACAATAGAATTAGATGGTCCACAACAAAAGAAAAGCAGTTTACAACATATAGGCACAATTCATATTGGCGCCATTAGAACAATAATGTGTGCCGTCATTTTAATTTATATTATATTCGCTATTGCTTTTCTACATTTTTTTGGTTCTTTCTATTTTGGATAAAGCGAAGTATAAGAAATACCGGCGTCAACAGATTGTTTGTTGAAAAATTGGATTAAATGATTTCATTGAAGTCCGATTTTCTCCCTATATTCTTAATTATATTATTGATATATTCTACATCATTGAACTGTTATTGGCATAATCCGTTGCAATATCGGTGTTTGTAAATGCGTTCGCATGGTTTCAGTCTGCAAATATTGTAAATTGTTGTTTAAAACAAATTATTTTTTCTCGCTCAATTACAGTTCTTTAGAGAAATAAATATTACACAAGGTGAAATTAATAAAAAAATATAACTTCTTAAAGAAATAGATAAGATTATCTACAGTATTTCATAGAACGAAAGCAATCAAGTAGCACCAAATCCAAAATGCGATCGTATCGCTTTTGCCTGTTGAATCATACGATAGCTCGCATATGAGAACCGTAAATCGACTCCTAGTTCTCATTACGGCGGCTGAATTTGTCGTGCATTTTTAAACATTTGATGTAATGTTTGGTGGAACTGATCTTGCATTTGATTAGATATCTGTTGAAATCGATATTGGATTAGGAACATCCAGAGGAAGGCTTCAGAACTTCTATAAGGTGTGAAATTCTAAATTTATCTAAGCATGTCCATCTGTCGGTCTACGCAATATCTTTGATAAACATTCCTCTGGTTGCATAAACAAAGTAAACAAGTGAGGAAGTAATATCGGCTAGAGTCAAATCTCGCGCACCCATCACCATCTTTGACGTCCTTTGCTTTTATTTATTGTCATACAAATTTAATGGAATAAAATGTACCCTTCATCTTGTACCTCACCGAAAAGGTGTTATTAACAAACATTCATCTACTATCATCGTGGTGTTCACCATAATTAGCTTTTCGCATTCTTCTCCCCGAGTCGTTTTTATTTTTATTAAGAAAAACTTAATCCATTCATTTCATTCAATTCACTTCATTTCAAAATTTTGAAGCAGATAATATATCTTCATTAGAGGAGTATAGAAAATACCTATACACATTCCGTCATGTTTATCTTATGATTAATAGATAAAAAAGTGAAGAAAAGAAAATTTTATCATTTGTAACTATGTGTGGGCATGGCCGATTTTTTTCAATTTTGCACGTAAAGAGCAAAGTCTTATGTGAAGTAAATGTGGAAAGTTTCAGCCTTCCCTCTTTTATAATTCGTAAGTAATGAGCAAAAACTCATAAATATTTCTTTAGAATAACGAAGTTGGATTAAGTTGACGCTTCACTACGGGCTTGCACTCCGACCAATACGGTCCATTTTCAATACCAACTTGCGTGCAAAAACTTTCAATATTTCTGCCAAATTTGAAATAAATATCTTCACTTTTGCGACCAGGGGAATGTGAACAACATACCCCCCACGGACTTGGTTTAGTCAATTCAGAATTTGATACTTTATAGGGTTTCGAAAGCTTCGTCTTGGGTAGTGCGAGCATTATAACTAAATGAATATGAGCCATCCGTCAATGGCGGATACAAAAATGTTGGCTTGAAATTTTGAAAAAACATTGGAAATTCTTGCACGCAGACTGGTGTTCACAATAAGCCAAATTAGTCGAAGAACTCGCTCAAAGCACCATATAAACTGGAAACACTCCTTTCTGTTTTTAAAAATAAGGAAACTCGTGGTTTCTGTTTATGAATCGATAAAGTACAGCAAAAGCAACTATATACATATATATATTTTGAAATTCTTAAAAATTTCTAGCTAAAGGTTCTTGAGCTTCTTCTCATTGCACTGGCAGAGGTCATTTGCAATATTTCGTAAGCCATAAGAACATTGTGTAAAGAAGCGCAATCGTTGCCGAACGTTATAATTTTATCAGAACAATATTAGTGTTACTATTGTCATTCCATAGAACGCTTCTTTAGAAAGCTTATAATTGCTGACTAAAAATATATCTTTAAGTTCAGTTTCAGTTTTTTATTTTGCTTATTTGTTTCTTTTCTTATTTTCTTTTTGTCGTTGCAATTAGTTTATAAAAATAGTACGTCGGTATTATGACGACTCATGCATGCCTTGGATATATAACGAATGAAAAATAATATAAATGTCGTTACTCGAAATAACGACAGCAGTCGTAGTTGTATTTCGATACAGGAGTGCACTAGAAAGTTGCAATTCTAGCCCTAGCCTGTTCTTATGATGCCATTTAAAAGACCGCTTGTGCCTTCCGGATAGAACTCATATTCCATTTAAAATAGAGATGAATCAATAGCTCGCTTTGGACGCTACATTAGATACCATATCCATTGTCTTTAAAAAAAAAAAAAATCATTTGATAATGACCATTGCATTAGGCTTAAATTAGGCGAGTAGGCTAAAGTTTACTAAGTGCTAATTCCAAAAGTCAGAAGACATTTTTACATTTTTTATGAAATTCACAAAAAAGGTCTTTTGCCCTTAATGAGTGAGTTAAATTAAAGACGCTGAGAATCTAGCATTCGCACTATATTGCAATTTGATTGATTCGGATAGTTCGAAAATCAGTTCATTTAGCTCGTAAAGGGGAAGAAACTGAAGAAGAGGTGATTATGAAATTTATTGAAATAAAAAATCTAGACGATATATAGAGTGAATATGAACAACATAAGCTTTTTCATTTCGTTTCAACAATAAAACAATATATTTATATATATATATATATGCATATATATGGATATATATACATATATATGTATATATATATATATACATTGTAATTTTTGTTGGATATTTATTTAGCTTGTGTTTGGGATTTCGAGATATAAAGAAAGAGATTTTTTTTTATAAATATATAAAAGTGAAAACCACAATATTCGAAATTGATTAATGCTCCACACACTTGCTTCTTAATACGCAAGCCTGTTTTTGAATTATTTAAACTTAGTGACTAATGAAACTATGTTTTCTAAATGTATATGTATATGTATACATTTTGTAAAAAGAGAGACGAAATGTTTTATATATATATATAAATATATATATATATATATATCTCATATTTATTATATATACGTATAAGTATGTAATAAATAGTAATATGTATACATAAATCTAAATAAATATATATATATATATATATATATATATATATATGTATATACATATATACATGTGTATATATGTATTTCTCTCTGTGCTTATTACTATGTGTATATATTGGTATATTAGTAAAGATTGCACACTATTGTAATAACCATTTGCTTATGAGCTTTGATTGCGTGAGAATGTTTGCGTGGATTTGTGTATATGCGGGTACTTGTGTGTGGAGCATAAAACACTTTATATTTCAAATATCTTTAAAATAATTCTTGAAGTGATAAATAAAAGTGACCTAAGTTTATGCAGCGAAAATAAAAAAAATTAAAAGAAAAGTGAAAACACAAGCGATGAAAATCATTACAACTAAAAGAAAAATTAAATAATTTTAACAGTAATATATAAAAAAAAAAACAAACAAATTAAATGTATAACTAAACATAATACAGTGGATTCCTAATGCGCTTCCTCTAACATAATTTAGGTATATTTATGCATACATATATGTATATATGTTTATGCATACATATTTATATGTAATATATATATATATATATATGTATATGTTTAAGATTAGAATTTGTTAGTTTCTTGCATTTAAACTTTTAAATATAAATATTTTACTTTGTTTTACAATTTTCGAGAATAGTATTATCGTTCAATAATTGCTTTGATTAAATTCAAGTTTTTCTTCTTTTTTTGCAGAACATGAAATTGTTTCGTTTCGTTTTTGTATTTCCTAAGATACGATTTTTAAAAATTTATTATCTTTTATTTATTTATTTTTTATTTTTTTTGGGAAACGTATTATGGATAGAGAGAAAGAAAAAGGTTGATAGCGATATAGGCCGTACGTAAGTAGCGGTATCTTTATGGATGTTGTTCGGAGAATATGGAAAGTATTGAACGCAGTGAATGTCACTGTTGATTATTGTCACTCATTAATTGAGCCCCCAACGATAGTTCATCCTGCAAGATCATCGATAGTTTCATTTATCATTGAAAGAGTAAATGCAAACGGTGTAATCTTACCTCAAACATATCCTTAAAAGATGAAGACTCATTGCCGAAAGGGCTAGGTGAACGAGATTCGGAATAGTTATGTTCCGATTGTTGTTCGTTCATTGTGCTCTTTTGCATCATACCTACGGTAATTAAGATAATAAAGTCAAAAAAATGCTCAATTTTTTATGTAATTACAAAATTTATGCAATCAACCCGTCTAATTGAAAGGCTCGTTGAAGGTAAATTATAAGATAACTGATTTCTTTACAAAAGCGATAAGTTACGTTCAGCTTTAATTAAAGTTTTTAATACGTGCTTTGTGTTTTTTCTTTTTTATCAAAAATCAGCAACTCTTCATATCATAAGATGTAAAGTCCTTTGGAATACCATTGGAAAAATGTCTACGTGCGCTTATGAGGAGTGATTTTCCTCTCTAGTAAATCAAGCTAGTTGATGATAATCAATTAGCAAAGTTACTTATACGTCTTAGAAAAGTGACTTGGTAACTTTCGTCGGCAATTTGAGCACAATAATGCTTACTTCGGAACTGAATAGGTGAACTCAGCATTCATGCTGCACTTTACACTAAGCATACAATTACCGGCCGATTTGAAATTCAATGCGTGCAATCAAAATGTAGAAATGTAGAATCGGGAATCGAGTTGACATTGCTCCACGAACTTTTCAATTAGGATAACGTTCATTAAACTTTTGTATTGCTTAATAACGTACCATTATTATGACCAATTTTAAGCTGCCTAAATTGTTTTAACGACGCCATATCCGGTTGTATCATATTTAACAATTGACTACGTGACTCATTTGGACTTTCTATAGAAGTGGGTAAATCTAATAAGCGTTGATTTTGTATACCATCCCCGGGACCCATATGAGAAATGTGATTAAAATTTGTGGGAGCAGAGATCATTTTCGATCTTCTGTCAGTGCTGCAGTAAAGGAAATAAATAAAAATCAATCAAATGCAAAATTATTATGAAAAGTTATTAGCATTTAATTTACTTCTTTATAGTTTTATTAATTTCACGCATAGAAAAGCGTCGTTTGGTATTTATGCCGCTAATACGTTTAATGTTTTTTGTTTGGAAGAAGCCTTCTTTGTGGATGGAAATGAAAAAGCATAAAATCACTTCGTTCGCTTCGGCACTTTTTTAACTTTAACTTACTTGTGTGGATGTTAGCTAAATAAACTATGTAAGGAGCATCATTAACATAAGTGAGTACAATGTTACCCTGTTGACTTAATGGCTGCGAACGTTTGAGGCCAATAGATTGGACCCATTCGGCAGTTTGTGTATTAAATATATCTAAATGCGTTTCAGAAAACACCAGTAAATGGCCCTCTGAATAAGCTAAATAAATAAATCAATTAAAATTGAAATATTAATATAAAGTGAAAATAAAAATAAATTAATTAAAAAATTTTTATTTCTTACTTATATGAGTGGGCACAGCTGGATACATAATCTCTCTATCGCGTGATTTTCGCCCTTGCAAATCCACATAGATGGCAAGCGTTTGAAAAACTAACAAATATTCACCATAGCCTCCAGCGGAACATTGTATTTCGATGACACGTATTGCATCAACGCCAGAATAGTTCAGAAAGGCACACAACTGGTTTTCGGGATGTATTAAAGCTAAAAAATGCCCAAGAAAATCATTCATATCTTTTCGGTCTTTCTTAGGGAAGCAGAAAACTTACACATTGCAGTCGCTTCACCTTGCAGTAGATAGGCGGTGAAGCCACTTTGATGCCCAATAACCAGTCTCATGTCTGATAATATTTGAACGCATTGCACCGTATACGCGACAGTGAATTCGCACATTTTCTGGTGTCGCAAACGATTACGATTTATCTCGTAAACAATTATTTGCGTTTGATTCGTGGGTCGTTTTAAAGCCACTACAAAGCAATAAACCACCGTAGGTATACGTTTAATGATACCCGTGCAAGCCGCGACACAATTTTTGGAATCAACAACTTTAATCCATTCAACGTCGCTGCACTCTAATGCTCGTATCGGCAGCAATCGTATATGGCGTTGTTTCCCACATAGCAAAACGAAAATATGCTCCTCTTCAATGTACCAGATTTGTATGATTTTCTTGCTATCACCAATGCGAGCAATTTCTAAAAAGTTATAAATAAATATTTTTCCTATTTTATTTATTTATTTATTTTTTTTTTGAAATAATTTTTTTATGCATACCGTACTGATCGAAATTGATGCAATAAAGACCATCGTCGGTACCTAATAGCAATTGATCGGGATATATGATAAGCGCGCTTAAAGCATTACGCATTAGAGCTAAAGAACTATCTAGAATTTCGTTGACTTTATAAATAGCAGTATTTGGAAGATTGTTGCGTTTGAGAATGCGATGTAATTCACTTAAAGCCACCACCCATTTGGTTTTCTCTGATTCATTGTCAGCCAACATAAGCGTATTTAAGCATGGACCACCCTCAATTAATGATGTTTTTATCTAAAAGCGAAAGAGTAATTAAATAAATATAATAAATTTATCCAAAATTCACAACCTTAAAGATACATGGCACATCTTTTTTAGCGGCATGAATAACATCGCTTTCACGCACGCTGGTAACCGCGAACTCCGTATCTCGCATATCCAGCACTTGTGAAACATTTACGCATGGTAGAGCGCTACGGTCTGCCGATATATCGTAGAGGAAGAGTTTGAAATCACACACTACCACAAATTGTCGCACCCAACCGCGTTTCACTACACCTTGCTTTGGGACTTTAACGTAACCTTCGTAGGCTGTGCCGATGCCCCTTGTTGGGTCAATACCTAGGGGACGTTTGGTTTGGTCATTTGGTACTGGGCAAACTGTAGGAACCTTTTGACAGCAATTCGTGTGACAAGCGAATCCGCAAATTTCGCAGACAACGCCTTGTCGCGTCAGACCCACCATTAACGATGTACAATGATTACATTTCGTTGGACTGCTAAATGTGCGTACCAAAAATTGATGAATTTTCTGTTTATGAAGACTGGGCGTGTGGTGTTGCTGTTGTGTTTGCTGTGGGTCTATTGATTTACAACTCAAATTACTTTTTGAACTTGTATTACTAACACGCATTTTACCCTCATCTCCGTACGAGAGATTTTGTTCAGGTGATAAATTGCTAGGATGATAATTGCCACTACCGCTGCCGCCACCGTACATGGCGGACATATGCAACTGTTGACGCTGATCGTCATCCGAAAAAAATATATTCGATGATGAATTCATCTAAATTTTATGTAAACAACGGATGAATGGAACTCATTAGAATTTGTTGCAATAGCGAACGAAAGGACTCACCACGGTTTCACTTAGAGAGATACCGCAAATGTTCGGATCCGATTCTTTGAAACTGGCTGCTGTTTCCTTATTGAAATAGTTATAAGATACCTGTGAATTGGAACGCTCCAGAACTGATCATGGTGATGGGTGACGAGTGCAACAACAATAGTAGGCAACAAATGAATATGGGAAGGCATTAAATCAAGTAATACACACACATATATATATATATGTATATATATATATATATATATATATATATATATATATATATATATATATACAAAGAAAAGAGAGAAAGACGGAGAAGGAGAGAGAGAGAGAGACAGACGAAGAGAATACATTAGGTAGGCGCAAGCATGTGATGAAGAAAAAACCAAAAGACATTTCATACATAAATAATTTAAAAAAAACGTTTTTTTCTTTAATTTTTCAAAACAAAATTTGAAAAACATCCCAATGAAGAACGATTTTGAAAAGCGATAACAAAAAATAATTTTCTATATGAAAGCTAACTAAATTTAGTCTGGTATCTTAACAAGTTGACAGATCAATACCGCTGCAAATACTACGATTTCGTTTATTGCGTGTTAGTCTATGCTGTAGAACAATGAATGAAAATTATAAATATGTGAACATTAGTGAAAAATAAGACTTTTAGACACACATACAAAGTAAAAATCAAAAGAAATAATGAAATAAATAATTTTGAACACCCACAGTATTTTGGAAGTAAAAGGTGGCAAGTACTTTTACCCTTTGGAGGCATTCCCAAGAAATAGAGTGCAACTAGTACTGTATAGCAGTCGACAACATTGGGCATTTGCCAAATCTCTATTTTCAGCCTGCTTTCACTCGTTTTCTATTTGCCATGTTATCTATCTATATAAAAAGTATATGCGAAGTGCAAAGCCATTGGCATAGATATCTATAGCATTCATAGGAGACAATTTATCCAATAGAAGAATTGAGAATTTTTTTCACGAAAAACGCCTTAAATAGAGGAGAATACAAAAAAGGGACGCACGTAACCCATCAGTAAAAATAGTTACCTCTTTTCGCGAGGCATTCACAACAAGCCAACCAAAGCGTTGCTTACCAATTGCTTGACCTATCGATGCACACAAGCGGTAATCGAAAGTGGCCAAGTCTGGTGAGTAAACTCCATAGTCTAGCACTAGCCCCTTGAACATTTTCAACATGTCGCGCACTCGTTTTGCTGTGCTTGATGCAACATTCTCATGCAGAAAAATAATTTTGCGTTCACAGCGAGTGTTTACAATCGATTAAGGGCTGACAGACAGTTAAGTAATTAAGTAGCGCAACTATCAAGAAGTCGGCACACCAGAATTCAATTCGCGCGTGGCCTACAGTCGCAGTTTTATTAGAGGATGACACTTACCACTCAGGCATACACCGCGCCAGCTATGGTCGCTTCCTATCTCTGTCTCCTTCCCCACTTCTTTCTGATCATCACCGTGTCATACGTAAATGGAAAATATCCTGGGTGATATATGAAAAAAAAAAAAAATTTATTGGTATTGGTGGCATTTGGTATTAACAGGCTAAGCCCGTTCTGATCCCACCGAACACAGGACATCGTTTTCCTGCCAAAGCTGTTCGATCTTACGGTCGATATTGAAGGTCTGCCTAGATCTAACCACAATCTTTTGAGCTTGGGATTTCCAAAACAGCTACAGCTACTTTTTATCCATAGTAACAAAACGACGTAAAAACAACTTCCTTTTCTACTCTTCGGGAAAAAGAGGGAAAAAGGCGAATGCCTTTCTTCAATTCATTATTTATGCGTATTTTACACCCACTGATGAGACAACAAAACAACACGTTAATCGCATACTTGATGTATATAGGTATCATAAGTCACTACAACAGCTAATGCCGCTGGCACGGCCATTGTGCAAGGGTGGGCGGGCGGGTTCACATCGAAAGTCCTGCTCGTTTTTAAGGCATGCATAGTAACGTTAAAGTGGTTAGCAAATTTAAAATGACTCTCTCTTGTTCCGAGATGTATGTTGGGCAGTCTGGTGTTTAACCAATTCAAAAAATATATATATTTATGATGTCTTTAATGTCTGATCCAAAAAAAAAAAAAAAAAAAAAACGAAACTCTTATGCGTTCAGTGTGTTTTCATTAATATAATATTTATTATTTGTATATTAAGAGTATCTTAAGTTTATGTGAAAGTATGCAAAACCCAGAAGGACTTGAGCTAGACCCACCTTTTATTTTAGCGAAAGAGAGAAAAGTAAACTTGTGTCTATGTGTCGATTCCCTTTTTCTTGTGTTCAACCCACATTTCGCAATTTTTGAGACGTTTTGTTACATCGACATATTTTGGACAAACGGCGAACGCTGTTAAAACTGATTCGGATTGAAACCACCACTTCCGATCCACCGCCACATTTTGAAATGTTATTACGTGAAGGACTTTGTTAAGCGAAGTGATAAAGGTGACTTAATTGTGGCCGGTATCCCGCTACAGTGCCTTTGCTTATTGTGATTATATTTGATTTTGAGCGCAATTTATTTAATATGTACAGGAAGTAAAAACACTATAATGAGCTATGGCCCAGTCGTAATATCCTAAACCAACCCATAGTTATTCGCATAGCGACTTTTCAAAATAAGCCCTTATATTGTATATGGTCGAAAAAGTGTTGCGATGGGAACCTTTTTCAATAGCGTTCGTTCTTGCGTCAAAACACGTCAGCATACCAAATATTATCAAAATATTTCAAAAATTTGCAGCTTGTAGTTTGAATACGTAAAAAACCAAGACGGACAGGGGGACGAAGAAACTGATATCGATTCAGGAAGTTAATCTGAGTCTATCGGTATAATAAAACGCGAGTCTCAGACATCAGAAGCTTATAAGCGTCGCATTTATTCGCACAAACTTAATACTTAATTACCTTACACTACCAGCGGTTTAAGGTATAAGAAGAAAGTTTATATGTCGCATGAATTTTGTACGCGTTTCCTGAAATAAAGTTTGTCTTTGGATTCAAATTTCTTTTTTGCTATTTCTGCAATCAGGAACGCCTATGTAAATAGGCTGCATATTTCATGGGAATTTTAAAGCAAATTCTGGTATGATATAAGTGAAACCGTTCTAACATAAGTAAGAGCTTTTAAGTTTTGCGCAACATATATACATGAGAGCCGTTTTGTTTTTTAATATTAAAAGATTTACAACAGCCTTTTCGATGCCGCAATACATATGTTCCCTTGTTCCCATTTTAATAGCACTCATAATCGACTTACAAACCGCTAAAGTGAAACATACAATAAACACTCAGTGGACCGCATGCAGTATAAATAGAACACAAATAAAAAAAAAAAAAAAAAAAAAAAAAAAAATTAAATTAAAATAATTATTAAAAAACCATGCATTACAACTAGGGTTTAATTTTTGGAATCATTGTACAAACTACAACAGAAAAACGAATTACCTTTTTTTGAATTGTTTAACGCGATGATACAATGCGTACATTTTAAACATTTATACATACACACTTACATACAAACATTCTATAGGGGAATTCTTTCTGTTTTCATTTTCTTTGATTAATTTAGTCTACTTCGGATAAGCCGGATAACATGAAAGAGGAACATAAGAGATTTGAGCACAATTTAAAAAAGTTTAAAAAATATATTCAAACCGAATTAATTATTAGTATGAGAATCTTCCTAATAAAGTTCTTTCTTTGATTTTCAATTCTTCCAAATAGTATTTTTACTAGCGAAGCAAATAAAATTCAAAGACTAAGAAAAAGCAAAATAAAAAGATGTCCGATTAAAAGTTGGATCTTGTCCTTCTTACTGGCATCGGAAATTCATTCTTGTTTTGCGTAACCTGATTTTGCAATACTTTTTATAAACTCTCCGCTCACCAACGCTTATCACCTTCAAGTTGCAACTTTTTCTATACCTGGCTTACGATATTTTACTTTTCTATAATCCCGCGACAATCTGAGTACAAAGTGCGTTTACAACTGCTCAAGCGTTTCATTTTTAACGCAGCTTTCAAAATTCGATTATGGAGCTAAACTAAAAGTTAAATTAATGCAATGTTTGCCTAATCGTTACGATCGTAATAACAATTTGTTAAAACAATTCCTCATCGCTGGCCTGATTTGCGATAATCTTTTAACAAACCTTTTTCTTCCCAATGGGAAATGATTTTCCTTCTTACATAGAATTTTTATGCTTTGTTTTATTCCATGAATAAAGAGAGCTTTTCCGTTCAACCTACGAAAGAAATCGCCTAACAATTACATAGCATGATATTTTCTCTTGCTTTTTTCGCTACGTCTCACTACAAGGATGAGAATAATGACATTTCAAGGGAGTGTACATCACCACATTATCACATATATAGAAAACGAAAAACATTCACTAAAATGAGATGAACTTTGTTTTTTGTTATTTCTCTTTTTATAAATCATTTCTACGTTTAATTTTCAACTTCGTTGATGACCAAATATTTGTATAAATTTATGTATATCTGCGAATTACGTTTACGCTGATACGTGAGAACAATAGTCATTTTCTTTGTTAAAGGTTGTTGCGTAAAAACAGGTACACCATGCCCAAAAAGCAAGAGGTTACTCCAACCCAAGTGTAGATATTTTTCTCAGATTTGACATCGTGCTGACGATGCGGCGGCATCCGTTCATGGTGTTGATACGAAAGTTGATTCTTTGATGTCATTACTTTATTAAACGATTTAACGGCATCGACGTTGATATTGGCATCGGTCGTAGCGTTCGCATAATTTCTAAGGATTGTATCGAAATTATTGGTCAATTGTTGATCATTATTATTAATTATGTTGCTGCTATTATTTTGATTATTGCTAGCAATAGTAGCGGCGGCAGCAGTAGTGCTAAATTGAGGCTGATATTCGCAATCGTCATTTTTATACAGAATTTTATTAAAATTTTCACTTAAACGCGTATATTGTTGGCATTTGGCGCATTTAGTAAATTTCGTGCGCTTTAGCATTCTATCAGTTATATGAATCTTATCCGTATTTATTACCTCATCATTATGAACAACTTCATCAACGCTAACCATTTCTACAGGGGCTTTAGAATATATAAGAAGAAAGAAATCAAGGTGAAGTAAAAGAAAAACGAAACGACACAGAAAAAAATTAAGCAACACAAAAAGAAAGAAGTAAAAACAACAAATTAAGAATTTTAAGAAATCGAACGAAACACAAAACTCTCTTAAAGCCAAGCACTTTTATTTTAGGCTTAAAAAAAAAAAAAAAAAAGAAAAAAAAAACAGACTAACAGCAAATTTTTACTTTTAACAAAATCAAGAACATGCAGCAACAACGTTATGTAATGATGATGCTCCATCGACTGTCTAAGCTAATAATCAATCATTTATTTTTTTATTAGGTTTTTAAAGTAAAGAATGATTTGTTACACTTGGATGTATGTGTGTATATATATACAGATTTGTGTACGCAAACTCATAAGTGATGATGACTTTTTCTTTTCTGTTTTTTGTTAAATGATTCAAAAAATTTTGTTTATTTTATATTTATATATATACATATATATATATATATATTTTTTTTTTTTATCACATATATATATATATATATATATATGTATATTACATATATTATATGGTTGCAAAGTTTGTTGATTGGTAAGTGAGCGAGAATGAAATGTTTTTCTTCATTGGGTTAAATTTTGTTTTATTTTGTTTTTAATGTCAATTGGATAACAAAAATTCAAAACAAATTTGATAAACTTTGTAATAATTAAAAAATAAATAGAAAAAACAAAAAATGTATATATAATTTATTTACTTACAGCCTTTAGATGTTTCCAAGCCTTTTTGTATATCACGTAACTGATTCTCTTTAAAATGCAGTTCATAAATAGCCGATTCGCAACGTTTGCGACATTCATTCAAGTCCCTACCAAAAGTTATGAAAAAATTAATATAAAACCGAAGAAAAACTTATAAATAGAATTAAGCTTACTTTTGTGTGGCTATCAAATCGGCTCTTGTTTTACTTAATTCCTCGGATATAGCTGCCTTGGCTTGTATTTCGGACTGTAGGGATGATTGCAGATTCAATAATTCCATTTTGTCCAGCTTTTGTGATCTTCTGTTACGCCAGTTTTTATTGTTATCGTTGTTTTTCTTATAGAAAGGTCCTGAAAGATTTACAAAAAAGACCAAAAATTACTCACCATTCTTAAGTAGTAACCTATTATGGAGAGTTATATTTATCAAAAATTTACTAACTTTAAAGAATTTTATAAACGAGAGCCCACTTGACTCTTCCTGCTCGCGGAAAAGGCGCCAGTGAATTTTATCACTGACCATTATAAGCGAATATTTAAAGTTAGGACGGGTCTACTTATGCATGATTTTAAAGATTTTTCTGGATTGCTCCCTCTCTCTCTCTCTCTGTCGCTGGTGAAATAAAATACTTTTATATTCATTGTTTACATTTGACGTCTTTCCACTCGTCCTTGAGCTACAAGCAGAGTTCCAATTTTTTTTTTTTTTATGTCAACTTTATCAATATATCCCATTCATCAGCAACAGAGAAAAAATACAACTTTTCTTAGTACAAAAATTGACATCGTGACACAGCTAGAAAAGCCTCAACAATATAAAACAACTGAGATTCAATGAAGCCGATCGGCGAATTCAAACGTTTAACTATTAAATTCAAGGTATGAATATCAACTATTCAGGCCACAGTAAACGTCAGCCTCTTGTCTTTTGAATCTCATCTTACGCGAATTATATACCACATGAATACAATGTAATGTCATAGAAACATTTTTATACGTTCTTTTTTACACTATACTTTCTATGATGTGTTAAACAATTGATTGAATTTTACCAAAATATAATGAATTTTTACCTCAAAGCTGAACTGAATTTTGGATTCAAAATTTGGATATACCTTTCATCATTTATTTAATGCTAAGACCATCGATGTTTTCTATATATCTATTTCTATTAAAAGGGACTAATTTGACCCACGGTCTTTGCGAAATCGCCGCACTCTCAAAAAATTAAAAATTGGAAACTTCAAGTTGGCACTAACACTTGGCAGAAACCAAAGAATGAACAAATAAGAAAATTATATCGTTATTCTAAAAAAAAAATCTCAAAAAAAGAAAAACCATATTTCTCCATAATATTAGGTAGACGTGGACGTGGCTGATTTCGTAGAATAAAAATAGAAATTTATATTCTATATCTGAAGCAGACATCTCTATTGTTCGGCCATGAATTTACTACGGCAAATAACACATAGATGAACACACGAACTGATAAACACGTCTATAACAGTTCAGATGTGATAATGTTCAATAATACGTAAACTTTCTAAGGCCTCTGAAGCTGCTCTCGGGTGCAGCAAACGCCTTCACAAGAGAAGGAAATTCTAATATTAATATAATATTAAGTGCGCGTGGCCGATTCTTTTCGTTCTCGTAGCAGTGCTACAGGTGCTCATAGAATATAAATGCGAATTTTTTAAAAAAATGCAGTATAAATATGAATAAATATGTAAATATTTAAAAAGTAGTCTCATGTAATTTAAGCCAACAAAAAAATTTGAAGCCATTTTTCTTAAGGTCGGAAGTTGGAAAGTTTGAAATTTAACCATTCGGTAGTTCTGATATTATAGGCTATTAGTCTAGATTCTATAGTTAGATTCGTGGCCTTTTGGGACTAAGAAACCTTACTATTTGGACCGGTACTTTTGAAATCACTCAATAACGAATTCGATATATTTACTACATCCCGAAAATTTATAACGATGGCCTATTATTGGTGAACCTCCCGTGAACCTTGCGTCGCCAAACCGAAAAGAGCCTATTTGCTAAATTTTTTGCTTAACACTGCATTATAATTAAACACAGTCTGTGGAATTAGTTCACACTGTACGAGTGTACGTTAGCTTCGATTCTCACGATTCTTAATCATCGAAACGGAACTGCCTTCAAACAATCAATATATATATATGTATGGTGCATCGATTTAGCGTATTTTTTAATACTTCACCTGAGTGTTTTAAATATTCTAGTTCTTCGGTCATTTTGGTGGCTAAAGCTTGCAAGTAACTTCTAGCATCTTTTTCATCTGACACCCATTGTATAATTTCGGACATTTGCTTCTCCCACTGACTAATAGCTTGACGTTTGGATCTGGAAAATCAATCATAGCAAGGGAATATAGCAATTTGCATGGATATGTATTTCGGTGAACTTACTTTAATTCCTCATAATTTTCATCGTACTCCTGCTGTTTTGCCTGCAGCTGTATAGATTTCTTATTTTGCAATTCAACTTCTAATAACAGACGCTGCTTCTCTTCCAGCCAAGTACTACGTTCTTTATCGTAGTCCTCTTTTAATTCAGATATGGTATCTGTAGTATCGCTAAGTGTTTCCAATTTGCTACATTCATATTTTTCTCGTGTTTGTTGTAGTTCTTTTAAAAGAGTTTCCTGATATTTCTCCGATTCCTTTAATTGTTCTCTGAGGGCAGATATTTCCAAATTATATCGCGCTTGTTGTTGATTTAATTTGGATGTACAGTCGATTTCTAAGCGCTCTATTTCATATCGTGATGCTTCAGCCGCTTGGGAACCAGTAGTGTAAGGATCTGAACTCCTTTTTTTATTCAGTTCATCTTGAAATTGACGACAAAGTTCTTCCGTACGTTCTCTTTGTTTCTTTTCGCTCGCTACATCCGTTAGAGCATCTTCAATACGCATTTCTAATTCGCGACGAGATTTATCGGATTTACGCAGGTCGTTGCGGATTATATCAATCTTTTTCATCACCGTTTCCAATTCTTCTTCCTTATCTCTGACCTAAACGAAACATGGCAAATAAGTGGTCGGACAAGAAAAAAGAAAGATTTATAGAAAGCAGCACTTACCTGCCTGGAAAGTTTCTGCTTTTGACTTCTTAGGTCTGACAATTTGTCGGTAACTTCTGAGTATTCCATCATGGCCAGATTTCTTTGGCTTATAGCATCTTTTAATTCGGAATCCTGCTGCTTAATGCGATCTAAGGCATCATTGTATTCTTTAATTAGATCAATTTTTTCACGCTTCAACTCTTTAATCTCATGATCCAAATCGTGTAGACGTGCCTTCGCAGCGCTATCCATCTCCGAAGTTTCCGTATTCATCGTACTAGAATCTTTTTCACCCGAACTGTTACTGTCCAGTTCAGATTTCTTTTTGGTAAATATGTGCAATTCATCGAGTATTTGGCGTGTACATTCTGGTGAAAGATTTTTCTCGTTCAATAATTCCTGTTTAAGATTATTGTAGAAAAGTAAGTCATCGGTTTTGCGCTCAGTTAATAAGTTTAGATCAAGTTTTCCTAAATCGGAGAGACAACTATTTTGTGTGAAAGTAAAACCCACGAAGGGTAAATGGAAGCCAGAGAATGCAGGATTTGAAGTGGGCGGTACAGAATCTGAATGCCGTATTGTATTGTCATCCACATCGAAATTTGAGGTATCTGTAGGACTGGAAACATCGGGCACGTAAGGTGCAGGGCCATGCCTTAAATTATCCCAATCGACACCTTCAAACCAAGGATGCGATTTGAAATCGTCAATACCATTGCGCCCCAGTCGAAATTCCGGAGCACATATAAGTCGGCGTATAAGATCTTTGGCAGCCTCTGAAACTTTATGCATATTGTCTTCGGGCGGGAAATCGAAACAATTTTGATGATTCATAATTTTGCCATAAGTCTCTACGAGACTCTCGGCATAAAATGGCGTCTCACCGTACAACATTTCATACATGCACACACCCAATGACCACCAATCGCATTCGGCACCGTAGCGACCCTGGCCATCTTCCATTGCTCGTAAAATTTCGGGCGATATATAATCCGGTGTACCTACCGCGACATTTGATTGCACTTTACCGTCTGCACCCAATTGCAAACAACTACCAAAATCAGCCAAACGTATATGACCATTAACATCAATTACCAAATTATCAGGTTTGATGTCACGATGAACATAACGTAACTGATGAATGCTATTAATGGCTAAAATAATTTCGCCAATATAGAATTTAGCCATATCCTCGGGAAGACGATCTTCAAATTTACTTAACAACGTCAACAGATCTCCGCCGCAATAATAATCCATAACCAAATACTAAAAAAGGACACATTATGTAAGCGATAAAGAAAACATATAGTAAAAAGTATAACCTCACCAAATTGGTTTCATCTTGAAAAGCGTAATGCAAATTTGTAATCCATTGACGATCGCCGTAAACTAAAACGTCACGTTCTTCTCGAAAACAAGCCGTTTCGGCGCGTTTCAACATTTCCCATTTATTTAAAATTTTCATGGCATAGATTTTTTGAGTGCTATTCATACGTACCACACACACTTCGCCAAAGGCACCGCGGCCTATAATCTTGATAATTTCAAAATCATCACGTGTTAAGCGTAACCTTTTCACCAAGCTAACCACAGGTTTAACTAAAATATGAAATAAGTTTTTAAAAAAAAATGTTATGATAATATAAACAAGACTGTATTAATTGTTTTATTTACCAATTTTAATAAAATCTGAAACTGTCTTTTCCCTTCTCAAAGATGAATTTGAGCACTCATCATATAGCAATAGAAGAGCATCCAATAGAGTTTCGACAGATATGGCCTTGCCGTGTGGCGGTAAGCATTCATCGTCAGCATCCTTATTGTCGGCCACCAACAACATGCCTTGTGACATGCCATTTTCTAATATAACGGATTCGAGAACTTTTAAACGTTTTGTGCAAGTTTCTTCTAGAGATTCTACAATGCAATAAAAGCAAGTGTACATTTGTAAATTGATTGTAAATATTAAATAAAGAGAAGTAATTGCCACCGGCAGTAGCATAGTACGATAAATTTGGCCAATCCCTTTTTTACACGTTCGGTAGGCTCTTTAAAAAACCGTGCAAAAAAAAACACATTCGACATATAGTCAATTTAGGGATATGTTCTATAATTTTACAAAATTGTGTAGGATTAAAAACTCGAAATATTTGCTAGAAAAACCGTGCAAAAAAGGAATAATGACAACCACATTATACACACAACGAAACAAACAACAATTTTGAAAAAAAAAAAAAAACAAAGTTAACGTACATTGAGAATTCACCTCATAAGTAAAAAATTTAAATTGAATTAGAAAATTAAATTTGAATTAGAAGTTAGATACTCATCGCTATTTGATAAAAGGCATGCGCGCTTATTACTGACTGCACCTGAAATGCTATCAACAGTGATTATGTCAGGTATGTCTCAAGCACTTCTGTCGAGTTTGATTCAAACAAAAATTAAAAATAACTTTGTCGGGATTCATGCTATAACAAATAATTTGTGTAAAAAATTGTATTTATTTTTACTGAGGAAACGTGTTATTTCAAAATCAGGTTGAAAAAGTACGTGTAAAAAAATATTTGGACATAATACATCGAATTTAGACCAAGAATGTTAATAACATATTTAGAAAACCGGCTTTAAATTAAGATCATGGAATTTGAAAATAGATAAAATACTTCTTCAATTAATTTGCATCGTTTTTGTTTCTCTAAAAAAACCCTAAAGGGTGCTTCGGGTAATTCGTGTACTTTTTAGAACGATTGATTTTTGGCCTTCGGAGGAAATAAACTACTGGTTAAAGAAATTATTTCACTTCATTTGAATTGAATCAGAAAGTATAATGCCAGGACGGCAAATCCAGTGAAATAATATTTTCCGGATTAAGCTCCATAGCTCAGATTCACTGTTCTGACTATGTCGTTCTTATTGTTTTTAGTGACTCGCAGTTCAATGGCAAAGTGCCCTGGTTACATCTGCTACTCGTTTCTCTGCTTTGATCCAATACTGTACCAACTGAAAATATGTGTATCTATATAGTACTGTCAATATATCAATATAGTACTGTTGTTGAAAACTGTGCCGCACGAGACTGTATAGTCTTATTAGCGCATTACTGTTAATTACAATAAGTAATTGTTATTGTGTAATTACGTAGATATCGTCGTTAATTAATAAACTAAACTACTTTCATTATTTCATTAAACGCCTTAAGTCCATAGCAAACTACAATCAGCTACGGATACGAATACTTATATAGTTGTAGTCAGGTATGGATATGAATGCTTTCATTATTGTTGCTATTGATATAAATAGCAACTTATGTCGGATTTTAAATTTCACTGTTTCGATTTGTTCTTTACAGCAACAATCTATTAGTTCGATACACTTGGAGCGCCATTTCTCACTTTGAAAGTTGTTGTTCTACATCTTTTAATCACTACTACGTTTTTTCTTCTTTTCTTTTCTTTTCTTTTCTTTCCATCATTACTTTTATTAACTTATGGTAATCGCCCACTCGTCGCTACTTTTTAAGGCTATTGATACGGTTTTGTTCAGTTTATTTTAAAATACGTTTCCAAGCTTCCCAAATACATTTTGCGATCTAAGTAAACATTATTAAGTCGTCTTTAGTCATTTCCTTAATGTTGATGAGGATGCTCACTTGAATAGAGCTCATATCGAAGTTGACTATAATTTGACATGAATTTGTCAAAGTTTTGAAAGAAAGGAAACCTAAAACTTGACTGAAATTCACGTCGCCCTATCGAAAGAACTAGCGTCATACTTTATCTGTTTTTTTTTTTAGGAGAACTTTAATGAACTTTCAATGCATCACTTTCTTTGGTTCATCATCAAAAGTACATTTCGAAGCATGGTACGTGCACATGTATTATGAAGATGGAATTTCTTGTTGAAATAAAAAAAGAAAAAAACTCATCGCGACTACGTGATGAGGTCATGTACATTATGTGTATGATGAAAACAATATATTACAAGGACTGTTTTTTATAATAACATCATATTATTTTTATAACGAAGTAACTTTCATAAGTCTTCTCTAATTTCGTTGCTATATCATGAATATCTAATGAATGTATATCCATGAATTTTAAATTATACTCTGCAAAGTAAAGCTTTTGAAAATCGCCTAGAAGATTGCCTAGAAATTACCCCTATATGAAAATTTAAAACAACATACTCCTGCTTGGTGGTAATAAGCAATCGAAGATTTTGGGGACAAATCATGTAAAAAAAAAATATTCTAATCTATATTTACCTTTCCCAATGAGTTAGCAAAGTTAATAAACTTGAAGCGTAAAAATTACAAACCCCACAGTATCGTTACATATTCTTCATAGAAGCATACAAGTCTAACGCATACATTTGCATGTATGCGCGTATATTTATTATTGTATTATAAATTCATTCAGTAAACAAAGAAAAGGTGTTGTAACCCTTTCATTGAATCATCGTCATCAACATCATCATCAAGGAAACGGATATCCTTTGTACTACACAATCATATATATATGTAGATATATGTTTGTGTGTATATTTAATATAAATGACTGCGAATGTCGTCTACCTTTTGTTTACCTTTTATTATATTCTTAACTTTTGTACAACTCCCTCTCTTTGGCTCAATGGAAACGACTGACATCATTTATGACAGGTACTATTACCATGAACATATATATATATTTGTATATATATATATATATATAAACATGTATGTAGTTTGAAACGTAGATAGTCTTATACGTATTGCATACAAATACAATGCCACTACCGTAAGCGACAATAATATTACTCCACCAACAATTTTGTTAAGGGGGAGGTTCAAGAGTTTTTCATATGCATGAAGATTTTGTTATTCCGAAAACCCCGTCTTTAACAAACAACAGACTTTTTATTTTACATTTTAATTGTTTTTCAAAAGAACACTAAAGAATTTCGTCAAGCAAGCATTGTAATGCACGTAAACTTGTTCAACAGAAATCTATTGATTGCTTGAGCTCTGAATGCTTTTTTTAAATACTTTTAAAATATTTGTAAAAAAATTTTATTTATAAAAACACTTGAATGTGTTTTCTTGCTTCTCTGGTTTTTAGAAAAAGAATTCAATTCAAAAGCGGCTGCTGCAATTACAACGCTGCTGCAGCATTTTCACTTTTACGGGCCGCTTTTGTTGCTCTCTTTGTAGGCGTACGAGGAAGTAAAAAACTTTGCGAAAAAGAATGTGGTATGCCCAACAACAATTACTATAATAGACTGCTGCTCCGCATGTTTGTACCTACGTATATACGCAGCTGTTGTGTGGTACGAACAAAAAAAACAGAATTTTGTTATTTCATAAAATCAATACTTGAGCATTTAGTCACCCATCATCCCGAATCGCAAAAAAAAAGAGGAAAAAATACCAAGGAAACTATTATTGACAGATTTTTTTCTCGATAGACACCTTCTACGTACACAGACATAAATGCTAAATTTGATATCCTTAACTGTTCACGTAATCCTATTATTAATTTTATTATTAATCAAAAATTATGAATTCATAGCGCCCGACACAATCGCTATTCTAAACATTGTAGTGGATGAAAGGCAGAATGGAAATTACACATTATTTTCTACTATACACCTCCCTCTCTTCTCATTTACTAACTCACTCACACACGCACACACAATTATCTATTCCTTTCTATTTTATTTTTTTTTTATTTTTTGATCTTTTTTCACAGAGAGATTTTCTTATGTTTTTTTTTTCAATATTTACCACTGAATTCAGAATTTGTAATCATTTCGATTATTTCACATTTGTAATATTTTTATCCTTTTCTTTTCTAACGTTAAAAAAGGAATACCGTTTCGTTTTTTAATTTTTTTTAATGAAATAATAAATAGGTAATATTTCTTTTCCTTCACTTGTGTTTTATACTGACATAAATAAAAAAATCACAACAACAATTATTCCATATATGAGCTAAACAGACATACAGGCACACACACACACATTGGGCAAATAGTACAGAGTTGCCTTAGATGCAGCAAATAACGGCTTTGATTAGAAAATAAAAAAAAAGGAGTATAATAGCAAGCAAAAACATCTCTAATCCACACTGAAAATAAAAGTATGTATGCAATAGTATGTATACAATAATACACAGCCGGTGCCCTTCGCTTAACGTGGGAGGTACCCATTTTGTTGGTTTACATTATATTTAAACTTAAATTATGTTATTTTATACGACATTTTAGTTTAAGTTTGGATACATCAGGAGCAGGTACGAATTAACCGCGCTAAGCGGAGGAGGCCTGTATTGCATAATGACTTTATCCCTATTATTATTATTATTATTAATTTAGCCAAAAAAACAAATTTTAAGATAATAAAGTCTTGAAACCCTACTTTTTAAGCCTATCGGCTTTATTGAAAGTTCGACCGCCTTTTTACATTTGAATCCACGGCCATTGAGTTGTTAGTCGAGATTTTTTGCTAATCGGACACTCAGGCGGATATCTCTTCTATATCTACTTGTTGCTCTTGATACTCAGTCAACCTTAAAAAACAAACAGCCAGCAACTTTTTTAACGTCATCATCTGATTCATAATTGGTTATGCTCTATCATCTCCCGTGGGTTGTGAGATATATTTAAAAATTTTAATGAACAAAATTTGAGATATATTTAATAATTTTAATGCACAAAATTTGAGATATATTTAATAATTTTAACACCCAACACTTAAGATATATTTAAAAATTTTAACACACAAAATTTATGGTATATTTAAAAATTTTAACATACATAATTTGAGATATGTTTAAAAATTTTAATGAACAAAATTTGAGATATATTTGAAAATTTTAATGAACAAAATTTGAGATATATTTAAAAATTTTCATAAACCAAATTTGAGATATATTTAACAACTTAATTTGGTATATATATAAAGAAACTACAGGTGCGTCCATATATTTATATTTGCAATTTTTAATCTAATTTTTTGTGATAGATTTTCCTTAATTTCTTAATTGAAATCACTTCTTTTCGCGCTTGGCAATTTTCTTTTTCTTTTATTTCCAGAGAAAGCTGTTAGCTTGTTTTTTCCTTTACACCGTTTATAAAGAAAGTACAATCTATGGAGAATGGAAAGAGCACAGCGTTGCTTTCAATAAATAAGTAAATGGTGAAAAAAAATCTCACCGAATATTGCATGAATTTTGGTTGGGTTAAGTTCTACAGCTGGGTTAATTTCCACTTTGTTAATGCAAATAACAAAGAGTGTTGTCTTATTTTTAAAACTGCAGTTAATGTAGCATATTTGTTTTTTAACGTAACGTATGTAGAAAATTCGCTTAATTAAAGAAAAAAAATTAGGGGATTTAAATAGTGAATATAGAGCGATGTGTAGTGAATTTGAGTTGGTAACTTCGTATACGTCAACTTTTAGATGGCAACAACATCAACAAAGATAACCGAGTAGAAACTTTACATCAATGCAGATCCGTTAAAATGATACATATGCATACTTTTTATTAGGCCTCCCAACTGGATCAATTCCTTTGGAATATATTATGGGAGATAATGAGATAATTTTAATATTGCATTATTAATAGTAACCAAACATTTTTAATAAAGTTAAAAAGTTATTTATATATATACGCTTTATTTTACTTGTTGCTTTCTCATTTTAGCAGAATTTCTTACGATTGAACAGAATTCCTTACACGGCGCTGCCAATTTCACATAAGGATGATAAAGATTTTTTATTTACCATTTTTTCATATTTATTAAAAGCATCTCTGTGCTAAAGGTTTTTTATTGACCATTGACCAATTTTGCTTATTTATTATATTTATTATCTGACATATGTTGAAATTCATCTGAATATTTTTGTACCATTTGTTTTTGATTAGATAACAAAATATATTCGTAATTGCCCGAACGGTCCAATTTAAAGAGCCTGTCATTAAAATGCTTCTTACATTATCAATTCCTGCCGATTTCTTCACATATAACATATTTCGCTTTCAGTAAATACTTGATAGTGGAGGGCGAATCAAGTAGCAGTTCATGTGTGAGCAGCAGGTGACGTCCACTGTAGGTTATTTAGAACTGACATATTTGACGTTTCGCTTTCTACTCTTCAAGTTCTTTTATTTGATACCTATATGGATTGTATTATTATCTATTATTGTACTGTTTTATTATTATATGCTATTATTATGTTAATCAAATATTCTGTTATTTCAATCTTCTACAAATTCAATTATTTTTCTATCCCTTTATTTTGTTGTTTCATCAAGCATGTCGAAATTAATCATTCTTAACCATTGTTAACCATCTCAAAATTAAGCAAAATTAAGCATACTTAAACATTGCATAAACATAATTTTATATGCGTATGTTCAGTGGAAGGTCTGAAGAAAAGAAAAATATTATTTTTATTATTATTATAATTTTAGACTAATGAAATAAATTCTTAGACTAAAAAAAAAAGACATTGAGCACTAGCAACACAGGCTATCGGCTCTAATATATAAAAGTACATTAGATATTGAGCCTAGTAGTTTTGATAAAATAATATATTGTATTGATATTCTGTTCTGTAGCTGATTGTAGAATGTCCATAGGGTTAATCGTTCCAAATGCAATACCTCTAGCCAAGGTAAAGTTAAGGCAGTCACAGAGAATGTGCGTTATAGCGAGAATTTGTGCACAATTGCAGATTGGGAAGCAAGACTTCTCCCAGATCCATTGGTGAGTTTCAATTGTATGATCAACGCGAATTCTCGAGTATGCTTGGATCTTGATTTTTTCAACATCTGTTATAAAGGTGGAGTTAATTGAGTGTTATAAAAGAGTAGTGCTGATAGTGGTGTTGTGGATATCCTTCTGTAATTTTCTCTTTAACTCATGCATCTCTCTCATTACATCGTGCATAGTTAGAAGTGCAGAAGCAGCATACTTCGTCACTCGATCAGCCTGTTCATTTCCCAATAAACCCATATGTCTAGGTACCCATAACATTTTAATTTTTTCACCGGGCGTTGTAATGATATTCCTTAATTTGTTGATGGTGCTCCATCTAGAAGTCGAATGATTCCGTGTAACTTTTAATGCAGGCAAACTGTCAGTAACAATGACGGTTTTGCGTTTGTTTTTATGAAAAAGGTTCGCAGCATGAAAGATAGCTCTGGCTTCGGTTGTGAAAGTTGAGGTACTTTCGTGAAATATGTGATTGAGAAGAATCTGTTCTAAAGCATCTGCCATGGCACAAGCAGGTGGCAGACCAGAAGATTTTGAGCCGTCTGTGTATAAAAGATTCCAACCGTTACTCTGCAGTACTAGGGGTTTCTCAGCTAATAGATTCCTGAAGATGTAATTTGGAGTATCTTCTTTCTTATGCATAGACAGCGAAATGTCTAAAGAGCAGTCTTTCAAAATCTGTGGAGGTTTAACACCATGAAGGATAACGGAATACTTTTAAGGGAATGTTCAATTCTTTTGCAACGTGCAAACTATAGTCAATTGCAGACGGCGACTTTTGAATTTTCTTCGCAATAATAATCTTTCTCACGTCATCACCGAGAATAGATTTGTTTGAATTAAGAAGCTTGGGGACTATTTTAGCTTTTAACTCATAAAGTCTATTTTCTAAAGTTGGGAGACCAATTTCAATTATAATATTATTTATGGGCGTCGTACGTGCTCTGCCGGCTTGGTGATAGACCGGTTTAAAGATGTTGATATTAGATTTGCAGCTATTGCCATAAATTATCAAAGCATAGTCAATCTTGCTTAAACAAGCATTTTGGTAAGATAAGCAACAGTGTTAATGTGCGCATGGCTTTTCCAAGCAACGTACTGTATGAAATTCCCCCTTGTTAAAATAGTATTTTTTAACGGAAGACAGCGTGCTTTCAAACGGTTACATTCCTTTAACGGCATTGTCAATTAGTGTTTTTAGACGATAGAGCCAGTAGACTAATTTAGTTGTAGACATGTTTAAAAACATATTTTTACATAATTTATTTTTTACTTCTTATTCTATTATAATTCAAATAATCTATTTTCACATTCTGGCGATTCCTGTGAATGCTCTATTATTATAAAATTTCTTCAAACTTAGCTTTGTGCTGACTACTACTACTACTACTACTACTCTCTACTTTTATTATTACATTAGGTTGATACAAAAAATTTATTCATTTATTTATTTAATTATTTTTTTACCCATTTGTACATGAAAATCAACTAAAGAAAATTACAGTCGAATTCGCAGAAGCACAACCGCAACAAGAACAGATCCAGGTTGCAAGTGAACTCCTAAACCATTGCAAGCATGCATAAGATTGGCAACCGACACGTTAACAGCACAATATGAGATATTAGGAATGAAATGTTAATTTAAGTGCAACATAGATAAGTCCCGCATATTAAGCAAAGTTGCTTTAATAGACTTTCAAGAGTCCGATAAAGAGAATAAGTGATAGACATCATTTGGGTTTCTGCAAACAACTCTGAGTGGGTTACAGCTCATAGTTGCATTTACATTGACTAAGCTTAAACAAGGTAAAGGGCCCAGAGAAGCGGTTAGGGACATTAAAGCTTATCTCACCAAGTAATGCGGGCGAGTCAACAGTGCCATTTATTACTTTGATTAAGAAGGAAACTCCAAGAATAAGTGTACGTTTTTACGGAACTTAGCGAAACAAGC